TTAATCATGGGATTCATTAATAAATAAATAGGCTCTTGAAAATGTTTCAGCTTAGCAGCTATGGTACCTGTTGGCTGTGGGTTTGCTTTTTAAAATTACATTAAGCAAGTTCCTGGATGGCTTTGTAACCAGGTCTTAAAGCCAAGTTTTCAGCACGTTGTAAAATTTAAGAAGTGGCAAACTTGCTTTAGGGTTGGGAGATTAGACCAAGAGTCCTGGCAGAATGGGCTGCAGAGTATCAAAGGTGAGAGAAGTTATTCTCAAAGTCAGCCAGTGTTCAAAAGCCTGGTGGTCTTTCCCATCAGTGTGTGTGAGATGCAGTTTTCTGCCACCTGGAATTCGCTGCTCTTGGCTCTGGGTGTGCTGCAGTCTGTGCTTGCTGCTGTGGCTCCTGGGTGACCTGGTCACTGCCCAAAAGCAGCAGGAGAGAACAAGAGCTTTCCACCGTGCCCGCTGTGACCCGGCTGAGGTGGGGTCACTGGGGCTGGCAGCAGTGGGGTCAGCACACAGGAGCGGGGCTGAGGGCTGCTCTTCCCAGTGACAGGGATTGGATTGTTCTTTCCCAGCCCCTGGTGGCTCCAGGGGCTCCATTCTGCTGGCACTCAGTGCAGTTTGTGTGGGGTCTCTGCAGAGGGGGGCTCTGGCTGTCCTGCTCAGGGATGGCCTCCAGCAGTCCCTGGTACCAGCCTGGGGACACAGCTGTCCCTGCCCTGCTTGCAGAGCTAATCCCTGCCCTTCAGCAGGAGCACTCCGGGGTGGGCTCTTAGCTCCCACCTTCTCACGCAGATCTTTAGGCTGTTAGTTGCACACAGCAATGAGCAGGATTGTTCACTAACCCTCAACGAGCCCATGCAATTGAGATTTTGAGAAAACAGCAGAAATACAACCCAGGAAGGGAAAGCTTGGTTACTTTATTCATGAAATCTGTTATTTCTGGTTTTGTGCCAGCCACTTTGTTTCAGGAGAAGCAGTAGCCTCTCCTTTCCCCGTGCTGCTTTTATCTCCCTTCCAAAAAAGCACTGCCAACAGCCTGGTGTGTCAGTAAGCACAGCCTGGTTGCCTGCCTCAGGAGGCTGCTGCCAGCTGCTCGGCTTGAAACACTTGCAGACCACTCTCAGTGCTCCTGGGGATGGCAAGAGAAACACCACCTGGGCCTAGTCCCTTTTCCTCCACGTGCCATTTCCCTGGGATGCCCAAAGACAAGCAGAAATGGAGCAAAGGAGGGATTCATTCAGCCATGACTGTGCAAAGCACCTCTGCCATGGACAGGGGCTGTACAGGAACCAGCCCTGCAGGAGAGTGTGCTGACAACAGGAAAGACTGATTGATGAGCTAAATCTTAGATTAATATTTACGCAAGCAAGCAAACAGCAAACCCACAGTGTGCAACCTCCCTGGTGCAAGCTGTCAATTTGCACACGTAGTTATTTCACAAAAGATTCCTTTTGGACAGTGACATCTTGCTTGGTCTGTTCTCCAATGTACAGTGTAGTTGTATAGTATCCCAGTGCTCCAAAACCAATAAAATCACCTTCCCTGGTGGTGCTGAAAAAACACATTTTTGCTTTTAACAGAGGGGAATATTCTGATTTGCTCAGGAGAAATGGTATCTTAAGGAGAGTGGAAACTAATTTCTGGCTCAGTGGTGGGTCCATATATCTACTGTACACATCCTTTTGCTCCTGGTTTTTTGATGTGGAAAAATGGCCATTTCCTCCCTTGAAACAACCTTCCCATAGATATTCCCAAGCCCTGGGCTGTTTTCCTACAGAGTGTCTTCTGTTGTTTCTTTTTCAACTCCTTTGACTGGCGGTGCACTTTGTGGTCTGATCCCAAAAACAAGAGTGAATTAGGGCCTTGGAGAGGGATTAAGAGCATTTCAAACAAAAAATTCCCCTCAGGATGTTAGGACTGCTTTGGGAACAAATAGGGTACAGGAAGGTGGGAAGTGGGCTCTGATGTGTGGTTTGACAGTCCAGTTGTGACCGGGCCAGGGTGATGTTCCTGTCACATCACACTGTCCATGAATTCCTTTGGCGTGCAGGGAGTGTTTCTTCTCAGGCTTTTTCCATGGTGTGCAGCTGATTTTCCAGCATGGAAGTCAGCCGAGCTGACAAGACTCAGGTGCACCTGTTCCTTGAGCACAGCCCAGCACAGATGCAGGCTGAGAGCCCCTGAGCAGAACGGGCTGGAGGCCGTGGACCAGATCAGCTGGGTAATTCCACTGCCTGAGGTATTTTTAGCATAAACTGTGTGCTTGCATCTAAGTTTGGAGTGATTGTAATTATGTTGGAAGTTTTGTTACACAAAAATAAACAGCTGCTGGAGACTGAGGGCAGCTCGGGACCACGAAGCACTGAATGCACTGACTCACATGTGGCAATGCTTTTCCTGATGTGCCCCTTGGGCTTCCTCGCCTCAGCTCTGCTGCCTGCTTCAGCAAAGTGGTTTGCTCTTCATCAATTTCAGCAGAATATTATTGGGGGTTTTTTTGGGGATTTTGTTAACTGGGTTGTGAGAGGGGCTGTCATCATCTTCTCCTCAGCAACGCCTGTGCTTTGATTATAAACTGCAGATTTTTCCTTGCAAAGAAACACTGTATTTGCATATATACTATATTGCACCTGTATGCTTCACATTTCTGGGCTGGTCTGTCAGATCTCAAGACTTCTGAAGATTCCCGGAATGGATTTATGGATGTATGCAGAAAGTGTGGGCTGCAGAAGGACAGCATTCACATTATTGTGCTTACAAGGGGTTTGCTAGCCAAGGGCAAAGAACACTCTTCCTTAAGCTTTCAGTCAAAAACCAGTCTAGACATTTTTATCACATTAAACAGTCTGAAGCATTTAATAGGTATGTGACAGGAAAAAAAAGCAGTCTGAACTAGCTGACCAGTTTTCCTATGGGAAAAGCCAGCTGGGTTCAAGTTTTTAGTCTTTGCAATGGTAATTATTATGCTGGAAATGCTGGAGAGAGATGAAGACAAAGCTGGTTTTAGACCTTCTCACTTTCTGCGGAGTCTGCTGTGCTTTGGGTGTGCACTGCTCTTTGTTTGGCTGGGCTGTGCCTTTGTGAGCCTTGTGCCACTTGTTCCTGAGCTGTAGGAGGCCAGAGTGCCTGGTGGCAGCCGCAGCTGAGCACCACTTGAGAGCACTTCAGTTCATCCAGCCAGTGCAAATGGCAAAACATTTTCTCTCCGTCTCTGCAAGGGTCCCTTCATCAATTTTTATGATGTAACTGGTTATGTCTGTTGATTCCCGCTGCATTTGATGGGTGCCAAACAGACTGCTCTTTCTTTGACCTCCACCCTCACATCTAGATTCAGTTCTTTACCTTTCCAAGCTTCTTCCCCTTTCCTCTGTTGGTCTGTGTGCAGCGTGGGGCAGTGCTGAGCTCCTCCCCTCCAGGAGCCCTGCCATCCCCTCCTGGGCTGCCACAGTGAGGGACTGACCCCCTCTGCCCCTGCCTGGAATGCTGGCAGTGTTCCTTCTCTCTTTCTCACCCCCACACAGGCACCAGCATTGTTTTTCTTCTGGTCTTTCTTAGTGTGTGTTCCACCCAGTTCCTTCCTTTCCAGCCATATTGCAGTAGCCCAGCTTCATACTTGGAATAATCTCTAAAAATAGCCTTGCCTGTGCTATCCCAAATAATTTCCACTTCAGCTTTCCCAAGCTATCTGCTGTTCTTTTCTAGCTTGGTGAAAGTGTGGCCATCTCGGGCACTTTGTCATGCTGCCTCAGCCCACATCAGTGCCAGACACCCATCCTTGCTTCCTGTAGCTTTTCCTGTTGGTAGTTCCTTCCTCCTCTTTTCAGCTCTGATGCCCTTCCCCTCCCATTTCACTTCTCTCCACCCTGATGGTTGTCTGGAGTGAGGAATGTCCTCATGGTGTGTGTGCTCTCACCTTCCAGGGAGGGAGGAGAGGGTGCTGCTCCTGTCCCTGCCCGTTGGGTGTGCTCCCCATGGACCTGTGAGGGCAGAGCTGTCCTCTGTGCTGTGTCCCTTTCCTCCTCAGCACAAGGGGGTCACAGCAGCAGGGGGCAAGAAGGAACAGTGATGATGATGATGAGGAGGAGGAGCTCAGAGTGGGGTCAGCTCCCACTGTCTTTTCCTGCTGCTTGACACTGAAATTACAGCCTGAAGTTAGGAATTCAGAGAAATTGAGTCCCCTGACTCTGGTGTTGCCAGCTGGTCCAGAAAAATCGGAATAGCTGGGGTTTGTCAGCATGCTGTAGATCTTGGTGTTTACCAGGAGCTGTCAGAGCAGGGTTCCAGAGGGGCCAGCAGGCCATACCAGCACTCCTGACTGGCAGGCTGGCCCTCCGTTCTGTCTCCATCCAGGACAAATAGGTTACATACCAACACTTTTATTTTTATCCCTTTAGGAATACTTTGTCAAATCATCCACTTGGAGCAATCAAAAACTGAGATGCCTTTCCTTCAGAAATTTCATATCTCTATTATGAATAGCTGAGGGGGCCAAGTGCATCCAGCAGGAAATCCAGAGAGGCTGCTGGCTTGGAGCACGCTCCCACCCTTCTTTAGCAGCTGACATGGCTGGGTTTGCCCCACTTCTTCCACAAGCCCCACATTCATACCCAGGGTGACACGTGAGGGTGCTGCTCTGAAGCATGTCAGCAGCTGAATGCCTCAGAAATGACTGTGTGAGCACTGTCACTGCTCTGTCACATCAGTTCTGGCAGGCAGCCTCCCCTCACCCCACAGAGACAGCAGCTGTCAGGTCCGTGGCCACGGCAGGGACGGGCAACAGAGCGCAGTGTCAAGAGAGCTGCTTTAATATTTGATTAGTAGAAATGAATATGCAGATTGCACGGGTTCTCTGAGGCAGGGATTAGTGAAAGAGACTCTGATGCCATGTTTTATGCATTCCCATTTTCTGCTTGTGGTTAACTATGAGCTTACGAGCTAAAGGATTGGGCATATTTTTCCTTTATCCTTGGCCACATTTTCTGCACAATCTTTCCTATTGTTTTCAGAGCTTCTGGGCAGTGGCACAACAACTGTTTAAAAAGAAACGTGGCTGAAACAGATTGACAAGAAATGCTTACTCTGCCACCTACCTACCATAATGAAGGAATAATAGCTAAAAGTTCAGAACCAGTTGCTTTTCCTCTTGCTTCTCTATGGAACTGAAGATAGAAGTAAGTGATAACCTGGTGTATCTCCAACGTGGCTGTCTGTATTTATCCTGCTGGAAAGTGGGCTTCTGGATTTCCAAATGTTGGGCAGCAGTTTATTTCCAGCCTTGCCTAGTTGTGATACCCTGTGTTTAGAACCAGGGCAATCTCATCTTCAGCCCACTTTGTTAATGAGTTAGCACTGGGTGTCACTGCTGGTGAAAGGGGTACTTAGCATCGCCAATCCTGTCATTCAGACAAGTCTTGCTAGCCTCAATCTTGAGAGGGAGGAAGGAAAATGGGAAATAGCAAAACGTCCATCCGGGGCTCCAGAGCTGTCTGCTCACCCCCAGCTGCAGCCTGGACCCTCTGACTGCTCCCGCCCCAAAGGGAATGTGTGTTTCCTGAGCAAGTGATGATACAACAGGCAGAGTGACTGCTGGGGGGTGAGAAAAACAAACAAGTTGAACCTCTACAACAGGGTTTAGGCCAGGCAGTTATTATTATTTTCCCCCATCCATTAAATATCATTGTGATTCCCAGAGCTGCTTTTTGCACACCAGTGTTGAAGCACACGCTGTGAGCCCCATGTGGTTTCTTTTCCTCATACGGACTGGGAGATTTTCTTTTGCTGCGATGTGAACTTGAAATCTTGGCAGAAAAATAAAATGAAACCAGCCAACTGAAATCTCCATGGGGAGCTGCAGTCTGCTCCAGCCACACTCCAGCACGGGCAGCTCTCAGCTCTGCTCTGCTCTTACTCAGCCTGGCCTGCCACAGAAGGGAGCAGGTGAAAAAGCTGCACCTCAAATCTCTCCTGCTGGCCTGGGCAGAAGGACAGCGGTAATTTCCAATTTTGGTAAATTCCAACCTGCTGATAGTGCCCTGCCTGCATTCCCCTGCCTTTGAGATGTGACTCTGGGGGGAAAGGAAAGGAAAGGAAAGGAAAGGAAAGGAAAGGAAAGGAAAGGAAAGGAAAGGAAAGGAAAGGAAAGGAAAGGAAAGGAAAGGAAAGGAAAGGAAAAAAGCTGGCTCTGTCTCTAGGGTGGAAGGTGGGTGCTGAGATGGAGTCTGAGCAGCATTGCATCTTCTGAGATAGATACCAAAATCTTACTGATGCCATGGGTTGAACTGCATAATAACCATCTTAAAATGCCCTGTGCATTTCCATGGTGACTGTAGTTCCTAGGCTCTATCCAGGGTACCAAGACATTTGTAATTAGTTTAAACTTCCAACAAATTCCTACTTTTAACACACTGCCAACTGTCAAATGACAAATGCAGCTTTTTGATGTTAATGTATTTTAGACTGCTGGAACAATTGCCAAAGATCACCTTAGCTTTGTCTGAAGTTTTAAGCCAGCAATGTGGGTCACTCTTGTTTTCTCAGAAATCGTCCAGAAAACCAGCAAATTATAATGTCACCTTACTAATTTTAGATTTTAAAGTAACATCTATGTTCCTCACAGCTTATTAGTTTTTCATCTATCTGTATATTTTGAAAAAGTTCCTAATGAATCATATCCAAACTTTATTAAAGTTTGGTTTGAACTAAAGTACCTGACCATAGGAGGGATTATTTCAAACACGCAGGGATTTAGAATTTATTACAAAAATATGATCTTGACCTTCCATTGCATTTTATTAATGCAGAGTCCGGGCCTGTGTCAGGCTCTGGAAACAGACAGCTGTGTCCTCAGGATGTGGTCACGGAGCAGCTGATAGCTGGAGCTTGTTTTATTTTGTTTGAGGTGCTACACTGTGTTCTTTCCAAAACTTTTCCTTGCACTTAAAAAGGAAAGACTGCTGATATTAATGCAGTTTGGAAGTTTGTTTTCGTGGTATTTGTAGTTAATCAGTCAGCCTTAGGATCTTGCAGTTGTTTTATGTCCTTGGATCCTTCCTGAACTCCTGCATTTGTAATTGGAGTGATGGTCACTTATGGTGTTTGGTGTTTATCTGTGCTCCCACCTGAACTCTTTTTAGAATTTTAATTTCAAACATTTATTCCTGTCTTCCTATCCAATGAAAGTACAGGAACCATTTTTGCTTGAGATCTTTTAGAGCACAAAGCTCAAAAACGAAGCTAAAAAGAAGAAACTGAAGTTCTAAATGTCAAAATCGCCCATGATTTGAATTGAAATAATTTGCACAAACACTTTGTACAGGTGTAGCTAAAAGTGAGAAACACTACTCCCTGACTTAAGATGTGTTACCTGTCAGCAGCAGGTTAAGCAACAGTAGAAATGGTATTAATTGCCCAAACACCATATTGAAAACTTCTTTTTTTAATAAATATGACAAATCCCATTGCTTTAGGCTGTAATTTGCTGCTGTAGTGATACAAGGTGTCAGAGTTTACAGAACTAAAGAGAGACTCTGGGCCTCAGTAAATCAGGAAGTACTTGAGATGGTTTGCAAGTGCTGCATGTTTGTTTGTTTGTTTGTTTTATTATTCCATGAGGTAGCCTTTGTTTTAACACTGCTTTCCTCTGAAAGCCACAGAGTGAAGTAATTAAACTTACTAAAAGTCACTGCTGGTTAAATCCAGGCACACTGTATACATCCATCACATGCTATAGCAGTTCAGAAGGGATCTTGGCAGCGATTTCACAAACCATTGTTTCCATCAAAGTCCAATTTGCTCTCTATTACCACCTGGGGATGGGATGGCTTCCAGGAAATGGGACACTTGATATTATACTAAATAAATCTTCAGCACCTCTAAGACTTCTGCATGACTAAAGGTAAAAATGTAGCATCTTCCACATTTTTAGGCAAGTTAATGTTTTGCATGGTTGGTGTTACTGAAATGAGACAAAACGGGGAAGGTTCTGGGGAGTGGTTCCTCATCACATGCTCCCATGAAATGAAGCTCACTTGACAGATCTAAAGAAATATGTTACTGTTAGATGCATACTGAATAATATGCATAAATTAATATCAGTTGTCATTTACTGTCTTTTGAGAAGTCAGATTGCTAAATCCTCTGTACAATTCACAACATTATGAGCATTTTCCCTCCTGAAATAATCCCTTGGGGAGATCTGTGCCTTTCCCTTTTCCTCCCACCTTTGCTGTTACAAAATCGAGAATATGAACACCAAATTTGCTGTTACCAGAAGGAAAGAATAGTAAATACAACTTTACTAATTCCATGACATTTGTAGTTTTCTATGCCTGGTTTATTGTTTTTTGACACTTAAGTTTTTAGTAACGTCCAGTTCTGATAGTTCTGCATTTTAGCTCACTATTCAAGTCATACCTTCTTCTCAGAGTATGTATGGATTCTCTTGTTGCTTTAGGAGTTGTTTTGAAAACAGTAAAGTGTTACCTTTCCTTTGAACACTTGGGTGTTGCAACTGCAGCTTTATTTTTGTTTTTCCAGGCATTTCATGTGACATCTACCTGAAGGCTCATTTTGGTCAGCAAGTGAAACTAGTAAAGCTGCTTGACAATGGTGGCACACAAGGACTGATCCCAGTGTGTGATGAGTCCAGGTGACTTTGGTGATCAATTCAAAAGGGAAACTCTGCTCCAGGGGCTCTCTATTGCTGCTGAGCAGAGACATAATTTACCTTCTTGGGCCTAGAAGTGCCTGTAATTTAGAAGTTTGTGAGGAATTAGACCTGAGTGAATCATCTGAGAAGCTTTCCATAATGGCTTGATTTAAATGTGTTTCTAATTGTCAGAATAGAGTTGGAAATATACCAGAATAAGTTTATTTACAAAAGCAGCATGTCTCTTTCTACACCATTAACTTCTCATAAAGGCAAGTGCTGTCCCCCTCAAAAAGGGTGGGTGGTCAGCACTTACGTCAAAACATGAGAGTTTTCAAATCAATAGGAAGGCTGGGGAAAAACTCTAAATATGGATAAACTAGAAAGCTATTAGGACAAGAATTAAAAACTATGAGGAAGCTGGGGGTGGTGTTTGAGTCCTGTTTTACCCTAGGACTTCCCCGTGTTAGGAAGAGGGGCTGTGATCAGAGGGGGTGACTGGGGCACGGCTGGGACTGGAGGAGGACCAGGAGCAGCTGTCACTGTGAGCTCTGCAGGGCAGCCTCCCTGAGCTGGGGCAGTGCCCAGCAGCTCAGCTCAGAGCAGGCTCCTCTTGTGGTGCTCTGAGCCCGCAGCTGCCCTGCATCCCAGCGATTCCAGTGCAATGGAAGATGGGAGGAATGGAAACAGAGCGGTGTTGGGTGGCTGCTGCTGCTCCTGGACCTTGTTTTGGGGAGAACTGCTCTCATTTGCTTGCATTAGCTGTGGGAATAATGTGTTTAAAAACAGCCTGCTGAAAAATTAGTCTTGAATAAAAGAGGGGAAAAAAACAGCAAAATTTGTCTGTGGAACAGCTTGGAGAGCTGGGAAATCTTGGAATTGTCTTATACTATAGTGTGGGCACTGCAGAAATTCAGCAGCGTGGCCCTGTTACTTTTTACATGGGATTCACACTATAGTGGCTTTTATTTTCTTAAAACTTACTCTGCATTTCAAGTTCTAGAGTTGAAACCAAGGTTTCATGTTTAAAAGACATGAAATTACATTTTGCTTTTCTTAATTTTCCCTGTCTCTGCATTTTGCTTATGTTAATGTCAGTACCTTTATGACCAAATGAGTTTGACATTGAGGCATAAATACACAAAGTTCTGACTTTTCTTCAAGTTTCTAGAAACATTTACAGTATTTGAATATGAAAGTACTTCAAAGCCTCATTCAAAAATGAAAGGGGCATTTTTATAAGAATTCCAGTGCTGCACTGCCTGTTTGGTCATGGGCAGCTGGATTTTCACTCTGGTCCACAGCTCTGCAGGGAGATGGACTGGGATGAACTCCATAAAAAAACCCCAAAAGTTAGAGAAGTCTGCTGATCTAGATCTGGTTGTCATTGTAATGAAGAATCTTGTTTACCAAACTGGAGTGATGGTGAAGGTTATATCTACTTCAGGGCAGGGGGATGTCCTGGGGTGACTGGGAATGGGAAATAGATTCGTTTTTTGGGTTTTTTAAATTGCTTCCTTGAAGAAAAACATATATTCCTGGGCAAGATTACTAAACTGAGCATAGTGCTGGGTGGGTGCTGCACTTGAAACCCGCACAGAACAGTAACTGGGGCAAGTTTAGGGGGTGCAATTCCAAGAGGTAAGTGGTGAAATAGCAAACACAGAGTGTGGAGCCTCCTCACCTGTCACTCAGCAAAGAGGGATTCATTCCAGAAGCAAAAATAATATTGACTAAAAAAAAAATCTCCAGGTCCTGTTAGGATACTGGGGGCTGAGTGCGGAAATGGTGTTTGAAACTGGGGGGGCAGCTCTGGGGAGCTCTGCTGTCCTTTCCAGCAGTGTCTCAGCACTGACAGGATGTTTATGGGATCCAGGGAGTATCCTATCCATCACGCTGGCCAGCCCTGTGGCTTAGTTTAGAATATCACCTCTTTCCCCAAACATTTGTCTCCTTCGTGTTAACAGAATCCTTTCCTCCTCCTGTTCAGCCGCACCTTGTCCTTCTTTTGGTCAGAGGATGAAAAAACCCAGCATTTACAGCCCACACGCCCCAGATTTAGCTTAGTACAGCCAAGCTTGCAGAAGAGGAAGACGTTTGTGTTAATTAATGCTCTCCTGAATATGGTTAATTTTGTGTCCTGGCTCTTTGGGTACTCCAGGTGAGTTTCATGTCATCCAAATCATGGCTTCAGGCACAAATCAGTGTTGGAGAAAGGGAGAGACTGCAAGAGGCATTTAACTGCTGCACTTCACCCACCTCTCCCTGCAGTCATTAATTACCTCCTGAGGTGTGTTTCCATGAGTGTTCTTTCTGCTTTTGTGAATGCTATGTATTCAGAGCTGTTGTTATACTTTGAGAACTCTTAAGTCGGTAAGAAGATTTGATTTCAGTTTTTAAAGGCAGTATAAAAGTTTTCAAATTAAAATTTTGCTGCCTTTAAATTTAATTCCTTAACCTTCTATGTCTCCCAGTTGAATCTTCGCACATTTCATTGTTATTTAATTTCTCTAAAGAGGGTAATTCTTGATTCTCATCATAGTGAGGATATATGTATGCATATACTTGCAGCCAGATGAATGCTACAGTGTCTGTTTGTTCAGGTTGCTGGTTGGGATTGGTGTTGTTTTTCACTCTCTTAGAACTGCTAAAAGCAATGAAGATTAACAGTGGTCCTAAGAGTGACAGGGGAATATTTTGTATTTTAGTTTGGTGATCTTAAAAGCTAACAGGGTTAAGGAAAAAATGGATTTTGAGAGGAGTGTAAGAAATGTGAGAGACTGAAAAGAGCCTTTCTAAAGGCAGAGAGAATTTTTTTCACCTTCTGCACAGCTGCCAAAGCATAAGGCTTAAAAATGTTGTTTGTTACGATTCCTCCACCTCCTTGCTGCATGTACTGGAGCTGCCTTTCCCTCACACTTCATCTGTCTCCGCTCATCTGTAAACTGAAGTGACCTGGGAGAGCTGGGAAGGGACCGGGGAGGAGCAGACACGGGAGCTGCCGTCCCCGGGACAGAAGCTGCTTGTGCATGGGCTGTGAGCAGTCAGGCGTGTTCCCTGCTGCTAAACCCACTTCATGCAAGGGGGATGGAGCGCTGTGATCCTGCTTCTGTGACAGGGGGTGGGGCTGCATTGCTGCTCCTGCTCCGGACCCCACACTTCAGAGAGCAGCAGGAAACGTGGACAGGACCCGGGCTGGCGGCAGGCTCTGGGAAATGCACACTGCAGCCCAATGAGGAGCTCCTTCCTTCTGTTGAATGAGTGATGAAGAGCAGGGTCTGGGAAATGCACACTGCAGCCCAGTGAGGAGCTCCTTCCTTCCTGCTGTTCAGTGGCTGAGCGATGAAGTGAGGGGCTCATCCCACTGTGTGAGTACCAGGGGGAGGAGAGGAGCTCTGTGGAGTTCCTCCAGAGTGGGGAGCTCCTTCCTTCTGTTGAATGAGTGATGAAGTGAGGGGCTCATCAGACAGTGTGAGTACCAGGGGGAGGAGAGGACTCTGTGGAGTTCCTCCAGAGTGGGGAGCTCCTTCCTTCTGTTGAATGAGTGATGAAGTGAGGGGTTCATCAGACAGTGTGAGTACCATGGGGAGGAGAGGAGCTCTGTGGAGTTCCTCCAGAGTGGGGAGCTCCTTCCTTCTGTTCAATGTGTGATGAAGTGAAAGGCTCATCAGACACTGTGAGTACCAGGGGGAGGAGAGGAGCTCTGTGGAGTTCCTCCAGAGTGGGGAGCTCCTTCCTTCTGTTGAGTGAGTGATGAAGTAAGGGGTTCATCCCACTGTGTGAGTACCAGGAGGAGGAGAGGACTCTGTGGAGTTCCTCCAGAGTGGGGAGCTCCTTCCTTCTGTTGAATGAGTGATGAAGTGGGGGGTTCATCCCACTGTGTGAGTACCATGGGGAGGAGAGGACTCTGTGCAGGAGGCTGTTCCAGAGTGAGGAGCTCCTTCCTGCTGTTCAATGTGTGATGAAGTGAGGGGTTCATCAGACAGTGTGAGTACCAGGGGGAGGAGAGGACTCTGTGCAGGAGGCTGTTCCAGAGCTGTGTTTCTGGGGCTGCATGAAGAGCTCTGCCAGCTCACCAGGTGCATGTGTGTGCCGTCAAGGTGCTGAGTGTCTCTGAGAGTTCAGTGTGTGCCCAAGCACTCCTCACACCCAGCTTTCAGGGTGCCAGCTGTGGAGGGAGCATCAGGATGTGCCTTACACTGAGTTCAGAGCACCTGCAGAACTTTAAATCTGGGCTTGTGTGGGGTTCAGCACCAGTATAAAAGGGGAAAAAGCCATTTCTGCAGGCTTGGGACTTTGGAGGAATGTTCTTCACAGCCTTAAAAGTGCCATCACATTCCTGGTGTTTTAGCACAGAATGTGTCAGCTTTTCCCAGAAGGATGGGAGCATTTATTGCTGCATGAGCTGCCTGTTGTATTTGAAGACCATTCTGGTAATAGAAGACATTTAAACAGATAGGGCAGGAGATGGGTTAACATGAAAATCTACTTTGCATGTTTTAAGCAGTAGGGTTATTTTTTCAGTAGAAAATTACCAAAATAACTGTTCTTAAGGCAAATGTTGGACATTTTTCTCTTCTCTTCTCTTCTCTTCTCTTCTCTTCTCTTCTCTTCTCTTCTCTTCTCTTCTCTTCTCTTCTCTTCTCTTCTCTTCTCTTCTCTTCTGTTAGAAGATGTTTTATGTGAATGAAAACGACAGACAAGGGGCATACTACAAACTTTTCAGCTCTTACAATCACTTGTGTTTATTGTGGGTTTAAAATCAGTCAGAGCAGACATGTCTGTGTGCATTGCCCAGGCTGTCATGCTCTCCCTGGAGCTTTGTGTGACTCTTCATTCTTCTCGCTTGGACAAATGTTCCCAGCTCTTGTGTCTGTGCTGAGCAGAGCAGGGCTGGTCACCCTTAGCCCATGTGCTGCCCCTGGGGACAGGCAGGAGTGGCTGAGCACTGTGTCCCCTCCATGTCCCCTCTCCCAGCACGGTTCCCTGACCCAGCTCACCTGGCCTTGCTGCTGCCAAGGGCATTCCCAGTCCCTCTGCTGCAGGGATAAGGGGGTGCCCAGGTGCTGTGTGTCCTGGATGGCACTTGGGACCAGGAGTAGCCACTCCAGATGACAAGAACTGAAATGAAATTGCAGACTGTTTAGTTGGGGCATTTTCTGCCCCGTTTTCTGCCCCTTCCAGTGCAACCTGGAAGGCATGGCAAAGGTTACTGGTAATTTGCTGTCTTTATTGTAATGTCCATACAATGTGACTTCTGGGTTTTGTTCTAAATTAACAATTCTGCTGAGATTTGTTCTCTTGCAGAAGAGCACAATACAACTACCTAGCTTTATTTAATGGCCTCTATCTCTAAACAGTATTTTTCCCTATGGATTTTGACATGTATATTATTCACATCTTGAGTTATAGATAAAATACCCAGGAACTTATTTAACATAAATGAAATTTGAGACAGAAAAATGTATTTTGCCTCTGTGGCATACAGTTTGGGATGTTAAGAGACAATTCAATCTGTCTCTGCAGCATCTGGTGTTCTCCAGTAAAATAAGAAGCATTTGTCTGCATTACAGGTTGTGGTATTTGATCCCTAGAGCTAGGTTAATCCCAGCCTCATTGTACTCCAGAAGTTACAGTGCAAGTGTTGTTCAAACAATTAAGTTCATACACACATTTTACAGGTATTTTCCATTTTAAAGATATGAAACAAAATTACTCCTAGGAGAAAAGCTCCTGATTTGGAGATGCACTGTGACTCTTTAGTACTTCTGTGTGAAAGAAAAAGCTAAAAGTGACTTTTTTCCCTGCTTGGCCTTTGAAATACTCCTTTTGAAGGACAGTAATTGAACTGTGCTTTTCCTTTCCATTTCAGGTTTTTCTTCTGTAATCATGGCAAAACCTTATGAATTTAACTGGCAGAAGCCAGTTCCCTCTTTTATGCAAGATGGAGCTGTGTTTGATAGATACGAAGAGGTGAGACCCAGTTGCCTTTCATTTGCTATTCTCTTTTAAATATGCAGAAGTGCCAGAATATTTCATGTTTTGCTTTCATTGTACACAAAGAAACTTTAATTTTTTTCTGGTAATACCCTCAAAATATCTGTGGGGAGGCAATACCAACACACTTTATTGCTAGGTAGGGTTTTTTCTGCTTTTAAAAGAAACGGCTTTAAAATATATTTAATCCCTCTGATTTGACATAAGCCCTGAGGAAGAGAAAAGGAGAATTGGATCAAAATATCTGTAACGTGTATAAAACTCTCATCTTTGCAGATGCATAAAGCACATTATTAAACAAAGTGAATCCTTCCATTTTTTGTATATCTATCAAATGGAGGGAGGGAGAATATTGCTTTTTTTTTTTTTTATATATAAACTGAGGATCTACCTATTACAGAGGAAAGGAAGAGAACACAGAATATTCATTTTCTGATTCAAATGCATCATTTGAGAACTGGAGTGGTTTTATCTACTTTAGAAAATCTATCTCTACTCTATCCGAAATGTGATTGCTATGATCCTGCTTTCAGCTGTGCTTTAATCCACATTTAATAAAGGAATGCAAAATAGGGCATTTTACACAGGCAGCTGAAATAAAGTGCTGAGAAGTTTACCCTGTACTCAGCATTGATATGCTGGTAAGAATAATTTTATCAGGGTGTACTTTTAATCTTGTTTGAGCAGGAGATGTCTGTAAGGTGGAGGTAAGTGCCTCCAGGGATATTAGTATTTTCTTATCTTTTGAAATGGAAGTAAAAGGTATTTTTTGTCACGAGGCCTGCCAAGATAGGGATAGTTGGTTTACCCTGTGTTTCTTCCATTTTTTGTATATCTATCAAATGGAGGGAGGGAGAATATTGCTTTTTTTTTTAATATATATAAACTGAGGACCTACCTATTACAGAGGAAAGGAAGAGAACACAGAATATTCATTTTCTGATTCAAATGCATCATTTGAGAACTGGAGTGGTTTTATCTACTTTAGAAAATCTATCTCTACTCTATCCGAAATGTGATTGCTATGATCCTGCTTTCAGCTGTGCTTTAATCCACATTTAATAAAGGAATGCAAAATAGGGCATTTTACACAGGCAGCTGAAATAAAGTGCTGAGAAGTTTACCCTGTACTCAGCACTGATATGCTGGTAAGAATAATTTTATCAGGGTGTACTTTTAATCTTGTTTGAGCAGGAGATGTCTGTAAGGTGGAGGTAAGTGCCTCCAGGGATATTAGTATTTTCTTATCTTTTGAAATGGAAGTAAAAGGTATTTTTTGTCACGAGGCCTGCCAAGATAGGGATAGTTGGTTTACCCTGTGTTTCCAGATTTGGGGCCAGATAAATGAAGTAGATAGTGTTGGAGATGGGGAAAAAAGCTTTCTTTTCCTTCAGCAGACCCTGCTGCAGCCACAGCCTGTGAGGAGTGAGTGAGGGCCCCAAACCCCCAGAAAGGGGGTCCTGCTTTCCCCCTGCTTTCCCCCCTCAGCAGAACATTGTTTGCCCATCCTGTGAGCCCCTCCTGCTCCAGGCTGCTGCAGTTTGTTCCAGGCTTTTTGCAGCACACTTGGGAGCCTGCTTGGTTTCCTCACAGAGGACTCTTCCCACAAATCCTCCTTGCTCTTCAGTTAAGGCAGTCAGGATGTTCTGGATCCTCTTTTTCTTGAAGAAATTATTGATTCTGCTTTTCCTGAATTTCAGCTTAATTTATGATGCTCTAATTGGGGCTGGAGGTGTGTGGGGGAAATCTCTTTTTAAATTCAGCTAATCTGATTTTTGCCTTGCCCAGTCTCTCTGGAATGGCATTCTTTCCTGATTTCTCCTACAAATCAATATCCCTCAGGCTCTGCTTGTCATTCACTCTGGCTGCAGAGCACTCACAGCATGTACACTGCCACAGTGCAACAGAAAAGGGCTTCCCACATTCTGCACGTTTAAAGGAAGTGTGGCCATTTCATCCTGAAGGTGGCCTTCGCAAATTATGTATTTTTTTACCTTAAAGCATTTAATTTTCAATAAATTTCTTGAAGTTCCATTTCATTAAGATTTTTTATTAGGTAGGAATCACTGCTTCTATTTAATAAAACATCTTCATTTAGTTGAAATGAGGTAGGAAAATATTAGTTGAGACACTGTGCATTGCAGTGTCTCAAGTGTCCACAATAAGACAAATCATTAAAAGTGATCTCTTTTTTAAAAGCTTGCCTCCCTTGTTTCTGTTTTTTTTGGGGAACAGCAAATTCTGCAGGAGGGTCTTTGGGAAGAAACAGAACAATCCTTTATGTTCAAATGATAAATAATTGATATTTGTCAAACTGACTAAAATAATGGTCTGTATTTCTTTTCTATAGGAATCTTTTGTCTTTGAGAGCAACTGTCTCTTCCAAGTGGATGAATTTGGTTTCTTTCTGAGCTGGAAAAGTGAAGGAAAGGTATATTGCGATTATGTCAGGAATGTATATTACATGTTATTGCAGTTTATGTACACTCTGTTTTTAAAAAATCTAAAATATTGTGTTATTTTATTTACAAAACTAGTCTTCATGCTATTCTTTTTAGAATTGACAGCAGTGAAGCATTTAAGAAGGAATCAGCTGACATTAGAGCGAAATATACTGCTTAGTGCTTATTAAGAGAGTTTGCCAATAAAGTTCACTGTTTATTTTTGCTGAAATTCCCAGTGGAACCACGTCTCAGCAGACCTTTGAACTTGTCTCCTTTTTGTCCTTTCAGGAGGGACAGGTGTTAGAATGCTCCCTGATCAACAGTGTTCGTTTTGGAGCTGTACCAAAGGTACTCTATCCTCACTTTATACTGTCATTTAAACAAGCAATGTTTAAGCTGAAGGTGAAATGCAGGATGGCATTCATTTCTTTAAACAATACCAGTAACCCAGCTTTTATTTTGCAATCATAGGCTCAAATCTGAAGTTTTGCAGTGATTTGTTGTGATTGCAGTGGGCAGGTTCAGTCATCTGGCCTTTCTGATGTGCTGCAGGGTTCAGGGTGCTCTGAGAGCTGAGCAGACATTCAGAGCACATATCAGGAGATTTTAATTATCTTGTAACAGTTTACTGTGATATTTGTTTAGGGATCTGAAAAAAACTGTTTAATTTTCCATTCATTTTGTTCTGATCTATTTGAATTTATTTTATCTTCTCTCTCCATTGACATAAACTGTAGAAAGATTTATTTGCATCTCTCTTTATGCATTTAGGTGGTCAGAGAGGGCAGCTGGTCACAGTGTGCCTTTTAAAGAGTTTCAGCAGAAGTACTAGCTAGGAGTTCTGGAGAACCCCAAGCCTTTGGAAATATGCTCAGTAGCATTCAGAAGGAATGTGCAGGGTTTTCTGCACTGGGTTGTGGCTGTCCTGCCAGCAGGCCTTCAGTTTAGGAGGTTTGCTGTGAGCCCTTTCACATGTAAAATGGTTTTGTGTTGCTAACTCTCTCTTAGAAATGCCCTTGGGAATCCACAGACTGAGATCTCTGCCCCACAGAAGGGGCAAGAGATGTGGTGATGCAGACAGCCCCGTGCCACAGCCCCACCAGTGTGCCCCAGCCTTCAGCCCTGCCTTGAAGATGTGCCCAGAAAGCCCAGCAGCAGGGACAGCAGCTCGTGTGACACCTCACAAGGAGCAGCCAGGGACCCACAGGGATCCTGACCTCAGCAGCTACGGACTTAACTAGATTGGAGTCATTAACTTAGAGATCAGTTCTGATCCTCTGGCTCAGTCCTTGGAGTGATTCATTTTTCTTCTTCGTGATGAAAATATGAGTTCTCACAATCATGTTCCTAACTGTTAGAATGTGTTGTTTTGTCAGGTTTGCACACAGTGTTTCTGAGTGAAAGCACTCATTTAAGATGACTGGCAAAGGTTTAAAGGTGTAAATGCATTTTTACCGTGGTGCCTTGCATAACAGAAGTGTTGCAAATGTAGCAAGTTCTTAATTCTCTTTCACAGGATCCCAAAATACTGACTGCACTCGAGGCTGTGGGGAAATCAGAAAACGAGTTGGAAGGACGGATAGTGTGTGTCTGCAGTGGCACAGATCTGGTGAACATCAGCTTCACTTTCATGGTGGCAGAAACCACAGAAATAGCCAAGGTATTGCACAGTTAAACAGGTGGGGGTTGAAAGCAGAGCTCACCAGCAGTGCTCAGTGGTTCTTCCTGAGCCTGCGTGGCTGACTGAAATAGCTGGGTTAGTGTGTGCTGCCCCACTCTTCCAGAGGACAGCAGACATCCCTGAGGAGCACGTCTGTGTGGTCCTGTCAGCCTGTGCATGCACAGTGGGTTATCAGAATTAACCCCTTGTGTGTAGCACAGGGCATTCCCTGGGCTGTCAGTGCCTCTGGGAGGGGCTGGCTCAGCAGACTGGGATGGTGGTGCTGTGGGTCTGCGACAGGGGTGCTGAAGGGAAGGGCAATTGCTGCCAGTCTCCTGGTGGGTGGAGCTCAGCCCTTAAAAATTCTGTTCTGGTAACCCAATTGTATCTTCTGGTAACCCAATTTAAAAAAACAAAAGCAGGAAAGGAAACTCTGTGCAGTTATGGGGATCCCAGTGTAGCCAGGCTCTTTGTGCTTCCCGCGGACATGGGGCAGCCCTGAGGAAGCAATGGTGCTTTTTGACACGTCATCCTTCCTGAGAGCTGCACTCTGCAGCTCTCAGGCAAGCCCTGGCCTCCACCTGCCCTGGCAGCCAGCTGTGAACTGCTCTGAGGAACCTGCTCAGAGTGCTGACAGCACACTGCGAGCTGAGATCCAGCCATTCGTGGGGGCTTGAAACACACACTCTGCTTTTCTTCTCTGTCTGTATGTATTATGGGTACTTAGGATTAGAATCTGCTCTGCCTGTGAGATAAATATTAAACAGTGATCAGTATCACACACCTGGTAAATCCCCTCTTTTAAAACTGTTTGCTGAATGCAACATCACTAAATCCCTTGCCAGACCTGGTTTATTTTTCATTGCTTTGGATCCATACATTTGGAAGCACTGGCAATGCTGAGTAAACTCCTTTGTAGGAGAAACACTTTATAACTTACATGGGTACACTAAATTGATTTTACTGTGTGTATTTTCAGCAGGCTTTAAGGGAAGTAACGTGTCAGAGTTATGTTTTGAAAGCTTTTGAAAAAAGAAGCAAAGCAAAGGAGGTGTTGGCAGCATTCACTTTCATACTCTGATTTATTCTGAAAGTTCAGTTTCTCAGATACCTTAGAGCTCGATAACCTGTATTAGACTAATTGGTTTGTGAGAATGTTGGCCCATTACAGAGGCTGTCACAAGAGATGAGCTAATTATGCTGTGGAGAAGATGTGGTGCTCATTAGCAGCCAGGCCTTACAGAATGGTGTGTCATGCTGCAGTGGGCAGGCTCTGAGCAGCCCGTGGAGGTCAGAGTCCTGCAGCTGGGAGCCTTTCCACCAAAATACATATCCACAGCTGTCAGCAGTGATGATCCACCTCATCTCATATGATATGTTTGAGGCACGAGGGAGAGCAGATCAAGCCAAAGAAATCAATGCAGAGCTTTCTAAGTTGCCTTGGCTGGGGAATTTGGCCTGTGCTGTGTTGACCTTTGGTATATGGTAAATACATCAACTTGCTACTGCACTTCTGTGCTAAAATGGAATTTTCCAGGAGTTGTCTGCACATACAAGTGCTCCTGCTTAATTCTTCCTGTTGTGTTCAGGAGAGAACATCTTTCTTGTGGGACACAGTAAATCCCCTCCAGAAGAAGCAAGCCTTTGCATGGCATTGGGTAGCTGTGCAGCTGCCAACTGCAGCTTAAAATAGGCCTCAGATTAATCCAGGTTCAAAGCCCCTCCTTTGAAATGGCAGAGGCAGGAGTGTGGAGGGGAGGGGGCAATGGCTGAAGCTTAAGCTGCCCAGATAAGATATGTGTGAGGGTTGTAAATGTGTGTAAGAAAGCTGTGGTGTGTGCTGTCCCCCCACTGCTGTGAGGAGCAGAGCCTGATTGGGATACTTTAGAATGAGGGAATTGAGTGGCAGATCCAAGCACAAAAGCTCAGAACCTTTCTGCCCAAAAGGCTTCTGTAGGTGACAACTTACAATTGGAAAAGAAGCAGTTGTTAGTCCCTGAAGGCTGGGTCAGAATGGGACTGGCTAACAGTTCAAAGCAAACTGGTGGGAATTCCTGGCATCTTCAGCCTGTCTGTGCTGGAGTGGTACATGGAGGCAGGTCCCTGGCACAGGGTGGCACAGGAGGACAGTCCCAGGGCCCTGGGGGTCCCTGGGGTGCCAGCTGTGGCAGTGTGGGCCCTCCCTGGGTGCCCATCCAGGCTGGCTGGTGTCACTGTCCTCACCTGTGCCCCTGGTGCCCAGCAGGGCTGCCCAAGGCATTGCTGGGCTCAAGGGTAGCCACTCCAGCAACAAGAGTGTGTTTGTTATCTCCCCACTTGTCTCCAAGCTCCAGCTCTGGTATTTACATTCTATCTACTTAAATTTTATTGGTGTTTTCAGCTGAGAAATTGGTTTTCATTTCCACTCTTAAAACAGCCACAAAATTGGGTGTATCTGTCTCTGATTGCAAGCAGCTGTCATGGTCCACTCCTAAAGCAGCTCCACTGTGGTACTAGAGAGTGACTGTAAAAGGTGGAATTTAAAACCTGATGTCTGGAATCCTGATTAAATCAGGTTATATAAATGATCCTGAGCTAAAATTAACACACACACATACAGACACATATATTAGAGATGAGAGCATATGTGTGTATTTTTCTTTTTTACTTCCCAGATGGACTTTCTGTGCCCCAGTAATTGGATAATGTGTTTTCCTCAGTCTAGGACAGTTGAAAAGGCCAGTGAGAATTTGGGGGTGAATTTCCTTGGGGCAGAAGTGATCTAGTGCTGGTGTCAGGCCTCAGCCCTTGGCACATGGGCTGTCTGTCCAACCCTGGCATTGGTCCAGTAAAGCTCTTGTGCTTCAGCCACCCAAAATCTGGACTTCTAGTCTTCTTTGCTCACCCATGCTGGCAATGCACGAAGGAGTTCAGCTTTAAAGGTTCACCCAAGTCAGCTTCTTTAACATTTCTTAATGTTAGTGCTTATCGGGGTGGATTTGCCCTGGTGGTTGTTCTTTCCCAGCTCCAGCTGTTTCCTTGGAAAGGACCATCTCTCCACCTCAGAGATTCTGCCCTTCTGATTGAAAGTATGTTCCCCATGGCCTGCTGCAGAGGAGTTCAGTGAACACTCCTGGCTCAATTCAAGGAAGAGCCTTAGGTTAAAGTGATGGTTAGAGGCAAAGCTCCCACCCGTGCTGAAGACAATCTGGCTTTGGGAAGTGCTGGTGCATTCCTGTGGCAGTGTGTCCAGGATGGGAACAGCCACGGGGAGACAGGGTGGGAAGGAGAGTGGAGCAACCTTTTACACTGGTTTTACACCTTTGGTTAGATTTGATAGAAAATAGATGTATTCCACCTGTTTGTCACTGAGACAGTGATTCACACTTTGGTGGCCTAACCTGTGAGACACCAGAATGAACAGAAGGGACTAAAATGCTTCATTACTCACACACTGACAAACAACATATAGGTAAATGCAGGCTTTATCACACAGCTAACAATATCCATGGCATGGAAGTCAATGCAGTTCAAAACATTTCATTTTGACATTCCTAAACTTCTCAGCTTCTCAGTTGGGAAGGAATTTTATTTTTTCGGTTTAAAATGGTTCTGGTAAGACAAAGCACTTCAGGTTGATTGCTTTTGTTGATGTTTCTACTAATTAAACTCTTTGATTCACAAAAAAAAAATCTGTTGCACAGAATCATGGAACAGTTTGGGTTGGAAGGGACATTAAAGACCATCCAGTTCCAGCCATGGGCAGGGACACCTTCCACAAGACCAGGTTGCCCATCCAGCCCAGCCCAATTGACCCTGATTGTTTTTCCCCCCTTAATCATTTGGCCAAATCATATTGTTTAGAGGGAAATAGGAAGTAGCAGAAGATTCCCATGGGATATTCCACAAATACATTACAGAAAAGTTCTGTTTTCCCAAAGCTTTGTTTGTTTTGATGTTTCAAAGCAAAGCTTTTCCAGGAACCTGCAAAACACTCTTGAGCAGATCTCTAGAAGCCTCCAGCTGTTCTCTGTGTCCCACTGTGGAAGTATGTGGCTTATGTGTCACAGCACATGTGATAAACATTTCTAACTCATGACTGCCTCAAGTATATGACCACGGCTTACCTGTGTGTGTTATTCTGTATGTTATTCCATGTTCTCTAGAGAAATCTCCATATCTCGGCCTGCAGTTAACTCTGGGTGCTTTTCATGTGCTTTTCTGCCTTTCCATGTACATTCTTGGCTGTGCCACTGTGAATTATCAGTAAACTGATAATAGAACTGATGGCATCTTTAGCCCTGGTTCTCCACAGCCAGGAGGCTGATTCCAGTGTGAAAGCTGCAGTGTGTTTCTCTGGGTTTGCACACATGAGCAGCCCAAGTGGCTCTTGCAGCTCCTTCCAGCAGAGCCCTCCAGGCTGACAGGCCTCTCCAGGGCAGGAAGCTTGGCTGCAGTGGCAGCAGCCTGGGCACATGGGCAGCTCCCAGCAGGGAGCCTGTGGGCCTCAGCTTTCCTGCTGGAGCAGCTGAAGGTCAGAAGGATCCCTTTTGTCTCCGTGGAAGTCCTGGCAGTGTTTTCACAGCCGTGTCCTGCGGAGATCAGTGCTGCGGTGGGCAGGGCAGGGGGAGGCTTGCCACTGCCACTCCTCAGCTCTCCTGGCTCTGCCTGCCTGGCTGGTTTTCCTGGAGCAGAGAGGAGTTGTGAGATGTTTGCACTGAGGGAGTGGGGACATCTGCTGGCTGAGGGCAAGGCCAGGGACTCCTGCCAGCCCACGTGTGTCCTGGGCAGAGGTGGGAAACAATTCTCTTTGGGCTTCCTGAGCCTTCAGCCCATGGAGCCCTTGGCAGCCAGTCCCACACCCTGAACCCCAAAATCAGAGGGCAGTGCCTCCCTGGCTTTCCTGATGCCTGCAGTAAGTGGAGTGCAGCTCTGGAGAGACTGGAAAAGGGAAGGTGAAACCTTGAGAGGTCTGGCAAGACTGACCCCATCGGTCAATAATCCTTGCCTGACCTTGTCTGGAATCTCATGAGCTGTAGGATGGGGTGCTTTTTAACCTTCCATAATTCTTGTCCTTTTTAACCCTGCCTAAATGAAAGGTTGATGGCTAAAATAGAGCTGAAAGGCCAAACTTCTTTGTGCACCCTGCCAGCTGTGGCCGTGTTTCATCGGTGAACCTCAGCTAGCACAGGGGCACTAAGTGCCTCAGAAGCATTTCAGTCTGACAGATAAAGCTAAGAGAGTGCTTCTTTGATTGATTTTTTTTTTTTTGCTCCTTCTCATTCTAGAGATGTCTGACAGGGTTTGATCTTGTCAGAGAAAAACACCACAGAGCTTGTTCCAGCCTGCAGTGTAGATCTTGGCCATTTCTGTCAGCCTAAGGGGGTCTGAGCTTAAGGTGCCCTGGTGTTTGGTTTTGTTTCTTTTCATGACTGTTCATTTTCTAGGATTAGATATCAGGGTCCAGATCCCTCTATATTTGTGTATAGGGAGCCATTCAGGAGTTACCTCAACAGATTAAGGGTACTGAAGAATATTTTGAAGATTGGAAAATATTCAGCACTAGCATCAGTAAGAATCCAATGTACCCTGATTTCCATCAAAGAAATTCTTTCTTCTAAGACCAAGGTGCCTCATTTCAGAATTCCACTTTTTAGAGGATTTTCATCCTTTGCACAGGTAGTGACTTGAAAATGCTGAGGATGGAAGAAGAGAACTGAGGATCTTTATCCCTGTTATTTAGGTAGATGTACAGGTCTTTCAGCTTCATCTCTAAATTAAGGGGTGCTCTCATAGAATACAAGCAAGGCTGCTGCTGTATTTGTCTGTGTGTTAGCTGAGAAAACCATGAGCCCTTCTTTCATCCCTCCTGCAAGGTCATCAGACAAGTGTACATTAAATCTGGGAATGGTTTGTTGTCAGGAAAGCAATGTTCTGCCAGCTTGATATTGAATTTTGTGAGTATCTGTGCACTGGATCACAGTGCCTTAAAAGCAAGTATGAATGCAGTATTAATTGGAGACTGGTCCAGCTCAGAGGGACAGAAAGTCTGACAGTGTAGAATGTGTTGCTGACTTTGTTTTTCTTTGTGTTCCTGGTTAATGTGGGGCCAGCTGGTGGCCGTGGGCAGTGTCTGGTGTGGGCAGTGTCTGGTGTGGGCAGTGTCTGGTGTGGGCAGTGTCTGGTGTGGGCAGTGTCTGGTGTGGGCAGTGTCTGGTGTGGGCAGTGTCTGGTGTGGGCAGTGTCTGGTGTGGCACTGCAGGAGCTGCTGGCCCCAAAGCCAGGGGCAGGCAGCAGGTGCTGCTCTCTCAGGTGGAGCAGGTGGGCAGGTGGCTCTGGAGCTGCCACCTCCTGCCCAGGGCCCACCACACCAACGTGAAGGTGTTTGGAGTGCACAGAGGCTCTTGGGTGCCTCTGCAGCAGTGTGGTGCCTTTGAGCTCATCAGTGTTTGCCTGGAGGTTTGTGCTGTTTTGCTCCAAGGGAGTGCAGTTCCTGACTTGGCATCTCTGTCAGAAAAGGACATTAACACTGAAAAAAGGTTAGGGAGACCTCTAAAGTGGGAACCATCACGACAGCTCCTGCAAAAATCACCTGGGAAGTGCTTAGTGTATTGATTTCTGTCTTCACTTGTGTTTTTTTCTAGCAGTGCTCCTTTTGGCAGCTCTTGTAGATGAGCAAAGTAACTCCAGAGCTGAGTGCTGGCCAGCCTTGCTCTTAAATGTTAGTTTTTGTTGTATCTGGTGTAGTTTTAATCCATTGCCTTCAAATCAGAATGGATCTGTAGTGTTAGCTCCAAATGAAATGCTGATATGGTCAGCACTGCACCAGTGGTGGTTTTTTGGCGGAAAAAATGGCAAAAAGCCTGCAGCTTATTCCCTACGTGCATTTGGTGTAATTTAATTTTTGCAAGGGTTTTTTGTTTGCAGTGGATATGCCGCTGAGTGGTTGGGTCAGTGTTGGAAGGCTGAGGAGTTTTGAAGGGCTGCAGACCAGTGCAGATCATCCAAGGACAAATGTTGGGGTAGCTGTGACAGTGTTAGTGCAGCAGGAATGATACATTTCATTGCTTTAAACAACAAAAAAAACAAACAAACACCTTACCAAACAAGCCAATAACACCCCCAAACCCAAAACAAACCAGAAAAACCCAAATCCAAACAAACCACAAACCCTAAAGGTAGGCAGTTGATGATAGTTGCATTTCAACAGCTCTAGGAAATTGAAGGCTGTGTAAGATTTGTTCAGGCATTTAACCCGGAATTTTCACAAGCACCATTCCTTTATCATCTGAGATGAGGGAACATTTGTAGGAAAACATCAGTGTTTCCTAAATCTGTCAGTGGTTTCTAGTTATATCAGCTCTAATAAATAATATTATCTGGCCCCATGAACCTTGCTTTCTTTATCTTCTCAGGCAGTCCCTTCAGCCTGTGACTACAAAGTCCTCTTACTGAGGCAGCTGGGAGAAGGGAGAGGGGGGGCAGACTCCTACTGGGGGGTTGTTCTCAAGCCCAAAACCACACCTGAGAAACCCCCAAATGCTACCTTTTTTCATAAGTGATAGTTCTGTTTTTCAGTGATTCTCAGACACACACTTGATCTCTTTAAAGGAATATTTTATGCAGTACTTATTTAAAAGGCAACTTAAAAAAGAACACTTAAGTGTTAACACATATCTTAATAAGTGACTGCTTTCCTAAAGCAAAGCAGATTTAATATTTCAGGGGTACAGGGGCCTCCTTGAGTGTGTTGCTTATCTGTTGAATTGACACCTCAGACCTTGGTTTAACCCCAGGGGTTTGCTGCCTGCAGTTTACAATGTGCCACTTCCCAAAGAGGCTAGTGTTCCTCCAGTACAAATCAGGATTTTTTTCATCTGTCTTGCAGATGTACAGCACTCATTCATGAAAAGAAAAATGCACTCATCTGCATCTATTTATGAGTGTCATATTCTGGATGCTGCCCAAGTCAGCTCGAGCTGCATGCACAGCATTTGGCCAGAGGCAAAAAGCTCCTTTATTCCCAAGGTTCATGTTTAGCAGTGGACCAAATCCCATCTCAATTCCACCAGGGTAAATTATCAGTTGAGTAATCCTAGTGTTACAATGGCATAATTGAGATGGAACTTGGCTTGTAGCACTGCCATTTTTTCCTCCTGCCATGGCTTTTTCCTGCCAGGATTCTTGCTGAAATCAGTGGGGGTTCATGTCAGGGTCTAAGCCTTACGCTGCTGCTCTGCAGCTCTGCAGGGTTGGGGTGCAGGCTACAGCAGAAAAATAGACCCCTAAAAGAGGAATTACAGAAGAAAGTGCTGTAATGCTGCTGTTGGCTGGAAGTCATCCCAGGGATTATTTGGAATGCTGTGCATTTTAAGGATGGAAGCAAGCAGGGCTTGAGCATGTAACAGGGTGGTAGAGCAGTTGTTGTGCCTCCTCTAGCTTATTGATGTTTTATTTCATTCTTTTTCTAAACTGGACCAGTGAAATATGTGCTCACACATTGGATGATGGTGCTCAGCAAGAGCTGCTGTTGCCCCTGCCCCCAAGAGGGAGGCAAATGTTCCTACAGGGCATAAATAGAGGCTCAGCATCAATAAATACCAGCTCAGAAGAGCTGCTGTTGCCCCTGCCCCAGAAGGGAGCAAATGTTCACACAGGTTATCAATGGAGGCTCAGCATCAATAAATACCAGCTCAGAAGAGCTGCTGTTGCCCCTGCCCCAGAAGGGAGGCAGTGTTCACACAGGATACCAGTGGAGGCCGTAATAAATCAGTGAGTGAGGAGCTGCCTTGGCTGGCAGTGCACAGGTTGATTGGCACTGCTGATCCCACATGCAGGATTGGAGCAATGGGAAGCACAGTCGCCCCAGAAGGGAGCCAGTGTTCACACAGGATATAGTGGAGGCCGTAATAAATCAGTGAGTGGTGACTTGCCTTGGCTGGCAGTGCACAGGTTGATTGGCACTGCTGATCCCACATGCAGGATTGGAGCAATGGGAAGCACAGTCCCTGTGTCTGCTGCAGGAGTAGTGAAGGGTAGAAGGGATGAGATGGGGCTGGCTCTGCCTGGTGTGGGCTGTGAGCTGGGCAGTTCTTTCTCAGCACAGGTAGCTAACATTGCCCATGGCTTCAAGGAGGGTTCCCCAAGCCACAGCTGCCTGCTTCCTCCCTCTGGAGTTCTGCTGATTTGGTGTTTTGGTGTTCTTGTGTTTTCCAGCAATGGGTAGAAGGGCTTGGATCCATCATACACAACTTCAGAGCTAACAATGTCAGCCCAATGACGTGTCTCAAGAAACAGTAAGTTGCTTTCTTTCCTCCCCTTTCTCCTTTATTTTTCTGTCCTTGTGTTTTCCTTGTTGGATTTGAAAAAAAAAAAAAGGTTGCTTTTTGTAGTTTGACATTTACAAAACAATGTCAATAAGAAATGGTGTTAAATGAGTTAAGAGTCTGTCTTTTATTGAGACTAAGGATGTCTCAAGGCTATATCTGGCACCTGCCCAGGAGAAATTGCAGGAGAATTTATAACTGTTCATTTGATTTATTGCAGTGTATGTCTTAATTATTGGTTGGTTTGTTTTTTCTTTGATGCATATGCAAGCAAAACCCCGTGAGACTTTCTCATCTTCACACTGGTGTTAATTGCTGTACTGATTTTTTTGGGCTGCTTTTTGCCTTTACAGTTAAAGAACTGCCCTGCCTCAAGCACTGAAAGGTTACAGAAAAATGGTTTTATTGCAGAACAATTATTTGTTTGTACTCATTTAGCAGACATGGCAACAAGTTAAACACAAGCATCTAGACCCCAATTATAATAAACAGTATTTAAAAAATATTTCATTCCTAATTTCAGCTGGATGAAGCTGGCCTTTCTAACAAACACAAATGGGAAAATTCCAGTTCGGAGGTAAGCACACTGGGGAGCTCAAGGTTTTTTTCACTTCCTAGTTCTAGAATTTTAATAAAATTCTGTGGCTTAATAATGGAATATAATATTAATGTTACTGCTAATATACACGTAAGAGTAAGTACAGAATTAGATATTCTTACCTGCCCTCCTTGGTAAGCTAGGCAGGACTTCTTATCAGCCTAGTAATTTATATTTTTTTTGCAGTCCATTATAAAGATATGAGTTCTTCTAATAGTTTTCAAAGTCACTTAGAGCTAAGGGCATCAGATTTCTCAGCCTGACATTCCCCAAACTCTGGGGTGGGTTTTTCAGTTGTAAAATTTGATAAAGTACTGTAAAAAAAGAACCATAAAAGCTTGCAGGCCAGTTAAGTAGAGGACAAAAAGGTACTTTTAAACTGCAGTTCCTTGTAAAAGAGACATGTATGTGTCTGCCAGAAATGCTTCTGCTTTTATAGGAACCCCCAGGATAATATTTGGGTTTGTCCACGTGGTAAATGAGCTGTTGGGTTACTTGTTGGGAACAGCAAGGCCAGAGCAGCACTTTCCTTCTGCTCAGCTGTTAACTATTGCAGGTGACTGGTTTTCAGTCCTCTGGCTAGGAAATAGTGCTGCCCCTCCTGCTCTGGGACTTCATTCCTGCCCAAACACTGAGCTGCTTTTCTCCTCACAAAGTACATGCAAAGCAGAGTTTGGGGGCATGCTGCTTTTCCATGGAGAGGAGCTCACAGAAGGCAGCAAGAGGGAGGATTTTGTAAGATAAGCCCCGCACAACTTTTTGTTTTCCAAGGGAGGAAAAGAGGATTTTGCATCTGTAGGATCTGCAGAAAGACAAAGGGCCTGCCATGCTGCTTTCCAGGCTTCTAAAGAAGCTCATGGCTCAGGCTGACAGTGTTGCAGCTGCTGCAGTGTGTTCCCCTCGCAGTTCCCACTGGCCAGGTCCCTGCTCTTCCCTCAGCCTCAGCTGCCATGGGCCCCTCCTTGCAGGAGTGCCACGAGGAGCATCAGCAGCTGGAGGGGGAGCAGTGCCACAGGGACAAATCCACCCTCAGGACTTCACAGCTGTATGCCTGTGCTTGAACACAGAACCCCATTCCACAGCATGAATTTACAGTGTGCTAGCTTGTCTGAAACTGTTTCTGCCTTTAAATATTTCACATCACATTTAGTGAGGCATAAATTCTCTCTGTTGGGCTGCAGCTTACTGATTTGTGTATGCAGGCTGGCTTAAAAATCCAGTTCACTGGGTCCAGTGTATTCAGTCTTTAAATTTGAATTTGCACTATTTACAGGCTACCATAGATCAGTCCCTAGCAGTTTAATTTATTGTAAGAGAAGGTTGCTTATAAATTTGTAAGGGATCTGCTGTTCCATGGAGCTGACTCTGGATACTCCAAGGAGTGTGCTGTCTTGGTCTGGGTGAGATGTGGCACATTTTTGGGGCTCACAGGGAGGTGGGGTGTGACCCACTCAAAGCATGGGGAGAGGTGTCAGTGAGAAGAGGAATAGGAATGGAGGAGAGGAGAAACCAATGTGCTCTGCAGAGCTGCCCTGCAGAGGAGGGGAGCCAGGGCCCTGAGGTGGGGTGGCAGGGCCCTGGGGCTGGAGCTGCTGATCCTGGGGTGGGACACACACACACACCCCCCCAGGGCTCAGCCTGGGATGGGGGTTCACTGCCTGCCCCCCTGCCACGAGCCTTCCTGCAGGGAAGGGAGGGTCCAGGGGAAGGGATGTGTGCCTGAGGAGGGCAAGCCAGGGAGCCCTGGGCAGTGTGAGCTGAGTGCCTCTGCCTTGCAGGGGCACCAAAGCTGCACATTTGCTCCCCAGGCTTCCCCCAGTGCCTCTTGCACAGCTTTAAACCACTGGTGCTCCCCTCCAGCTGACCTTTCCCTTTAACCTGTTTAAATCCACTGTTATTTATTGAGCCCTGCTTCCTGCTGCTGCTGCAGCAGTTGCTGTAGCTCTGGGATGCACACGGGAGGGTTTCTCTCCCAGGAGCAGAACCCCCAGCAGCTCTGTTCAGCCACAGGAATGTGTATCACAAGAGCCACCTGTATTTCATTTTTACACAGAGGTGCAGTAAAACACCAAGGGGAAACAAAAACCCCTCACCTGCAGAATCAGAGCTCCTTGCATTTCCTCCCAAGTTTGAAACAAATTTTGCAGCTGCCACATTCCCCATAGGGAGTGGTGAGCCTTGAGGAGGTGACACTGTTGGTGGTAAATGCCAAAATATTCGTGACTCCTGGGCTCTGCAGTTGGGAGTTGCAAAGTCACAAAGATCTTTCTCAAGCCACTTTTGGATTTTAATGCATTCTGGGGCGTAGGTCTGCTGCTGTTGTGTGCTGTGCTTGGGAGAGAAGAAATGCTGGCTGTTAGCAGTGTGAAAGCCTTGGGAGAGTAGCAGTTCTGCCTTCTGGGCTTTGATAAATTTTAGCAGTCTGAGGCTAGAGTGACATTTACAGCTCTTGCAAAGGCATGGCATTTGTGAGATATTTTGTGTGTTCAGATTTTAACACTACTGTAACAGATGAATAAACAGGTCAGCATTTGTAAAGAAAAAAAAATCTGCTTGGTTTCTTGAACTTTCTGCTGGCAGAAAATTTATTTTCTGTGTGAGTGAGTTGCACCTGCCCATCTAGAGCCTGGTTAGAAATTAGCTTTGCTCAGACTGTGCTTCTCCCTTTGTGTAACTACATTTAAAAGGGTTCAAGCAAGTTTAGGTTCCAACGATGAAAATATATAGTAAAAAAAGAAAGAGCTCAACTATGACAAATTGACATAAATCTGTTTTTCAGTAATTAAATTGATTTGAAAGTGGAGGTTTTTTTAAGTGTGTTTCACATCAATTACTCCAGAGTGTCTGGAAGAAATCTGTTGCAATACTTCAGCGGTGGCTGGAAATCAAAGTTAGATAATTCCCTGTACAGTGTAGGCAGGTCAAGCCCAGCTGATAAATTCAGTGGAGCCATGGTAGAGGATTGATTCCCACAGGTTGTGCTGGCTTGATTTTTGAGGTGATGGTTGGAAAGTGCTGAAGGTCAGAGGTAACCAAGTCATTTAATCCATTAGCAAGCACAGCAGAGTCACATGCTCAGTTCCAGAGGTGGGAGGTATTTTCAGTATTCATGAGGAAGTGCAGTGGCAGGCTAGCATGAGCCCCAAACACTGCAGGTGGAACACGGGGAGTAAACACCTGCAGGTGTCAAGGTGAATGTAAATCTGCTGGGGTGCAGTCTCTTCTGACAGAAGGAAAAGCAGTTTTATTTGCAATAGCCTGGGCAAAATGATCGTGTCACGCTGTATTTTTACAATCTTTTTTGATTCATGCAATCTCCTCTACACTGCTGCTGTCATTACAAATTACTGCTGTGCTTGCTGTCAGCTTTTGTGAAATAAAAAAAAAACCCAACATTTGGCATCAAAAGTAAGTTCCCTGCAGCCATGGAATCTTGGCACACATCTGATTAATTACTTACACCAATATTACATGTTTTACAGCACATTTATTATTGGAGTCCAATTCATTACAAAAGACATAGAAATTTACAGGGCTGGAAATAGGTTGTAAATTGTAGAGCTAACATTACTCTGTGGTTTAGAATTAGCAGAAAAAATAGATGCCTGAGGATTTTTTTAAGAAACAAGTGCCTAAAGTTAAACTCAGTCTATATTTTAGTGAAAATATCTTGGTACTTATCAGCTTTGGAAAATTAAACAGCTAACTTGGATGTCTAAATAGGGACATAGCAATCTAACTGTTATAAGGACCCAGTAAGAAGGAAAACATGGCTAAGTTTTGTTAAAATATTTTTTTATTATTTAGATATTTTCACTTCCTGATATTAATTTTATTAGTATGAAAATATTTACATAGGCAGTTTAGAGTGTTTTGGAGAATAAAACAACCATGAATTGCTATGGCAACAAATAGCAGCCACAATTTGTTTCAGGTCTCTTGCCAAGTGAAATTATTTATTATGCACGAGATTAAGTGAAAGTCCCAGCAAATGTTTGTCTGGCTTGGTGGTGAGGAGCACGTTCCCAGCAGCAGCCATGGGGTGTTTCCCCGTGTGAGCCTTGCTGGGACATCCTGGATGAGGCTGAAGGCTCTCCCTCCAGACGAGGACACAGAACCAGGGGGCTGTGGGTCACAGCCCTGAACAGAGGGCAGGGCAGCTCAGGTTGGGATGCCCCTCCATCCCAGGGGTCATTCTGACTCTTCTCAGATGGAATCAGAAATGGGTTCCCTGCTGTCAGTCCCACCAAACAGAGCACTTCTGTGGGATTGGTCTCGTTCCAGTGAAGCCATGCTTTGGGAAGGAGCAGGGTGCTCTCAGTGTGGTGGAATACCCAGCTGAGGGTGTGTGTGCAGCAGGGCTGGGACAGGGGATCTGTTGGTGCTCTCCGTGCTGGGAGCTCAGGGCGCATCCAGAGGGAGCCCTGCGGCAGGGACTGGGATGTGCCGGGTGCCTGCAGCCTGACAGCAGCAGCAGGAGCAGGAGAGAGGAGGGAACAGCCTGAGGAGCAGCCCAGTCTGCCTTGTGGAGGCGCAGTTTAATGCTGGGATGGAGGGGAAGCCACCACAGCCGGGGCTGGCCAAGGGAAACTCCTTCCTCCGAGAATCTGCAGCTTTGGGAGCAGTCACTGGTGCCAGCACACAGCTTAGAGCCAGCAGAAGGGTGCTCTGCATGGCTCTGTACCCCGGTACTGGGGAAACCCCTCTTGGGTTTGCAGTTCATTATTTGGATGTGTTCCTGACGGCTGCAGGCAGAGCAGTGCTGCTCTCTGCAGCTCGCAGCACTTCTTGCACTGCACTCTTGGAACTGCTTGCATTCATGGCTGGAGCAGGGCAGGGCTGGCAGTGAGAGCAGGAGAAAGCTGATTGTTTTTAAATGACTGACATTTCTCTGTTTTGTTTTTTTTTTTTTTCCTCTCTCCACTCCTTTTTGTTGTAGCATAACCAGAACCTTTGCATCAGGTAAAACGGAAAAAGTGATCTTTCAGGCACTGAAGGAATTGGGTCTTCCCAGCGGAAAGGTATTTCGTGGCTGTGAATAGCTGCTTTTGTGTTCTGATAAGGTGGTGACTCACTCACGTTTGTAGCTGTAATCGAAGCCATTTGCATCACAAAAAGCGCGTTACTTACTGTTGCTGGAGGTTGTTTACCAGAGCCAAAATGTAATTAAATCTGTATGGCACAGAGGTCCTTAAACCTCCTAGAGGAGGCTTCCCTTCTTTTCTGTCACAAACTACCTTTTGTTCGTTTATGCTAAGTATATGAGCACAAAATATGCATGTAATAGATTGCTTTGTTGAATTTCTTGGACTCCTCCTGCTCTTGCTCCCCTCCTTTGGAGAGCTGCTCTCCAGCTCTGTCCCACTCCAGGGGAGCCCCTGCCAGCAGCCCCAGAGGTGATGGCTTCAACTCCTGGGGTTTGGCTTGGTTGTTTTTTTCAAGCTTCAGAAGAAAAATTGATTGTTTTCCAGCTCTGTGTTTATGTAGAATTATTATTACAGTGAGGTTACAATACAAGCACATCAAACAGATCTACAATACAGATGAATTAGAATTACTTTGAGAGAGTACAAAAGAAACCAGGTAAATTTATACTTGGGAAGGAGCTAAACCAGTTCTCTGTTGCTTTTTTTTCTGATATAAGATACTCTCTTGGGAAAAGAGCACATAAGGTCTCTTGTCTGCATAAATGTACCTTTGCATTTCATTGCAGAATGATGAAATTGAGCCTGCAGCTTTTACTTATGAGAAATTTTATGAGCTTACCCAAAAGATATGTCCCCGAACTGACATAGAGGACCTCTTTAAGAAGATGTAAGTTCAGATTTCATATAATCTTGCTTTAAAGACATTTTGTTGTATTTTTAGTCCATAACTAATAGTTGCAGAGCACTGTAAAATGTTTCTGCCCTTGAATCCTATAGCATCAGCAGTACTTTAGAACAAGCTCCAGTCTATGTTTTACCCCTTCCTCCTTCTCTGACTGTTAATGTAAAAGTTCACTCTGTATTTTAGAGCAACTTTTACATGAGTTAAAGGAAGCACCTGGAACTTTTTTTTTGCATTGGCTTTACTAACAACTGTAATTTTTAACTTGCTCCTTTAGGTGATTAACACAGTACGTGAACTAATTAAATTCAGTAAGAAATTTGAAGTTTGGAAAGTTTCTTCACTAAATTTACTCTCAGCTGGAGGACTTACATGTTGTTTTATGATGTAATGTTTGTTCAGGGTAGGACGGTATGGTGTGGGAGGTATATTGAAGTAAGAAATTTGAAGTTTGGACAGTTTCTTCACTAAATTTACTCTGGAGGACTTACATGTTGTTTTATGATGTAATGTTTGTTCAGGGTAGGACGGTATGGTGTGGGAGGTATATTGTGCAAGCATAGACACTTAGCATGTTTTCTGGGACTGTTCATTTTGAGACTATGGGGCTAGCTTCAAGTAGAAGATAGGAGGTGGTTTTAAAAGTATCAACAATGTCAACATGTAAATCATACCTACTGTAGCATCGTGTACAAAAACTCACATTCTCTAATAAATTCCTTTTCAGCAATGGAGACAAAACTGATTATTTAACGGTAGACCAATTAGTGAGCTTTCTAAATGAAGTAAGCTTTTTCATACATTAACTCCCCCCCCAGTCTGTCTGCAGTTGCTTGTCCAGCCCTCCCATGCATGCCTGTGCTCCTGACCTGCTGTGGGAACATCCAGGGAGAAATCAGCCCCAGCCCCGTGTGCCCTCTGCTCTCTGCACCCTGGCCTTCAGCTGCGTCTCTTGGCTCCTTGGTGCTGTGCTGTGCTGTGCTGTGTGTCCTGTGTGTTTTGTGCTTTTTGTGCTGTTCCATTCCACTCCAATGCACCCAGTACTGGATTGCAGGCAGGTCTTTTACCTGTAGGCCCCAGCTAAATACATCCAGTCCTTCTAGAACAGCAGAAAAACTGAAGTGGGCGTTATAAACAGGGACTTGATTCTCCTCAGCACTAGTATTTCAATCTGTTACAAATCCACGAGCTAAGAGGATATTTTAAGAGTTTGTGTATGGATTTTAAAATACCATGTGTGCAGAATAGGAGGAGGAAATATTTTTATTGCTTATTTCCAGAATTCAGTTGTTGGCAGATGTATTTAGTATTTCTTAAAAGCATCACAAGTGTGTGAAGTAGTTCAATGAACAGTGTGGGCTTGGCTCTTCTCTATTCCTAAAGCACAGTAAGTTATAGAAAACTGGCTGGTTTGCAATTCCAGCAATAAATGCAGCATGTGGATTAGACAAGAGCACACCCATGGGAAACACACACATCCCACTGGGTTTTGTACCAGTAGATTATTGTCATCCTCAACATGGGAAGCTGCCAGCCTCACTATGTGACATTTTTATGTGCATTGCCAAAAAATCTCTCCAGCTCAAATTGTTTTACTAGTTATAGTTCAGTTTTAAATATTTATATATATTTATATTTATATACACATGTTTATTTATTGGATACTTCAATCTGAAGATCCAAACTGTAAGTTCCCTATATATAAAATTTAGAATGTAATTTTATTTTTCAGTACAGAACATGTGCCTTACTCTTCACTAAATCTGAATTACTTGTAGAAAGGGTGTTCAAAAAGCAAAGAGAGAGAGAGATTAACAGCTTGATTACATACTTGGGGTTACATACTTGGGGCTTTAGTTCATATCTGTTGGCAAGGCTTACTGCTGTGAGTCATCCTTTGATCACAGCTGTTTCCACAATTCAGTGTCTGAGTGGTTGCAGGGCTGGGTCAGAGCTAAAGCTTGTGCATTGGGAGAGAAAGGACAGAGCTGTGGTTTAAAGGATAAATTACCCTTTACAGCACCTCAGCCCAGTTCACCTGCAGTGCTAGGTGCATTCTACTGCCTGAAGCACACAGCCCCATCCCCACTTTAAACCACGTTAGCTTCAGATTTCTTTAGTGTCACTCTGCATTTTCAGGTAAATTGCTGTTTTATCTTTATTTTTAAATTGATTTAAATTTAAAATTGAAACCCCCTATCTCCGGGAACTGATTGAAAAATTAAGATTGAGTTGCTGTGCTCTCAATTTTGTGTGTCTTTAGCAGGTCTTTTTACAGAATTAGAAACATTATTTTATATAGGTAAATATAGGTAATATTGGGGAAATGCATAGGTAGTATTGGGGAAAAATGCATCTTGTTGACTACATTCATACTGACAAAATACATTTTGCAGTTGGAAATCCTGTGGTGGGCCCCTTTGGTTCAGGACCAGAGCTGGCAAAAATGACTCAAGTGTTTTTTCCAGGGAAGGACATTTATTCTGGTGACTGCAACCAATGCCTTTGGTCTGTGCTGGAGGTCTTTGGCCTCCAGCCGGAGTTTGAAGTTTGGGTCATCATTTGAAAGGACAAGAGGGCCCAGAATGTGCCTCCTGGAGGGTTCCTTTCTGTCCCCTGGCTGCTGGCCAGCCCTGCAATTAGCAGTGGTGTCCAATGCTGGCAAATATAGAAAGGTTATTATCATTACATAGCAGAGGGGAGTTCCTTGGCAGAGCAACTCTTCACGAGACTCTTTCACTTAAATTATTTTGAAGTGACCTCCAAGGCATGCTGCAGAAGCTCTAAGTGTTATGGGTTTTTAAGAGAGCATGAGTGAGGATGTGTTACTGGGGATGAGCAGAGTGAGCAGCTTTCCTGGAGTTTGTCCAAACTCCTGTCTCTATCTGACTTCTAAATGCTGCTGGCTGACAGATGATTTAATTGTGCTTTGGTATTAAAGCTTCTGGGAAGGTTTTAGAAACTTAATTGTTGTCACGCACTGAGTATTTCATCTAGATCTCCTATTTTTAAAGTCAGATTTTGGGAAAAAAAAAAGAAGGAAATATAGTAGAAAAGGGACTGAAATCACTACCACTGAGATTTGCTCCTGCAGTTCATTCACAGCAATAAAATAACAAGGCAAGTAACAGTTTAAATGGAATTTTCAGTATTCTGGCCATTCTTTTGGGAGGCAGGTATGGGGAGATCCCTTCCTATTCCCAAGTCCTTGCTCTCCTCCCTCTCTCCCAGTTTCTTCCTCCTCCTCCCTCCTTCCCACTCCCTCTTTCCATCCCCCAGCTGTCCATCTCCCCAAAAGGGCCTTCTCACCCCCCAGGCAGGTGCTGGTTTCAGTTAGAGCTGGTTTTTCGTCTAGATCTCCTATTTTTAAAGTCAGATTTTGGGAAAAAAAAAAGAAGGAAATATAGTAGAAAAGGGACTGAAATCACTACCACTGAGATTTGCTCCTGCAGTTCATTCACAGCAATAAAATAACAAGGCAAGTAACAGTTTAAATGGAATTTTCAGTAGTCTGGCCATTCTTTTGGGAGGCAGGTGTGGGGAGATCCTTTCCTATTCCCAAGTCCTTGCTCTTCCTCCCTCTCTCCCAGTTTCTTCCTCCTCCTCCCTCCTTCCCACTCCCTCTTTCCATCCCCCAGCTGTCCATCTCCCCAAAAGGGCCTTCTCACCCCCCAGGCAGGTGCTGGTTTCAGTTAGAGCTGGTTTTAGCACGCTGAGCTGTGTCTGAGGGGCTGGGGCAGCTGGGGAGGAGGCTGGGTGAGCTCTTCTCTCCCTGCAGACCCTCTGGGCACCCTTTCTCCCCCTGCTCCCCGTCAGTGCACCTGCTCTGGCTGGCAGTGCCTGCTCTGAGGTGCCCTGCTGGGGAACCAGAACAACCCGACACAGCTCTGCTGCACCTGGGGCGTGCGCTCTGCTGAGGTGAAATTTCACACTTGGGTTTCTGGTGAAAACAAACCACGAGTTCCCTGTGCCACCACCAAGCTCTGGGTGCAGAATGTTCCCAAGAGACACTAGAGAGCACTATCGCTTTTTAAAAGTAAATCTTTATCTGCTGCCATCTCTATTTTTTAAACAAAGTGAATGTAAGGACACCCTTCTGCTCCACTGGAGGATCAATAATGAGCAGTGATCACTGCTGCTGGAAGAATATTTTGCTCTCAGCTCCTTCTGGTAACTCTGGGACTTTTTCTCAAGAGGAGACTTTTTGCTTTGTCCCATTTATTTCCTTCTGTTTGCTCATTGCTAACTGTAGGAGAAAGCGAGTGGGGAGAGCCCTTTTCTTGAGCAAAGAACCTTCCCTGGTATTCTATTAGGTTCTGTTTTATGAGCCTTCAAAAGGGAACCTAATACCCTAAGGTTAGCTTGGCTGTTACCTTTGGAGGCGAAGAATGAGCAGGATGGCTTCTGCTGCAGTGTTAGAAACAAAAAGGTTTAATAAAAGGCAAAATAACAAACAGAAAATCCAAGCCAGGTACAGAGGTCTGCTCCTGGTACAAACACGTTCACAAAGGCAGTTCAGTTCTTTTGTCCTCCTCTTTTTCTGCCTTATGGCCCAGGTGGGACTTTTTGGCTCCTATCCAATGAGGTGACCCCAAGGTTTTAGTGAAGTCTCTGGGGTCCTGTAAGGTGGTTTTTCACCTGATCGTTGGGAGAAGCTTCTGGGCTTCCTTCCTTTTTTGGGGGACAAAGGCTAGCTTTGCCATTAGGGGCATTCTCCTACACTCCCACAGTATTCCTGACCATTCTGGAGGTGCTGTTCTGTCCCTGGGGGGTCAAGCCTTGTCCTGTGTCCCCCTGGAGCTGCTGCATGCCCGCTGTGGTGCTGCTGGTGTGTCCTGCCTCGTGTGCTGCCCGTGGTGGTGGATGTGAGTGTTCCTGGGCATCCCCAGAGCCCCATGGCCTGCACAGACCTGCTGTGTTCACATGCTGCACTCTGCCAGTGGCATCCCCCAAAACACCCTGCCCAGCTGCATGACTGAGCTGCCATTGCTTGTAATTTATTGCACTTCGTTAAGCACAACCACCAATGGGTTGGTTGGAAGAAAAGAGATTGGATTGGATATTGCTTTTCTTGTGGAAAAACAGAAATGGTTATAGAAGTTTCCACATAAGGAATTACAGCAAATGCTGGTAGTGCCATGTCACCACCATCCTGTCCACTCCAAATTATTGACTGCCACTGTGGGGGTGGCCTCTGACATCTCTGAATTCTCTGAACCTAAAGCTTGGAAACTGTGCACCTTCTGGGGTAACAGAGTGTTTTCACAGTCATATTTATTTCTTTGTTTTGTTGTGTCTGCTTACATGCCACTACTCCATCAATTCTGGTTTGAAATTTCTTTCAATGGACAATCAGGCTCACAGTGTGCAGCTCTAATCCAGCATGGAGAAAAACCAAAGTTCCATAGCACACTATAAAGTGAAAACATACAAATTCTGAGTGTTATTAGTCTACTAGAAATCCCTGCTAAATTGTACCTAAACATAACATCTATTGTTAAATCCTAATATTATAAATTATTGTGAATTAAGAGATGATGCTGTGAAATTCTTGTGCATATTTATTCCAAGAACCTATGCTGGTTTTTGAATAGTTAAAAACACAATGTTTGCACAGTTCACAAATAATCATCCAGTACTTGCATATTTCTAAACTCAGATTTCAAATTCTGTATGTATAGCATAGCTTTATTTTACTTTTTTTCTTTAGCTGTAGGCATTGTGTAAGACTTGCATTTTTGCAGAGGTGATTGCAGTGCCACCAGTCAAGTCTGTCACTTGGCAAAAAAACAAAGGATAAGAGAATTTACAAAGGGACATTTAGCTATTTGTTTTCAACATCTCATTTGCACAGATTCCACATGCAGTCATTATTTTCATGAATAAGCTAGAGTAAGACCAGTTATGTGATTGCACTGGATTTTTCTTTTTAAAACTATTTTTGTGATCAAGCTGCCTAGGTTTTTATGAAAGATAAAGATATTTTCTACCTAATGCTGAAGTTGCTGTTGAGCAGTCTGTAAATCTGAAAATTTTAGGGCTGCTTTTTTAAATGTCCACTTCTTTCTTTCTCATCTGCAGTAATGAAATGCTCTTGGTGATAGCCATGCACTATATTGCTTTGCTGAATTCTGTTTTTTCTCACCTTAGCATCAACGAGATCCTCGGCTCAATGAAATTTTATTTCCCTTTTATGACACAAAAAGAGCACTGCAGATAATTGAGACATATGAGCCAGATGAAGACTTGAGGAGGAAAGGTAATGGGGGAGGGAAATCAGAGTTCACTGGCTTTGGGCATTTGGGGAATTTGTTCTGAAGCATTCAGGTTTTAAAAGGGAGTTTGCAGTCCCTGTGGTCTGGGGACAGGAACTTGTGTGGGGTGCTGGACCAGGAAACTGCTCTGCTGGAAAAGATACCTCCCCTTCAAAATCAGATTTTTTTAGAAGGATTATGAGCCTGATCCAGGTTAGAGTGGGGCACAAATCCTGGTAGGAAAGGGAGAGGCTGGGATGGAGTGAATGCAGAACAGCAGCAGGGCAGGGTGCACCTGGCTGTGCTCAGGGCCTCAGAGGCTGCCTAGCTCTGCAAAGTGCACATTCTGTGCAAAAAGAAAAAAGAAATTCCATGTGCATCCATCTGCTTACAGCATATTCTCTCTAGTGCCTGAGGGCAGCAGCCCAAAACAATAAATCACTCCCAAAACAATAAATCAAAACCCCACACTTCCAAATTCTTTAAGGATCCTGCTTTTTAAAAAAATATTAAAATTCTAATAACATGAAAAATTTCCACCAGAAGCTCTTCTGACAGAAAATCTGTGCCAGCTGTATCAAAAACGAGCACCTGGGATGCTGTACCTCCCTTCTGGAATGCGACTGTACCTTTCCCCAGTCTGTTGTGTTTTCAGGGAAAAGTATCCCAGGAGATCTACAAACTGGGCTCCCTTTCACACTAGGAAGCTGTGCTGATGTGGCTGCCCCCTGCTTAGGATGGAAGGTGTAAAAACATATTTTCTGAAGGTGGAAATAAATCCAAAATTGGGGAAAAAATTCAACCATGGCTAATTATTTAGCCTCTTTGGTTGATTTTTATTTCTATCAGGTTTTCAATAAATGTGAAAAATCTTTTGCAGGGGTGGGGTTATGGAGAATAAATAACAACAAAACAGTAGAAGTCCCCTCTGAGTGTTCCTCCAGGGATCTCTGCAGGGGCTCTTCTCTTCAGCTTCTTTCCTTCTTAGATAAAACTTTGCTGTTGAGCAAAATACTTGAGGACAACCTTTTTTTTCCTTTGGTTCATTTTTTGCTAAATCGTGTAGTTTAAGAACAGACAAAAGACAGTGGCAGTGAGCAGCTGACCCCTCCTCAGGGGCATTCCAGGGACAGCAGTGAGTAAAGCTGAACCATTCGTGCTGGGCAGGTCCGTAGGCAGAGGCTGCTCAGGGGCACCACAAAGCCAAGAACCCTGGTGAGAAACACAAACTCTGAGCTGCTGAGCACACAGACTCTGCCAGGCTGCCGGGGTCTCAGCTCTGTTCTGTCCAGAGCGCCCATCCAGCTGTGACATTTTTGCACAGGATGATGCATGAGGAGTGTGCATCGTCTGAGATGGGCTGTGCTGCATAAAGTACATGGTGGTAACAAAATAAAACCATTCTTCAAGTCCAAAATTCCCTTTTGCCCCTTTCTTTCATACTCAGGATCAGCTGAGAGGACTTGAGTAAAACATTCTGGAGCAGTTCACCTCTGGCTGACACCAAGCACAGAAAATTTAAGCTCCAGTAGAGGATTTTTTCAGAAAGTTTGAAGTAGAATGGAAACTGGGATCACTCCACTTCTCTGTATTAGAGAAAAACAGACTTAAAGAAAATAAAAATAGGACTGCTGCAACCTTGCCTTAACAATAGCTGAGTGTTCATAAATTACTTCAGGGAAAGCAATGTCAAAATTCATGCCAGGTAACCATTCCCTGCAGCAGCTCTTTGTGAGCAATCCCTTCTTCCCTATCACAGATAATTTTCGTTTTTCAGACCCTTGGCCTCTTTAAAACTGATATTGCCATACTAATTATTCCTAATTTGGTTTCATTTAAAATTACCCCTTGATTTGTATTTTCTTATACTTTATTGAAGCACACACCAGCAGACAGGTAAGAGAGAGGTGTTATGAATTCTGTGTTCTGAATTCCTGTGTGTGCCATGTTCATTGTAGGTTTCTGTTTTCATTTACGAAGGTATGAGCATGTACTTCAAACAGTGGACTGGAAGGTGTTGTAGATTTCCCTGCTGTTTGGTGAATGAGGCACTGCAAAGGTTCTCCTGTGCCCATGTCTCTGTCAGTGGGGAGCAGACCCTGCACGAGCTGGGTGACAGGGATGTAGCACAGGACTGGATGTGAGGGGGGAGGAAGGGCCACAGAAACCTGCCCCGTGCAGGCTCACAGTCCCTGGCTGAGGGTCCCAGAGATCAGAATGGCTGGGACACCCGTTTGCCTTCTTCACCTCCTTCTGTGCCTCAGCTCTGTGATGAGGCGAGGAGCTGGAGGGCACCTGGGTTCAGTTGGCTTCCCAGGAATGTCATGGCACACGTTGCACCAGCTGCTGGGCAGCCTGGAGCAGAGGGAGGGCAGAGCTGCCTGCCTGCAGGAACCCGTGTGAATAGCAGGTTTGTGCTGGAATCCCTGCTCTGTGGGGTGGTGGGGTGCTGTGGGCCCTGAACCCTGGCAGTGGCTGCCATGCCTCCCTCTTCCCGCAGGTGTGATATCCAGTGATGGGTTCTGCAGATACCTGATGTCAGATGAAAATGCCCCCGTCTTCCTGGACCGCCTGGAGCTGTACCAAGAGATGGACCATCCCCTGGCTCACTACTTCATCAGCTCCTCTCACAATACCTATCTAACAGGCAGGCAGTTTGGGGGCAAGTCTTCAGTGGAGATGTACAGACAAGTGCTTTTGGCTGGATGCAGGTTGGAAGCAGCAGATAATCCATATTTGTGAATCTAATACTTTAAAAATACTGCATAATGTACCTTGGTGTTGATATTTTGTACAACTGAATGTGTAAATATGTTAGTGTGACAAATGGAAATACATGTGTTTGTTTAAGAATCTTATTTTTCTCACAGAAGCAATTCCAGGCAGAGGAATGTAGAAATTGATATAAGGAGAGAGTTTGTGAGAAAGTTAGCAGGAGTTTGATCTCAGAATGACAGCTGAAGAATTTCAGAGGGCTTTCTGCTCTAGAGTGGCAAAGTTTATATGTTAATGAGAATCAGGAAATTCATTATTTCCTGCTTAATTTCTTGACTTACTAGCATGAGAATAAGAAGAGTGGCTCAGTGCTGAAGACATTATTGTCCAGATGAGAATATACTGACTCACATGCCATATTTAAGGTGGTGTATCCAAAGTGATAGAAATAACACATGTACAGCCTAGAAGGAGTTGTGCAATGCCCAAAACTGATTTGCAACTTACTGCTCTGACCATCACTGCTAAAACACGTGCCAGGTAGCTCACCTGTAATAAAACACTGCATTTACTTTCCTTGGCTCACCAGGTGTGTCGAGCTGGACTGTTGGGATGGCAAAGGTGAAGACCAGGAGCCGATAATAACCCACGGGAAAGCAATGTGCACAGACATCCTTTTCAAGGTAAAAAAGCCTGGCCTGCACACCTGGCAGCCCAGCCCAGCAGAACCCAGGCAGGGCAGCCTCCCCTCACTCCTCAGTGCTGCTCCTGGGGGATGCTGACAGGGCAGGGGGCTGGCCCAGGCTTTGGGGCTCTTTGGGGGCACCACCCACCCCTGTGCTCCTGCCTTCCCACAGAGCCTGCAGGGAGCAGGCTTGCTGCTTCTGCCCACTTCTTCACAGCCTGGGGCTCTGCACCACAGAATAAATATCTTCTCTGTTGCCTGAGGGGTTCCTCAGCTGTGGAAAAGGCTGAGGATGCAGGGGTTCCTGTGGGAGTGGGAATTCCCCCCTGGTGGCTGTGGGTGAAGGTGCCATCCTGCTGCAGGTGCAGGGAGGTTGTGGGGGGCACCAAGAGCAACGTTTTTCCTCCCTCTCTCTTCATTTGCACATTTCCCTGTGTTTCTCAGCGTGGGGTGGATAATAAAAAACCCCTTTGATTATGTTTTTAATGTGATCCATTCTGACTTGTATGCTGTTGTGGCTTTTTTGCAGGATGTAATTCAAGCCATTAAGGAAACAGCATTTGTTACATCAGAGTACCCTGTCATTCTTTCATTTGAAAATCACTGCAGGTGTGTGGTGCCCATTGTTAATTTTTAAATGGTGCATTGTCTGAGAGAGTTGATGTGGTTTAAAATACTATATGATACTTGAAAACTGGGGGGGTATACAGGCATACTAAATGTCACTTAATATATACCATTAATATACTAATCAATCTTTATGTAGCTTAATAGTGGCAATATTTTTATCTATGATAAAGCTGTGAAATGTATTTGGATGTTCCATTAGCTGTGTGAGATTCAGTTATTCTACTTTTTTGGTCTTGTTAAATTCATCTATGTCAAATAATAGACTTTTATTGACAGTATAATTACAGTAAAGTAATACTTCTCAGTTGAAACAAAGTGGGCAGTATGTAATTTGGAATGTCTCCATTACTTAGCATTATTCTTTTGTGTTGAGTGCTAGTGATTTATTTTTTATATTTGAAAATTAACTGGCATAATCTTTTCCAGCAAATATCAACAGTACAAGATGTCAAAATACTGTGAAGATCTTTTTGGAGATCTCCTGTTGAAGCAGCCTCTAGAAACACATCCAGTATGTTATGTTGTGCCAGTCTGTCTATGTTTTGTATTAGTTTTATTTAAAAGAGGTGATAAACTGAGCTCATACCACCTTTAGTGCTGTTCAGTGCCAGTCCTGTGCTTTCAGAAGTGACTAGTGGTTTTGGTGGCTGTGCTCCTGGTACAAACTTGTCTTTGTGTGGTTTGTTTAATCTCTTCTGTACAGGGCTCTGGCAAGCAGCCTGGGGAAATCCCCCCTTGATGTGGGATGTAATACCAGCACCTACATAAAACACCACATGCATTGGCTTGCAGGTCATACCTCACTCCGGAATTGCCAGTCACTGGTTCAAAACAATTAATTATAACAATTAATTATAAATGGCATGGTCTCAGCTGAGGAAAAGCTGCACAATGCATGTTTCATGCTCTGGGTCAGGCCCTGCAGTCTAGGTGGCCCCACTGGTGCATTGAGGATTAAATTAGGCACCAGGAGTTGCCTGCAGTCTCAGCTGGGCTGTAGCAGGCATGCACTTCACCTTCCTGCATGGCAGGAGCTAACAGCAGACACTCCTCCACAAACACCTGGAGTGTTTGAGACTGAACCCCTCGGTACACAGCGCTTGCTGCTCCTCCTCCAGACCCTCCCTGCTCCTTAGCACAGGCTCTCTGTGTGCCAGCCATCCCCCAGAGCCTGCAGGGGCTCCCTGGTGCTCTGGGGGACCACGGCAAGGAGGACCCTGCCTCAGCTGCAGCAGCAGGGCTCCTGGCACCCCCGGAGCTGGGCTGCTCCTGCCCAGGGAGGTGGTGCAGTCCCCATCCCTGGGTGTGCTTAGCAAAGCCTGGCTGTGGCACTGGGGGCCAGGGTTTAGGTGAGGTGTTGGGGCTGGGTTGGATTCAATGGTCTTGAAGGTCTCCTCCAACCCAGTGACTCTGTGTGGATCCTGTGGAAAGTGCATCCCACAGAACTGGGTCTGCAGTGTCCCCCTGTGAGGTTCACAGCACGCTGACACGTCCCTCACAAAAAGCTCCCAGCAGCTCTGGGAAGGCTGAAACAGAGCTGGCCAAAGGCTGCCATGCCCCAGGGCCCAGTTGAGCCTCAGCTGTGTGTGCTCCTCAGCCCTCTGTGTGCTGTGTCCTTCACTGGGTGGGCTCAGGAGGCAGAGGTGGCAGGAGCAGCTCTGGGCAAGTGCCCTCGGCAGGGGCTTGCACCTCAGAACCTGGGCCGGAGGCAGGCACACCAGGAGGGACACGGCACTTGGCTGGAGCAGGCTTGGTTTGAAGTGAGAGCAAATGTTTGTGCAAAGGACATCCAGGTGTGGCCCCGTGTGGGAATGCAGCCTGGCAGAAATGAGCTCTGCAGCACTGACACCTAGTGGGGCTACAGCCAGTGTGCCCATCCAGCCTGCTCAAATCCCCTCCTGGCTGCTGGGCAGCACCCCTGCCCTCCCTCGAGGAGGTTTCCACCCATTCTCCTGAGGCTGGGTTGATATGGTGTGGGGTTTGGGGGTTTTTTTGTTTTGATGCATTTTTTTTTCTGGGTTGTTATTTGTCACCTCTGCTGCTTTTATTTGGTTTCAATTCATGGTGCTTTGTTCTTCTGGAGTGCTGCTCCTCTCTAGCTCAGATTTGGATTGAGAGATCAGAATATCTGAATAGTTCTTCTAAGAATTGCTACTATTTATGGAAACACCTGCTGCTCCTGTATCATTTAGGCTTCACTGGAAACCCCAGACTGTTGTGGTGCTGAGAGTGCCAAGTTGTGGGGTCAATCTCTGTATGGGCCATTCACTTGAGAGTTGGACTCGATGATTCTTGTGGGTCCCTTCCAACTCAGAATATTCTGTGATTATACCAGCAACTCCCTGGATAATATTCCTAGCAAGCCTGGGGTGGGGAAGATGCTAATCACCTTACCCAAATCTCTGTTTGTTAGCCTCAGTGATGCCATGGGGCTTAAATCAGAGGAGTTCATACTTTTCCTCTTTTCTGAGTAATATTTTTTCTCCTTCCCCAAACTGGAACTTGTATTAATGCTTCCTTTTGTGTGTGTGTGTGTGTGTGTGTGTGTGTGTGTGTGTGTGTGTTCTCCTTCCCCAAACTGAAACCTGTATTAATACTTCCTTGTGTGTGTGTGTGTGTGTGTGTGTGTGTCCGTGTCCCCTTTGCCTCTGGGAAATACTGAACTTGTGACCCCACTGGCAAAGCCAGTCCCCATTTCCCAGCTGAGGAGTGGGTAGATTTCCCTGCCCCAGTGCCAGTCCATTTCCACTCTCCAGGTGGGTTACTGCAGCTCCAGGGGACCATCAGAGGTGATTTATTTAGAGATGAAGTGATAACAGGCTGAGCTGTGTCCGGGGCTGTGTGAGCCGCAGCAAGGGAGGGAGGGAAGGCAGGAATTCCTCTGAGAGGGGGTGCAGGTCACATCCACGGCCCCTGCTAGGCAGCAGAGATGGGAAATGCTCAGAGCAGTGCAGCTGGGGCTGGCACAGGCTGGAGACATGAGTGCTGGCTTTTCCAGCAGCTTTGCTGAGCACAGCTTCCCCTGGGGCAGGGAAGGAGAGCAGACAGTGGCACTGCAGTCACACACCCTGGGGTGTGCCTGAGGTGGCTCTGCTCCTCCACTGCCCCTTGGTGTTGCTGCCCTAAAATCCAGATCCCAAACAGGGACAGGGAGGCCAAATGGCTGTGGTTATTATTGAGCATTGTCTTTGAATTGTTTTACAGCTTGAACAAGGGAAAGCCTTACCATCTCCCAATGACCTCAAAAGAAAGATTCTCATAAAGAATAAAAGGCTGAAACCTGAAGTAGAAAAGAGTAAGTAACGTTTGTCAAATGCTGAATAAACAAAAGTCCAGATCACTACAAACAGACTTTGTTACCAAAGTTTCCAGATTGTTTGTACTTCAGTGTTGGAAGAATAGGAGTTATATGTAAATAACATTTGGTTGCCCTTGTGTTTCATGTGAGTGCCAGTCTAGGCCTTGATATCAGCACGCTGCACAGGCACAGACAGCCCCAGAAATGTAATCCTGGACTTTTATCAGACTGCTGGTTGAGCTGAAATATGAGGCAGATAGAATCTCCTGTCAGCTCTGCTGACACTGGTCTGTTTGCATTGCTGTGTTCTTCCAGGATAAGCATGAAATGAAATGGAATTTCAAATTGCTCTTCTTGCTGTTGTTGCCAGCTGTGATATTTATCTCCTTTCAGTAACAATAATGTAGCTGTATTAGTTCCCAGTATGGCTGTAATGATAAACCCTGGTCCTTCTCCCTCCAGAGATAAGCTCCCAGACCTTGCAGTGGCTGCAGCCATACAGGGCTGTGCCCCTGTCTGGCTGAAGTGCACATGGAAACAGCTGGAAATGCCAGCACTCTGCCTCCACTGCAGGGACCAAGCCCTGAAGAGGCAGCATCTGTCTGGCCTGTGAGGAAGTGATGTGCCTGCTCCAGAGACCTGTGGGGTCCATGGGACCTTAGGGGGGATTTCTTCCCAGCAGGGGTGGTTGGACATTGGAATGGGCTGCCCAGGGAGGTGGGGGCTGCCTGTGGCACTCAGCCACTCTGGCTGACAGAGCTGGTGGTTCAGGCAGAGGCTGGATGCAGTCTCAGAGGCATTTTCCAACCTGACTGGTGCTGTGCTGCTGTGAAGTATTTTCCTTAACTTCAGTGAGCTCTGGTCACAGCCTTCACTGACCACTTTTCAGATCTTGCAGCAGTCTGGGTTTATTGGTGCTACCTACTCTGTGACATTTTATTACTCACTGAGAAGTCAGAGAACTCATTAAACAGAATGCTCTGAGGAGCAGGGAATCATTTGTGATGGTTCTCTTGTATTTCTTGTGCTACAAACTGTTCATGTCACGACTAATTTAATTTCAATTTCCATGTTAACAGAACAGCTAGATGCTCTGAAGAAGATGATGGAGGCTGGGGAAACTGCTGCTCCTGTAAATATCCTGGAGGATGACAACGAGGAGGAGATAGAAAGCGGTGAGGGTTCCCTGGAGAAGGCTCTCAGTCCCTGCCTTGGCAGATCCCTGGGCTGGGCGCTCTTACCCTCGTGCCTGTGCTCTGTGCCAGCAGCAGCAGCAGCTCTGGGCTCAGTGCAGGGCATCTGTACACACCCCAGCCTTGCCACCTCACCCCAGACCGTTTTAACTCCCATTTACTGGGCAGAAGCTGTGCTAGAGCACCAGCCCAATCAGATCTCCAGTCTCTCTGGGAGAGGGACACTAAGAAGTTATGTTCTTTGCTTTGAAAACACACACTGTCACTGTGTTTAACACTTGTGTCAGCATCCAAGGGGATTACTGCATTATACTTTATAAGGATAAAATGAGGGGTGGGAGGGTCGTTTCTTGCCTGTCCTCAGTGTAAATGTGCAGCTCTGAGACAGTGATGTGGCCAGCAGAGAAAAATACACGTATTTAGGGTGTGATCCACCCTGTCTGTTTCAAATGTGCACCTTCAGAAGATGTAAATCACTCCCACCTGCCCGTGTCTGAACCCAGGGGCTGGCCTGTGCTCTGTCACAGTGAATGTCCCAGCCTTAGCCTGCCTCCTGCTCCTCTCATTTTTTCACTTTTTTTTCCCCTTTTTAGCTTTGAGTACTGTAGGTTGTAATGGAAAATCACCTTAAAAGCAAATGAGAACAACTCCTGTAGTGGGGACACACAAGGAGCCTGACAATGCACTCAAGAAGCCTGGCCACTGGCATCTTCTTAGATCTTTATTTGAAGAGCTCTGTCATCTCTTCTTGTTATTTCCCAGGGCTACTGGCTGTTTTTTTCTTTACACCTAGGCAAAATACTGATTATTTCAAAAATACAACAAAGAAAATTTCTTTCTAACCATCTCAGGCCTTAGCTGTAATTTACTGCGCTTGGAAACAGTTAACTAACTCTTAGAAATACCCTAGATTTTATTCCTGTTTTTAAAAAATGCCAAACCCAAACCTGTGAATTCAACTGTCATTTGTTTCATGCCTTGCAAAGAAAACTGCAAGGGTTAACTGCACTTGGAAACAGTTAATTAACTGTTAGAAATCTAATACCCTGGATTTTATTCCTGTTTTTTAAAATGCCAAACTCAAACCTGTGAATTCAACTGTCATTTGTTTCATGCCTTGCAAAGAAAACTGCAAGGGTTTTTGCACTGATCCTCTTTGTTTTCTGTGCAGCTGACCAGGAAGAGGAAGCTCATCCTGAGTACAAGTTTGGAAGTGACCTTACTGTAGATGATTACAGTCAAAAAGAAGCTGTTGCCATCAGTGTCAAAAAGGTGGGATTGCTTCTTTCATATGTGCTGTTATGCAGACAACTTTCCATGGAGGTTGCCAAAGGCACTCTGCTTTGTGCAAACATCAGAGCACTTGTCACAAGATTCAAACCTGAGATCTTCACCAGGTGCCCCTTACCTTCAGGTTCATGAGAACACAGAGCCAAAAATACTGTCCCCTGGTTCAGGTAGGATAGTGGGATATGTGCTTATTGAGGAAACAGAATCAGGCTGTAGGGAACAGTACACAGGTGGAGGGTTCTGTCAGAAATCCTAATCAAAGGCAGCAAGCAGTTTCCTGCTCCAGCCTCTGGTGTTTCACTTTGCATCTCAGGTGCAGAATCCTCACAAGAGGTGGAACATGAGCTTCCTTGCTCAGCATTGTGTTTGCAGGGCTGCACTCTGTGTTTCAGTGCAGGGTTTTCCTGCACCATGTTTCATGGCTAGCCCTTGGGGTGGGTTCTTCTCTTCCTTTGCTTCAGCCAAGGCAAAGCAGGACAATAATCCCAGTAATTACTGGGGGTGTGGCAGGGGGCTCCATCAGGCACCAGCTGCAGACAGGGAGAAGGTTCTCTTGATTCCACCCATAGCTGACCATTGCAGTTATCAGTAACTTGAGCATGAGTTGATGCTAATTAGACACAGGGTAATTGAGCTCAGAACAAGCTGCTCTGGCTCTGGAGGCATTAGTGCTGCTTGCCAAGAGAAGAGCCCACACGTGAGGGCCAAGGTACCTTAGCAGATTGTGTTCCTCTGCCACTCAAGTGTTCTGGCCACTTCTTCCCTCCTCCGTGGTTTCCTTTGGCTCTTTCTGCAGACAGCAGGGCAGGAGTGGAGAATAGCAGTGTGTGCAGCAGTAGCAGAGCCATCAGATCGCGTGGTTTCCTCTGGCTCTTTCTGCAGACAGCGGTGTGGAGTGGAGAATAGCAGTGTGTGCAGCAGTAGCAGAGCCATCAGATCTGCCTTCTGGCTGTCTTCAGTCACCAGCTTTGCTTCCTCAGGACTTGTATGGATCCTCCCACTGAAGTATCACTTCACTTCTTTGCATTTCCAAGTCACTGGTCCTTAACTACCTGAATGGTTTGGGCTGGTTTGGTTGGATAGGTTTTGTTGTTGTTGTTGGTATTATTTTGAGGATTTTTGTTTGTTTGTTTCCAGATTATTTGCTCATCCTCAGCACACGTCCTTGGTAACTTCTCTGCTTCTTTGCTGATCACTGAGTTGATCTTTATTCTGCAGGAATGCACATTCAGTGCCAGGACAATATTTATCTGAGATTCTCAGTACTGGTAGCTTTTAACTGAAGGCAGACACCAGATTGCTGCATTGCAAATAACATCTTGGGACAGGCCTTCTCCAATGTGGACATTCAAGCACAGCTTACAGCACTCTGAACCCTCAGTTTTCAGAGCCTGGCAGTTTGCACATCCAGCTCAGATGATCTTTATTGTGGTATCTTTATCTGGGTGTGTTATTCTTTCATTCTTCCCTGAGGCTTCCTGTCCCCAGCATCTAGTGATAGCTCTGGTTTAGGCTTAACTGTCTGGCATCCTTCATCCTATTCCCATGGCTGAGTGTCAGATCTTGTGTACCCAAATTTGGAATGGACTACAAAGTTTTGAAAGTGTATGGAACAGATGATCCTTACAGGAAGGTGGAAAAGGGTTTACTTTTTGCTAAATGTATTAGTTTTTTGAGGATTTTTTCTCGTTGCTGTGAGTGTTTCCTATTGCTTTTTCTTTGGGTAATGTATATATATTTTTTTTCCCTCAGGCTGTTGAAGATTCTGAACAAGAAAACAATAAAAAGGTGACACAGGATGTAATGTAGTTAATTTTATTGCTTTATATATAACATGCATATTACTTACCATGCATTCTCAGTGGATTAACAATTTTATGCTCAGTTTTCACCACACCTATTTTGGAAAGTGACTCTACCTCCTTTTGTCCTCTAGGGCCTCTTCTGCTGTGCTTTTATACTGGGGTCAGGGCTGTCAGAAATTCTGGGCACAGGCAGGAGTGCATGACCTTTGCCTGCTTAGAAGCATCTGATGTCATGCACTGGGAAACCTGTCTCTGAGTGCTGCTGAGATGTAACATCCCTGCTTGGTTTGTCCCTCTGCCCTTACCCTGACTGCACTTTGTTTTCCTCTCTCTTTCTTCCTTTTGCTTTCCCTCGGGACTTCTGCATTTATCTTCTCCCAGGAATCCCTTCTGTAAGACTCTTCCCACCTCTTTCCACTCTCCTCCTGCTCTTCTCTCATTCGAGCTGCTCCTGTTCATAACCACACTTTGTTTCAGTCTGTGTTGTTTTCTGAGTGAGTTCTACTTCTTTTCTTGAGGGGTGGGGAGGTGTAAATGCCATGGAGATCAACTTTCCCCCTTGTCTTCTCTATCCCCTTCAAAGCTGGAGTGCTGCTGTAACCATTCCTTTGTTTCTGCAGACTTTAGGACACATTCCATCCTTGCCCCTCTCTTAACTCATGCTTTTACAGTTGTGAACAGTGCAGAGTACAGCCCTACTCTAACAATTAGGGGAATAAGATAAAACCAATGGCTGGGACATGGTCTTTGAGCCAAGTGTCACGGGTGCAGTCCCAGAGCTGTGCCTGCAGGGTGCCAGTGCCAGGGCACTGAGGATCACAATCCCTTTGGCTCCCTTTTCCCTGGGGCTCCTTTGGTTGGAGGTGTGGATGGATCAAGACTGGTCAATATGATTAGCTGTTCTGAGCAGTCACCAGCAGGCATTTTAAAGAGCCCTGGGGTTTAGGAGGTGGGTGGTCAGTTCTTCCTGAGTTAATGGCCTTTCAAAAGTTAAGACACGGAAAAGAACTGGTTTCATTCAGGAAATTTGGCCTGAATTTGACCTAAGCTCTCTTAACAGCTATTGACCTAGTAACGAAAGAAACCCAAAACCCCCAAAAGCCCTGTTTTCTACTAACACAGGGTTGTGCTGTGGGCATATCTTGGGATCAGATCTGTGAAACCTCAATATGCACATTTCTGAAAAGCAGTTGGCTTGAGCCCTGATGAGCAGCATTAAAATATGGTGTCAGTTTGATTTCACGGGCTGCTGGAAGTTCAGTTCAGTGCAAAATGCACGTACAACAGTGTGTACCTGGACTCATTCTGCTAGCTCAGTCACTCTGTGCAGTCACAAAATCGTGTTCCTTGTGACTATAATCATCTCATAGCAAGGCATGAGTGGTTGCAGTTCACGTGGTTTCATTCTTTGGGGTGTCTGCACTGCCTGGCAGGCAGAGGTGCCATCGTTCTGGGGAGTGGGTTCACTTCTCCTTTGCTCTCCCACCTGAGGGAGTAAATGAGCTGCAGCAGTGTGGGTTCTGTCACCTGCATTTCCCAGAAAGGCTGGTAGAGCTTCCTCCTCCTGGCTGTTTCCTGAGTCCGTGGTGAGGGAGAGCTTCTGCCAAACTGAGCTGCAGTCTGAGTGTTTGAATACACTTTGTGCTTCCCAGCAGGAGGTCACTGTCAGCCTACAGGCAGATTGTTTGGTAGGAGAGCAACCAGAAATGCATGTGTGGGAAAAACATGATGAATTTGCAGAGATTGCTTAGCTTGACGGAGATATTTTTTTCTTTTTTTTCATTTCAGTGAAAATAATGTGTTTCAAACTGGTTTAGGGACAGACAAATACTGGACAGGGAAGGCCAAGTAAGAAGGGCCTCCTGATGTGGGTTCCTAGCAGATGAGGTACTTGTAGAAAACTCTAAGTTCGGGTATAAATCAAGTGCATATTATATAGGTGATAGAGACAGGTTTTTACCAGTTGAAGTGGGTAAGAATAGGAGCTTGGTACTGTGTCTCTTGTCAGTCTTGTGACATCTGTCCAGTGAAGGCTGTGGCTCCTACGTTTTGGTTTGCTTCTGTTAATTAAGATTAAAAGTGGAACCCGTTTGTGTTTTGGTGGTGAGGAACTTCTGCCGAGTGCCAAGTACACACAGTTTCTATCAGAAAATGCATATTAAATCACAGTTTTTGGAATTTATTTGACAAAGATGGATCATTATCTCCCAGCATTGTTCAGGCTGTTGGAATATTTATCTTTTATCCCAGTGTTATCCTACTAACTTCATGTAATATTTAGCCACTGCTTAGGAGCTTTTCTGTCATCAGCCCTCTTGCATGCATCCTGTAACACTGAGAGTCTTATATCAGCAAGAAAATAAATTGTGACTTGTGGCACTAAACCTCCACTTTTCTTGTATTAATGTGCACTGTCTTTAACCTTCTGCAGATTTGGGTATGATTTTGTCCCACCTTTGCAAAACCCAGCAGCAGTGTTTGCATGCAGAAATGGTGATTGTTCTTTTTAATGTGTTTCCAGGGTTTAGTAACTGTGGAAGATGAGCAAGCGTGGATGGCATCTTACAAATATGTAGGTGCCACAACCAATATACATCCATATTTATCAACAATGGTCAACTATGCTCAGCCTGTAAAATTTCAAGGTTTCGATGTAGCAGAAGGTAACATTAAAGGTTGAATGAAATACAAGTATTTGCTTAACCTAGCTAGTTTTTTAATCTCTACATTGCCTGAATTTAGAAATAAAGGCATAAGATTTTTCTAGTTTAATGACCATCATCAGTGTGTTTGTAGACCTGTTTCCCTGGATGTGAAGTTAGCATGTTATTCCATTAGTCATCCACACGGAGTCAGTAAATTACTGGGAGAATAGGAAGCTGTTGAGGCTGGTTCTATTCCTTGGGCCTTTCCAGTTCTTTTGAAATGCTTTTTTTTAGTTCATCTCTCTGCAGTAAGGTGAGCACAGCTGTCACAGTGGGCAGCAGTGAGCTGATACTGCACACCAGACAATTTATCATGTTGGTTTGCCTTATCTACCACACAATGCAGGCTCTGAATATCAATGTTGTCCTAAACAAGAAAGGAAAATGTTGTTGATTTCCCAAGGAGAGAAACAGAGAAGCGAGTCAGAAATACTGTGAAATTTCTCATCACTGTAATTTGATTCTATGAAATTTCTTATCACTGTAATTTGATTCTATGAGTAATAGATAATGGGGAAAGAGACCAAACCCTGCTGTGTCCTGCTGTTACAGTGCATGATTTTGAGTTGTGATTTGTCATTACAGAAGTGTTTTAAAACATCTTGTCTTTTCTTTCTAGAACGTAATATTCACCATAACATGTCCTCTTTCAACGAATCTGTCGGACTGGGCTATTTGAAGACTCATGCCATTGAGTTTGTGAAGTATCCTTTCACTCCTCATCCCATTTCCCACCAGTCCTAAAACAAACCAGTGCACCTTTTTAGATTCAGTGTTGCATGTCTGCAAGGGGAAGGGGAGTATTTCTCCTACCTCATGCGAGGGGAAATAGTGAGATTTGAATTCAGATTTGAAGTGAGATTTGAAAGACTCATGCCATTGAGTTTGTGAAGTATCCTGTCACCTCCTCATGCCACTTTCCTACCAGTCCTAAAACAAATCAGTGCACCTGTTTAGATTTAGTGTTGCATGTCTGCAAAGGAGAAGGGGAAGTACCCCAAGAAGGAGAAATAATGAGAATAACAGAAGAGGAGTGTTTTGGTACTGAAATGCTGAAGGTAGCAGGACACGCCTCTGCATCCCTGATGCTTTTATTTGATTTTCCTTGATGAATTCTGCAGTTACAACAAGAGACAGATGAGTCGGATATACCCAAAGGGAGGCCGTGTGGATTCCAGTAATTACATGCCTCAGATTTTCTGGAACGCTGGCTGCCAGATGGTCTCACTGAACTATCAGACCCCAGGTAGGCAGCAAGGAGCAGTGACCCTCACTCCTAAAGAATGGCTTGGGCAGTGCTCTCAGACAGCTGCCATGGGTTTGCTGCTGGCATTTCTGGAGGCAACGACATATGGCTGAATAATGCAGCGGGGTGGGATCAGGGAGGCATGAGACAAGGAGCCATAAAAACAGCCATGCACACAAGGAAAATCCAGTCCTCTTTTGTGGAAAAATAATGGAGTACTGCATCTTCCCACAGAAATGGTTTTATTAATAAAAAGTGTTAATTACAGGGAAATCAGTGCTTTCACAAAACACAGCTCTGGCACAGTTGGGTGCATGTCTGCAAAGCAAAGATGGAGTGCCCTGATTAAGATGGTAAAAAGTAATGACTGTGTGACAAATGCATTTCTAGACCAGTTGTTGTGAAGTGCTAGGAGTCATGTGCTCAGGTCTGAGATCCCAGCTGAGAGAATGATGCCAGGGAATGGGAATGCCTCTCCACAGGGTGGTCTGAGAGGAGATGTACTGTTCCTGTTCAGTGAAGGCGTGAGTATAGCAGGGAGGCTTGCTTTCTGTCATTTTGATTGGTTTTTTTAATTCATCTAGTAATGTCTTCAGTGAGCTATATAACAGACCCATTTCCCATTGCCTTTTTGTGGCTGTGGCAGTGCTTTTGTGCTCACTCCCCCTTCCCTGAACAGTCTTTGGTACAGCAGACACTCCTCTTGGTCATCCCCTGAGTTCTGTCCTGCAAAGCTGTGCCCAGGTTCAGCAGCTGAGGAAGAGGAGAAGGGATACCCTGGAATGTGCTGCTTGCAGAGCACTGCAGTGGACATGCCAGGGAGGCTGGAGCAGAAACACAAGGCTCACTGTGCTCCCAGCACTGCCTCTGCCCCCTGCCTGTCACTGCCAACCCCTTTGTATTGCACATTAACTGCAGTAGTTGTCTAAGTGAAGTGAACAGCTTGCCTGTGGTCCTCTTCTGTGATCCAGCTGTGCTGGCAAGATGAAGATGATTGAGGAAATAAACATTACAGCTGCCCAGTAACTCCAGTAATAACTGGGAGGGACATAAGGCAGTCTTGTATTTTGTATATCAGAGCACCAACAGAACAGATTTTGTTGCCTTTGAAGGTACAGTCAGCTGGGCAAGAGAAAAACCTGGTTTGTTGCTAAGCCAGGAGATTGTATTCTTGTGTAAGTAGAAAGCTGCAGGAAAACATTTCATTTTTTACCAAGTTCTGGAGAGGGTTGGATGAGAGGGAGGTTGTTACACGTCCATGGTATGTCTTCCCTTGCAAGTGCTCTAACAGTGCACTCACTAAAGCTCACAAGCTTTTAAACTGAGCAGTGCTGCTGTGATCTTTGTGGTTTCTTTCCGTGGCATTTTATTCAACTAAGTCCACAGCAAGCCAGTGGGACATGCCCCTCACCTTCCTCAGACAGGAGGCTGCAGGCAGCTTCAGAGGTGGTGGTTGTGTGGAACACATCCTCCAGGCAAGTCTCCTCTGGTGTTCCCATGCTGAGGTTATTTGCACTGTTAAAGCTCCTGCATCCTCTGTCATTCAAAGTGAGCTGCAGAAATGTGGACACCTGCACTGTAGGTACCAAAAGTTAGATGATGGAAATCCCATCCCAGGCACTTGGCATGTCCACAGTTGTTACTTCCCTGCCTGCCAAGTGTGTTTGAATTCAGGGAAAAGACTTTTTCCTAAGCACAGCATGGACTTCATCCTTCTTGGTAAAGCTGTTACTCCTGTGAAAAAATAGAAGTTTTCCTGTTGCTTCCTTTTAGTTCTTAGATGTGGGTTTTATATGCATTAAATTAAATTTTTATTTAAACTTATTATTCTGGAAAAACAGTCTTACTTTCTGATCTAGTTCATGATCTGCATTATTCAGCAGGAAAGTGAGTAAATTCTCTCTCTTGGCAGATTTAGCAATGCAGCTGAATCAAGGAAAATTTGAGTACAATGGATCGTGCGGGTGAGTGATATCATTTAAACTGTTGTCACTGTGCATCAGTCCTTTACTAAGGTTTTAATAAGATTTTGTCACTGTTAATTATGTGCTACAAAAGGAAAATGGGATGCTAGGTGTAGAGTAGAAATCAGCAGAGTTCAGGGAGAATTATCCCCCAAAAGGAGGTATTCTAATGAATATGCCTTTAATTATGCCCAGTTTTTAAATGAGATCCAAGAGGCATTGTGTTCATATTATGAAGATCATGAATACTGTACACAGTTATTCAAATCCATCTCCACCTGCTGCTCTCAGCCTTTCTTTGAAGATGTGCCTCAGAATGGAGATTCATTGCACAGTTCACAGAATTGTCAAAGTTACTTGGACAAGTGGAATCTCAATAGACAGGGAACTTATTTTTAATCTGTGCACTCTTAATTGGAGCACAGATTTCACAGAGAATCTTGAAGTGTTTCATCTAAGTTCTTGCTCATGATTTTTGCACGACAAAGGATGTCCAAGGGATGCTGATAGATTTTTCTCAAATTCTGAGCATAGGCCTTAATAGGATAGACTGATCATTAGGAGCAGGAGAAAAGGAGAAGTTTAATGAATCTCAGGAAATGACAGTCCAGAAACACATCAGAATCTGCAAACTCTTCCTGGGAAGGAACTACTCTTTTACTGCTCTTACTCAGAAGGAGAGTCTGGGTAGATGGAGCTGGGTAAAATTGCTCATTTGCAGAATGGGCACAGAGTGCTTGGCCACCCCCTGCCTCTATTGCAGCTCTGAGCACTCCAGAGGAGGCTCTGGGCTTTGACAAAGCTGCACTCTGGAATTTCAGTCAGAACAAAAGAATAGAAGAAAACCAAAGCTTTCCTGTGGCAGAGTTGGGTTCCTTTCTGGCTGGACCCAGCTTAGTAAATGAGTACCTGCTTACTTTGCCAAATTCTCTGAAGGACAGGCAAAATTATCAACTGAATTCCTGGGCTCTTACATCAGTGTTTTGATAACATAATGGTAATGCGTGGTAATGTTTTGATATGCATTATAAATGTGGTGGTCTTTCAGTCACAGAAGGGAAATGAAAAACTGAGCATTTCCTTCTGCCTGTACTCCTCTTTTCTCAGATTTGCAGCTTTCATGCAGATCAAACAAGGTCATTTCAGCATTTTTATTGCAGCAGGCTGAAAGCAGAGGCTAAGGATAGTTAGTTCCTTTCTGCCCCAACCTGCTTTAAATTAACAAAACATTAAGAAATCACTTTTCTAATGGAAGAAAAATGAGTAATATTACTTTCAAACAGAAGCAAAGTTATTTAAAAATGGGTGAAAACACTGACATTCTTTCCACTGGAATTTTTCTAGCATTTTTTAATCCCTGGATTCTGTCTAGGCCTTTATCATATTGTGTACCAGTGATTCACAAGAGAGACCAAGGGTGGATAAAAATTCTTCTTCCAGCAGTTTTGTCTGTCAGGGTTGCAGAACTAGCAAGATTTTTCTGCTTGCACATTTTCTTCCATCAGTGGAAGAGAATGTCTGTAATGTGCAGCCTTTCTGCAGTGATCAGCTGCTGTTTCATTTTGGTGTCAGAATCCTTGGGTTTTGGTGCACAAAGCACAAATTGGCTTCATTGATATGTTGCTGCAGTGTGAGGTCCTCAGGGAGGCATTGTGAGTGTTATTGTGGTGGTACCTTTCACGCTGCTATAATTAACAATCTGTCAGCACTGACATTATCAGTTGTTTCCCCCAAGGTTCATAACCACAATGAAAAAATCAGCTTCAAGCTGAAATTTAGTGTATGAGTCTTGAACGGTAAGGAACTGCCTCATCTGGAAAAATAAAATTGAAAAATCCCTCTGTGCTTTCCCAAAGTGTTAAAGAATTCAAACAAATGAGAGCATCTGTGTTTTATTACATGGTAACTCCCTGTATTTTCTAACTGTATTATTCACTTGCTTTGGAATGTCCTTGATTATATTATATTTATTTTTATCTTAAAATCCCGGATTGATTTCATCTCTCAGTAGCTGGTAATTCAAAATGAAAATTAGTGTTTGTCTGTGCTCCAGACAACCGTGATACTTTCTGTTACTTCCTCACTCTTGCAGCTGGAATGAGCCTGTGTTTTACACTGCTGTAGAGAGCTCGTTGTTTAAAGGCAGAACATCCATTTCATATGCATTTAATACCACTTTAATTTCCAATCAGGAATAATTTCTCTCTTTTCCCCTTGCAATAAGGTACCTACTGAAGCCAGATTTCATGCGGCGACCAGACAGGACGTTTGACCCGTTCTCTGAAACTCCTGTAGATGGTGTCATTGCTGCAACGTGCTCTGTGCAGGTAAAACAGCAGCAGGCAGCTGGCATCACACCCAGAAGCACATTTAGGATCACCAGAGGCAGGATATATGCACTAAATGTGCTTGGCCTGGGCAGATTTCAGCAAATTGGTTCTTTTTTTTTTTTTTCTTTTTTAATATTGCTGGCTAAGATGCCTTTGTTTCCTTGATCTGAGTGGAGTGTGATGGAATTGGAAATGATGTGTTACAAACATTGTGGTGTTCTGACAGCCTTGGTGGTCTTTTTGAAATCCACGAGCCCACAGAAACAGATAAAGGAGTGAAGTTCCTTCCCAAGCACAGTATGAAACTGCACAGCATCACTTGTCCCCGCAGGGCAGGGGGGAGTCTGGGCACACAGGGACAGGGCATTTCCAAAATGAAGGGACACAAATGGTTGGTGTGAGGCAGGCCCTTCCTTTGGAGTTATCTCTGAGTAGCAAAGTCCATAAAACTCCTGCTGCAGTTCTGCAGCATGGCCAGGTCCCAAGTTCTGGGGGGAGGCTGACAATTGTAAAACCTGTTTGGTGAGCAAGAGGCTTCAGCTTTCACTTAGCATCTTCCATGGGCTGCATTTGAATTTCACACCCTCGCTGGCCAAGCATTCCTCGTGCACTCCAGGTGTTGAACTGAGTTCCATTTGCACCTCTAGAAGAATAAGCATGTTTTATTAATGTCGTTTTTCTTGAAAGGTAATCAAAGCACAGTCCCTCCAAGAAGGAAGTGGGATTAGTTAATTACTAGGTCATGTATTTTGACAGTTGCCTTTCTTTTGTGACTAAAACTAGTATAAAATTCCATGCAAATTTTGTAATTAAGGAGTTGAATGGAGCAAAAGCCAACAATGATACCCCTCAGCCACATAACTTTTCAGATCTGGTATTCAGGGTGTTCCCCAGAAGGATGTTAGGTCATGGAAACAACAGGATTTGGAATGAGCTTAGGTCTGTGAAATCATGTTTCAGTTTCTTTCTTTCCTCCTTGATTGTAGCAATAATGAAAACATTAGCTGTATTTTTAAGTAATAGATCATCTTGGTGAAATAGAAATTTTCCCTATCACCTGCTGTGGCTGGATTAATCTTGACTTGGGGTGAAATGGCAACAAATCTTCATATCTCTAAAGATACCGAGGAATGGTGTGGGGTTTTGGTTTTTTCACTTTTTAAGCATCCTGCACTTTCCAGACACATAATATGGAGAAAGACTGACACATGATTAGCTTCAAACCTTCAGCTGAGTGAAAAAAAAGCAATAGTTTCCTTTCACCTCTTGTGCTCCAGATGCACCATAGGGAAAAGTGCTTCTGAGCAGAGTGTTAGAAGGTGTGGAATAGCAGTGCCAGCTCTGGTTGTTCCATTCAGTGTTTCATCCAGTGAATGCATCTGTGAGACAGTGCTGGTGATGGCATTTCAGCTGGAGGCTGTGTTTCCCTGTCTGATCTGAGAGGCTTTTCCAGAGAGGCGCAGTTTGAACACACCGTTTGCACACGAGGAGCTGAGCCCACGTGCCAGCTGTAAAGCATTTCTCAGTGGGAAATGCCCCTTCCCCGTGTGCCTGCTGTGCAGTGCCTCTGCCCGCTGTGTTGCAGGTGATCTCTGGGCAGTTCCTGTCAGACAAGAAGATTGGCACCTACGTGGAGGTGGACATGTACGGGCTGCCCACGGACACCATCCGCAAGGAGTTCCGCACGCGCATGGTGATGAACAACGGCCTCAACCCCGTCTACAACGAGGAGTCCTTTGTCTTCAGGAAGGTAGGGCCTGTGCAGAGCACAGCCTGGCCTGTGCTGTGCCCTGAGCTGCCCTGCCCCGAGCCAGCCCTCCCTGCTCCAGCCCTCTGCTCCCCGGATGGCTGCTGCTCCATGGAAAGGGTTTGTAGGGCCCCCGTTGCTGCTGCAGACAATGGGAAGCTGAAGCCAGCTTCCAAGAGGCTGCTTGCTTTTGGTTTGTTTTGGTTCTGTTTTCTTTTTTGGTTTCGCTTTGCTTTTATTTTTCTAACGGATAACCTCTGTAGCTATCACATGATTTTTTTTTGTTGTTTTTGTTTCCATTTGGCTTTTTCCTCCCCTTTGCTTCCTCCTCCCACTTGGAGGTAGCCACCTCCTCTGTGACCATGCCTGTGTTCAAGGTATGCAGTCTGCTCAGAATGAGCCCCGCTGGTGGACACCATCCTTCCCTGGAGATTTCTTCTTCCCTGCCCTGGCAGTGGCTGCTATCTTGCACTGTTCCTTCAGCCCAGAGGGCAGGTGAGATGCTGCATCCAAAGCTAAGGTCAATGTCATTACATGGAAAAGTTGGAAGGGTGCTGTGTTCCTCAGGCGTGTTGCCAGCTCCCTCCTTCAGTAGTCCATGTGCATCATGTACCTTCTTCTTTATTTTTTTTTCCAATACTGAAAGAAAAAACAACCCTTTTTTTCTTGGCATGGGGAATTTAAAGAGAGAGACCATTTGTCTGTGTTCAGTTTTTATCTCTCAGTCTTTATATATATATGATACACACATATATATATTTATTTTATTTTTCTTCTGTTGCCTGGAGTTTCATCCAGACTACATGTGTTACAGTGCTGTCTTGGATAACATCTGTTTTGCTTACACCTGTTTTGTTGTCATGCAGAATTGTTGCTCTTTTATTCCAAGTTCAGACTTCTAGTCCAAATTTCAGACTTCTTGCCGAGTGGTGATAACTCTTCACACTTGGGTATATTACACACTTAATCTGCTTTCCTAACACCACAGCCAGTTTTCAAGAGAAATTTAGTTGATGCAGGAGTTTCTTCTGAACTCGTATTCTGGAAGGAATGTGACTTCAGGTGCTTTTCTGTGTGTGAGGAGCACAGGGAGGATGCTTGTGTGCAAGCAATTTGGCTGCCCATGGCTTGCTGGCCACATGACCAGCATCTGCTGCTGTCTGATTTCTTACATCAAAAGGGCCATAAACTCCAGTGCAGCCTGTGCTGGGACATGGTGCAGAGGCTGAGGCCAGTGTTTCTCATTGCTGCTCTCCAGTGAGCAATCCCATTGTCAAGGCTCTCTTGAACTCATAGGTCAGCCAAGAGATTCTTTTTCCTCACCTCAGACCCTTACCAGAGCTTAGCAATGTAATCAGCATCCACTGGAGGTGAAGCAGGTGAGTGGCAGGAGCACAGCAGGAAGGATTCCTCCAGCTGGAGATGCTGAAGGCACGGGGTGCACACTGCTAAAACATCCTGAGAGGGTGGAAGTGCCTGGCAGGATACCACAGAGCTAATTCATGCAGAGGGAACAATAAACTCAGTCCCCACTTGTGCTCCCCAGCAAATCTGTGTCAAAGACCATCATGTAATGACGGATGTGCTATCTGTGACCTGTAGGGGAGAGATCTTACCTGCCCTGCTTGGGCTGCAGTGTTCTCCTCAGGCTGCTGCCTAACCCTACACAGTTGTTCTCAGGTACTGTGTTTGGTCGTTCTCCTGTCACGTTTTCTCATTTTTATTTTACTTAAAATGAAGTTCCAGTCATTCTGCCCTGGGTTCTGTGTTGTCCCTCTGTTGTGTGAGGGGAGGAGGGAGTAGGTGCTGGTGGTGGCCTGTGCTGGGAGTGCTGAGCTGCAGCTGAGCAGAGCAGGATATCCATGAGCTGCTCACTCGGGTTCAGAGACCAAAAGCAGCCTTTATGTTGTTTCCCCCAAGCCTGAGAAGGGAGGTGGCAGGGGGAAGTCTGAGGGAGAAGGCAGACCCAGCTCACTGAGGTCTTCCCTGTGTCCCTCGGGAGCTGGTGAGGAGCACCAGGCAGGGAAGGAGTGGGAGATCTTTGCCAGTGTGTGGTGGGGTGGGCTGGCAGGGGAGCTGCCCCTCTGCTGCTCTGCCTCCTCCTCACTGCTGCATGCCCAGAGGCAGCACCTCTGCTGCAGGGGCTCTCTGTTCTGTCCTGCTCAGCCCAGCTGGGGGCTGGCGGGGCCAGGAGGCTGCAGCAGCCCTGCTCCTGTGCATGCCTTGAGCCCTGTCCTGGGTGCAGCACCACCTCTGCTGGCAGCACAGCCTTGCAGCCGCTCAGACAGCCCCAGCAGCCTGTGCTTGCACTCTCCCTGCCCTTTTGGATGCATCCCAAATCCCATCTCTCTGTCGTAATTCCTCCTGACCCAGCACTACCTGCCCTGTGATTGCTGCTGTATCTGTCATTTCCCATGCAGTATTTACCTGCCTTCTTATCACTGCCACCAGCTCCAGTAATGAAAAACAAACACGCAGAATATTTACCTGGTGTAACTGAGCTGCAGGATTTACACAACCTGGAATGGACCCGTTATTCAGGGCGAAAGCAGCTTTTCTAGGAAGGATGGAGTTTGGCAAGCTGGGGTTTGCAGGGAGTGCCTGGTCCTGCAGTGCTGATGGTTCCTGGCACCGAGCTCACGCACGGGAGGCGGGAGGGAGCGGCTGGGTCAGTGCCACTAAATGTCTGTGGTTTGTGGCTTTCCAGGTCATCCTCCCTGACCTCGCTGTGCTGAGAATTGCAGTGTATGATGACAATAACAAGCTGATTGGGCAGAGGATCCTGCCCCTGGACGGGCTGCAGGCAGGTTACAGACACATCTCCCTGCGGAACGAGGGCAACAAACCCCTGTCTCTTCCCACGGTGTTCTGCAACATCGTGCTCAAAACCTACGTGCCTGACGGGTTTGGAGGTGAGAGCAGCCTTTGTCCCGGGTGTGTGGCTCCTCAGTGTTGGTGTGCACGTCCTGAAGTGCTCCAGGGTCACTGTGCTGTGCTGGAGGAGGGGAGGAGCCGGGATTTGTGACTTTCTGTAACTCTTGGAATCTCTGGATATGGAGCAAAGGAAGCTGCTTTTTACCAAGTGCCTGCCTCTCTTGATGATAAAAGCATTAGTGTACTAAAATGAGAAAATAATGTGGAAAATAAGCTACTACTACTAAGCTCAATTTGATTTTCTCTGTTGACAATTTAGAGTCTTTTGTTACATGTTGTCTGACATAAATATCTGTAAGGTTAGGATGTACTTTATCTATATTGATTGGCCTATAAGTATAAAAAAATTACATGCAGAAACATAGTTTCTTTCAAACAAAACCAGTTCTATGTTCTTGGGAAAGTTGGTGTATTTTTGTAAAAGGTCAGTGAAATAATTCAGCATCCAGGACCTCTCTGCATTTTTCTCTCCTGATTTTACGTGTCTTTAGTGTGGTTTAATTGTTTTTGAGTCCTCAGGAAAGTTATTTTCATGTGAGTATTTCCAAGATCAGGTTGGCAGAGCTGTGGTCACTTGCACTGAGCAGTGGCAGATTGCCACGTGTGTGTGGGGACAAAGAGCTGAGAATAATCATTACACCTCTGAAACCTGAGTAACGCTTGAGTTCCCCCTGACAGAAGGGGCTTCTGTGCCCCTGATGAAATTTGCTTGTGCATTGGACAATACATAAACCATTTAAAACTGTGCAGTAGGAATTGCACAAAACGTGAGTGCTGTGACTCTGCAGCAATTCCCTCAGGGGTCACTGATGAAAGATATTGATCAAACCACTGTTTTTCTCCTCACAAAGCCTATTTCAGACCTGCTGCCATGCAAAGCTGGCTGCACTTCTCTGAGTGTGATTTCCACAGTAGAAACTGGAGGAAGGGAAGCTTCACCTAACCTATGTTCAAGACTGATGCTTATCCAGGCTTTAAAAAATTGACAGTCTGAGAGTTCAGTAACAACATTTCATGGAAAAAAGGGGTTACAGGAGCATTTGTGTTGCTCACATGAGAAATCCTGGTTTCTGGCAAGTCAGCTGGAGGTTTGCCATGGGCCTTGGAGCACCACCATGCCAGGATGCAGCACGTGTCATCCACAGTATTTAACTGCAGGGACCTTGTCTTGAGAGAAATGTGAGCTTCTGCCTAAACCTGAGGTTCTCAAGGGTAATTGACCCATCAGTCTCAGAGACATGTTTAAGTGCCCTTTAATTCCTACCTGAACTGAAGCTTTTGGCAGCAAGTGACTCAGCTGAAATATTTTCTCAGCCAAGGACGTGCTTCTGGTTTGGGATTGATGTTCTATGGCACCAGACTTTTCCTAAGAATAGAATTTAAACTTAGCACTGTGTTTGATGTGGCTTGAGCTGCTGAGTGTGCTGCACCCACAAGGAGAAAATATTTGTTTAATGTCTTTTTTAAAAACTGCATTCTGCACTTGCAGAAGTGAAAGACTTGTTTTCCAAAACCTCAACACCAGTTTAGAATTTACAAATTGTGTGCTGCACTGTCAGCAGTGCCGTGGGTGGTTTGTTTGATAGAGGTGGGAAAACATTGCTACCCCTAAGTCACAGTGTTGGTACAGCAAAATGCTACTGGAACAGGGCTGGTGGTTGTAGGTTACTGTCAGCAGTGGAAAAGCAGCCTCCACATGAGCAGGAGCTAAATGAGCTCCATTCTGGTTCTCCTCTCCCTTCCCAGGCTCCATGTGCCTCGTGTGTTTTCCTCCCTGATCCAGAGCAGCAGCATGGTGAACACCTGGGCAATAACTCCTGACACTCAGGTGGAATCATTAGTGTTCTGCTGGCACGTGGTTTTTAATTACTTCTCATCTGCAGTGAGCTTCTCATTGCTTTATGAGCTATCATTAGGATCTCCATGGTAGTTCTAGCAAACCTGTGGGAAGGTAGAGCTCAAGTCAGTAGCTGCCTACTTTCTTTTTTCTTTCTTTTTTGTTCTTTTAACCTGTATGAGTAAGATTTTAAAATGTGCCCTGAATAATAATTAGAATGGGTGATGCATTGTAGGCTTTAAAAGATGTGGTTTCCTTTTTTTTATTTTATAGCTTTGCAATTTCCCGTGGTTTATTTGCATCAGCCCCTCTGTTCCAAATAAAACCACAGTAATGTCACAAATTGGTGCAAATGAAGCAGCATTCTCCACATTTCTATTCTAGAACTCAGTGAGCAAGCCTGGAGTCAGGTTGGTGCACTCTCCCAGTGATTCTCAGTCCTGTGTTGGACTGCAGCTCTCCCTGGCATGCTGCTCCCCACGCCCAGCTCACCCCCCTGGGCAGAAGGGGGGCTCAGAAAAGCAGAGGGCAGGGCTGAGTCAGCTCCCCCAGGGGTGCTGAGCCTTGGGGAGTGCTGCTGTGGCTCCTTGCTCAGCCCGGAGGTGCTGCTGCTCTCCCAAACACCTTGGGCATTCCCCCTGCAGCTCCTGAGCACCAGGTTCTGTTTCCAGGTGAAGCTGAAACGTTTCCAGCACGGTGCTGGGCAGCCCTGGGTTTGCACTGGGAAGTGTGTGCCAAGGACAGAAGGACATCCTAAATGAGTTAGGAGAGGAGAAACACTCCATGCTCAGCCACCAGCCATTGCCATGGCTAAAAAGAAATCCTAGATGGCTTTTGTCTGTGTGCAGTGAGTTCCAGGAGACATCCGTGCTCACAGCAGTTGCTGGAGCTGGCCTGTTCCTGCAGATCTCAAGGGTAGTAGTGAGTGTTTAGTGCAACTTCTGGGGGAATGGGGGGCCTGTCTGAGCTGAGGCCTCAGAGGAGCATTCCACAGAACAGCTCGGGCTGGGAGGGAGATGATACAGCCCAGCCCCTACTTTGAACAAGAAGTTTCTTGCCAAACCTCTTGATGGGTTGGATATATTCACTTTTTTTTTTTTTTTTGACTGTTGGAGTTAAGCACAGGAAGAGATTAAAGATTCCTGGGGCTTTGTCATGCTGTGAAGCTGTGCTTGCACACTTATCACAGCCCTGGAAACAATTCAGTGATGTGTGTGGTACCCAGGCTGTGGTACCACTGCTGGTTCTGTGTCATGTGCAAGATCCAGCTGCTGGTCATGCCTGCAAAAGCATTTCACAGCCTGTCATGTCCCAGACGTGGACTGTCACCAAGGCTGCTGAGAACAGATTTACCTGATTGCTTTAATCCACCTGACACTGCTCTTTAGCTGGAGATAGAATGGCATTTCTGCAACTCCCTGCAGTCCCTGCTGTCCCTCAGCCAAGGGACAGAGTTGTGCTTTGTGCCTCAGGAGGTCCATCCTCTCCCATTCTGCACTCAGTAACTGGGAGGAGCTTAGAGCAGTCTGACAGAGTCACTGGGTTTTCCTAAAGGATTAAAACCACTCCTCGGTGCACTAAGAACTGTTCCATGTTCCAGGTGCTGTGGAAATAAGCACTTCCAGTCCTGCCAAATTCACTGCAGAAAGCTGACTCCTGTTGCAAGCCATGTCTCATAATAACAGACTGAATAAAGCTTTTGTAAAATGCTCATTTCCAGATGCCTCTAAAGCTCACAAAAAGCTGATTTCTTTTTCTTACAGATATTGTGGATGCTTTATCAGATCCAAAGAAATTTTTGTCTATCACAGAAAAAAGAGCAGACCAAATGAGAGCTATGGGCATTGAAACTGTAAGTAGAATCAATGGCAAGCACACCCACTTCTGTCCACGCTGTGTTCTTTATTTAAAGTGAACTGTTCCTTCTCCAATCAATGCACCTTATCACTTCTCATTTTCAAATATAAGCTTCTTTGTCTGGCTTATGTCATTACTGAAATACTGGCTGGCTTTTCATGGATCACATTAATACCTCCTTTAGGAGGACAGATTTTAATAAATGGGGACCACTTCCTAAAGGATTAAAACCACTCCTCGGTGCACTAAGAACTGTTCCATGTTCCAGGTGCTGTGGAAATAAGCACTTCCAGTCCTGCCAAATTCACTGCAGAAAGCTGACTCCTGTTGCAAGCCATGTCTCATAATAATAGGGACAGAATAAAGCTTTTGTAAAATGCTCATTTCCAGATCTCTAAAGCTCACAAAAAGTTGATTTTTTTTTTTCTTACAGATATTGTGGATGCTTTATCAGATCCAAAGAAATTTTTGTCTATCACAGAAAAAAGAGCAGACCAAATGAGAGCTATGGGCATTGAAACTGTAAGTAGAATCAATGGCAAGCACACCCACTTCTGTCCACGCTGTGTTCTTTATTTAAAGTGAACTGTTCCTTCTCCAATCAATGCACCTTATCACTTCTCATTTTCAAATATAAGCTTCTTTGTCTGGCTTATGTCATTACTGAAATACTGGCTGGCTTTTCATGGATCACATTAATACCTCCTTTAGGAGGAGAGATTTTAATAAATGGGGACCAAGTTTGTGACTTGATCACAACCTGTGATCAAGTATTTTAGTAAGTAGCTATTTGGAATAAGCTACAAATGTTTTACTATGGTCTTGTTTGAAAATGTGTTGCAATTTTGTTATGTTTACAGTAAGCCATTCAGAAATTTCTCCAGCTTTTTGCACTGCAGGCCAAAGAACAATGAATGTCTTCTGATGTTTCTTCCAGAGCGATATAGCTGATGTACCAAATGACACCTCAAAGAACGACAGGAAAGGCAAAGCCAACAATCCCAAAGCCAGCGTCACTCCCCAGAGCAGCTCGGAGCTCCGGCCCAGCACCACGGCGGCCTTTGGCTCTGGCCAGGAGGCCAAGAAAGGTACCCAGCCCCTCCCTCTGCTCTCACAGAGCACACAGCAATCCTCAGTGTCAGCTTTCATTCTGGAGTCACAGTCATTCCCAGCACTCTGCCACGGGGAGCTGGCTAATTGCACATGGATTTAGTGCATTGCTGAAATGGCTGTGTGGAGGTGATGCAGCTCTATTTCACCAGGTGACCTCTTCGTGTGGCTGTTCACTCTGGTATACAGCTAGGGCTTCTATTTTATGTGTGTATTACACACATAACCTGCGTGGCTCTGGGAGTAGTTTACTAGTAAGGATTCCTGGGGGAGTGCCAGCAGAAGTGACTGTTAACTAGCATAGTCCACAGAAACTCTTCTGCTTTTTCTCTACCCTCACAAATCCCTTGGCAGGGTTGCAGATTTAAGTAATTAAAGGTATTTAGAATTCACTGGATTCCGTAGAGATTTCCCAACAATTAGAAATGTTTTCACAGTGTGGTTTTACTCTGAAAAGTGATTATGGAAATGGCATGTTTATTGTAAAAAAAAATTTTAATTGTGCTCATTTATAAGTGAATAAGTATTTTTTCCCAACTCTTCACCGTTCACTCTACAAAGTCATTTTTTACAGTCAAATGGGATTATTTGTTTCTCCCATATCATCACAGGTAATGAAGATTAAGTGAGAAAGCAAATTTGTACAGCTGGATGAAAGACAATAAATATTTCTGTTAGTGGGCCCCAGGAATTGGGATGTGGTTCCCTCACTCCTCCAGCTTGCCCAGAGGTGTTGCCAGGAGGGAGGAGGAGCACAGAGGGCTCTTGTCTCACATTGAAGCACACGTGGCAGGGTGCCCTCTTGGGAAGGGATCTCCTGGGAACCCAAGTGCCATTTCCCTGGAGTCACTGTGGGCAGTGGATCACAGCCTCAGGCTGTCTCTGGCACCTGAACTCCTCCAGAAGTTCTTCCCTGGTGTCACCCTGGGTCACTGTGCAGCCAGGTGTTTTCATTTCATGTCTCATGACAAGGTGCACAAGTGCTAGCTTTAGTGTGCATTAATCCAGCATGGAGTTTGCTGGGGTTGACCACAGAGTCCTGCTGGCCATGGAGCCAGACCTCAGCTAAGGAAATGTTCAGTGTAGTGGTTCTGTGCAGTAAATGCTTTAAAATAAAATCCTGAGGAAGCTGTTTAGAAACCCAGCAGCCTGATGCTGGCACGAGGTCTCAGTGCTTAACACTTTGCTGACTGCAATTTCCATCCCTATTCTTGCATGTTAAAATAGAGCTGCTCATGTCTATATCCCCTGTAATGATCCTTATTTTGTGTTTCTTATCTCTGTGAGTTACTGGGATATGGATAATTCTAGCACTGTTAAAATACACAGCTCATCTTGCTGTCAGGAATTACGTGAGCAGCGAAATGGGGAAGGCTTTCAAAGGCACGAGAATGTGGGTTTGTTTGGTCTCACATTTTCAGTAAGAGTCAGATCACTTGTGCTTTGGAAAACTTCAGCCTCTATCTGTGCCTACGTCTGCTCCTGTCTCATTTACTAGAGTAATCTTGATACCATATACTTGAGCAGAGTCTTATGCTCCTAAGAAAAAATTCATATTCCCTAAGGAGATTGCCTACCTCCCCTCCCCTCTCTCTGTTGGCTTTTACAGTGTCTGAGCATTTTCCAGTTAAATTCACCTTAAAAGCCAGAAAGTCCTTTTCAAAGTAAGGGAAACCTTACAGTCCACAGACATCATTAAGAGCACTATTATTATTTAGCATTAACTAAATATGTTTGCATTATATTAATACTCAGGCCAACATTTCTGTGTGAAACCTCAGGAACACCTGAAAATTACAACTCCCGTGGCACTGTATTGACATTTGTAGTAACACTTTCATCTAGGATGTGCTTAGCAGTTTTTAAAAAGCCCTTAATATGTCACAAAGCACTTATTAAAGTATAAACGTTAAATGAGATCAGGTTTTGTTTGCATTGCAGTTAAAGTGACCAAAACATTTTCATTCATCTGCATAGTGCTGTCAGTCTTGTATGATTGAAATCTCATTAGAATTTTCACTTCTTTTGGTTTTCTCCTTCATTTTTTAACTCTCCTTTGGACTTGGAGCACAGTTCTGCTTCTTTTCCCGTAGCCTGGTATTAAGCAAAATGCAAATTTTATATTTGTTACCACACAAGCTGCAGGTTAATTTTCCCTCCTGTGTTTTAACCTGAGGAGAAGCACACCTAGCCCCAGTTTTGTAGTCATGGGGAGCCCTACCCAAGAAACCTCCCCACTGCAAGCAGTGGTGCCAGAGCAATCTGCAGCTAGGGACCAAAATTCTGAAGGTGTTTTAATATTCGTAAATGGTTTGCTGTGTTTGCAAAAATGACCTTTTTTCAATCCTTAGATTGCTGTGTTTTGACACTTCAGTCCAGAACCATAAGAGATTAAATGACACTCATTGATTCAATTCTTTTTCCACAAGGCAATTGATTGAAGAGTGCATGGGCAAAGGAAATTACTGTATCTTAGCAAGACCTTGATGCATAATTTTCTCATTAACCTGTGACAATTTTTTTCATGTGGTGAAAAACGTTAATTAATTAATTAGTTGTTAAGTTAAATGTAGGTTGCTGTGGTAAAACTCAGATTCTGAATATGAGAAATACTAGTATGTATGAAGTTTTAGATAAACTGTATCAATACCTTCCCAGGTATAGACCTCATTCCTCAAGTGAAGATAGAAGATTTAAAGCAAATGAAGGTAAGTCTTGACACAAGCTTTTCAGGAGGTGCTCCTGATTTTTTGTTTTAAGTAGCCAGGATTTTACCTGGCTAGAGTCAATATGGCCACATAAAAATTGATCCAGCTTCTCCTTTTTCAGGCTTATATAAAGCATTTAAAGAAGCAGCAGAAAGAGCTGAATGCCTTAAAGAAGAAGCATGCCAAGGTATGATCATTAAGGGTTCTCTGAGCCAAATTTTAAGCAGTTGCTCACTGGCACAGGCAGTTCCTAATTAAATTATAGGGAAGACTAAGGGGTGGTAGTGGGACTCCCAGAAGGGCATGCATGTTGTAAATGGGCTGAAATGTGCTGCAGGGAGCACACTTCCCCCTGGCAGCCCTTGGTATGCCTGCCTGGGGCTGGCTGCACTTTGTGTGACCCGTGCAAACACTCAGGGCTCACCTTTGTCAGGGGAGGGGTTTGTCTTCTCCCCTTGCACGACTTTTTGACAGGGAACATGGAGAACCAGGCAGTCATGATGGGAGGGAGGAGGTGCTGCAATGAGGAAGGCACTGGAGAAACTGCAGAATCACCAGAGAGAGCTGGGGTGTGTAGCTGAGAAATGCAGAGCCCTGGTCCTCCCCATTTGTGTCTGTGTTAACCACTTCAGAGCCAGCTGTTTCTTGGCAGTGACACCACAATTACACTCCACAAATCCCTGCCACAAATACACTCCATGTAGGAAACCACAGCCAACTTTGCCCTGCCCTCTTCCATTAGAAAACCACTACTCTTGTGACAGAAAGAGTTATAGTAAGTGAGGAAAATATCTCAGGTTGGGAATTTTGGCAAAGGAAATCCACAAATCCATTCTGGGCTGTTGGGGCAGCCTCCCTTGCACTCTTTGCTTATGAATTCCACTGCAGATCTGATGCCATGTGGTTGCCTGAGCATTTCTGGTATCAGTCTTTGGAAAGACTACGTCCAGTCACTTCTGCATACTGTGCAGAAATGCCATTTTTTAAACAATGCATCCGTAAAAACACCTGCATTTGGCTGCTTTTGAGGTGGAGTTTTCCCTGCCTACATTCCCTGAAGTATAAATCTCCTTAATCTCCCAGTATGAATTAATATCCATATCTTATATTCAGCTACAGAGCAGCTGATGTGTCTGAATGATGACCTTTAGTTTATATCTCTTCTTTATCATGTTAAATGGTGAGTACTGTTTAGGGGAATGACCTGGGGTGGCAGCACAGGCAGCTGGGCAAAGGACATTTCTCAGTCAGCCAACTTCACTTTTTAGCAGCCTGCTTTTATGGGCCCCTACTTCATTTTAATGTTTTTCAGAGCTGTCAGGTAGTTTCTGTGCTCTTTGGGCTAGAGACAAGAGGAAGGATAGTGAGGGATTACCTTGATTTATTCCCTACCAGCCCAGCAGCTCAGCAGAGGATTGTGCTCCACAGTTCTGGCAGTGCCAGACACAACAGGGATGGCCACAAGTGCCCCTTGAGGAATTTCATATAGTTCTAGACAGTAACCACAATTGCATAATTGACCTAAATCCCCAAATTCATCTGCTGCATGTTCATATTGACATTGAAAATATGTAGAGTTTGAATTAAAGCCTAGTAAAAAAGAGCATTAATAAAATCTCCATTTCACAGTGCAGAAGTAGGAATACAAAAGACAAGGGGACTCTAGACAAATAAAGTTCTGCAACATGGATTCTTGAACTGGAAATGTTAGTTCCTTCTTCTTATTTCCCCATCCTTGTATTCTGTAATGAGAATCCTCCAGAGCTCAGTTTTCAGCTGTGCACAGTATTTATGTTGCTTTGGGGAGATACTGGCCAGGAATAACAGTCTGTACCATGGGAATTTATTCCTTCTTCCCTTGGATAGCCTGCACTGGGATTTCTGCACACACACACTCCCTGCTCCCAGAGGAGCAGTGTATGACTCTGTTCTTTTCCCATGGATGCTCTTGCTGGGATTTGAGTCTTTCTCTAGCAGTCAGGTGGCCTCTCAGAGCACTGTGCCTTCAGTTTGTAATGACATGTCATTTGTGAATATATTCATGTGAAAGGTGTGCAGTGGGCTTGAGGAAATCAGCAGAACCTACCTGAGGAGACTTCTACCTGCAGACCTGTTCTGAATCAACCTGGAACATGTTAGCAACTGAAGCTTTGCGTTTGAAAACAAAAGATGCTACAAAAAACACTCCTGTTTCTTAGAGTTTGGGCAGAAGTCTCATGCTTTGCAGAGTTTGTTCTTAGTCCTGTTTGGCAGTCCTGTGGGTATTTTCAGAGGTGCTCTCAGTCACCCCACCTGGGGCTGGCTGGTGTAGCCAAGCTCAGTCATTCTTTTCACTGTCCCTGCTCTCCCTGCCTGGTTACTCACTGCAAACACCCCCTGCAGAGCTGGCATGTTTGAATATTGACAGAAGCAATGTGCTTCCCTTTAAATCCTCTGTGGAGCAGCAAATTCAGTTCCCCACTCTGAATGAGCTCTTGGAAGCTGTGTGTGTTCCCTGGGGAGCTGCTTGGCAGGTGTTGGAGTGCTGGGCTACAGCCCAGTACTGGATTTTGGAAAGCACTGCAGCATTGGTATTAATGTTTTGGTAAAAGTGAGTGTAAAAGTATTTAATTAGCATTTTTAGAGGAAGAAACAGTGATAAGGCAAAGGTGTATAGAGAATAATAACAATAAAGGGCAGTAGAACAGCAAGTGTGGAGAAGATGCAAAAAGAGCTATAAAAAATAAACATAAAGTCCTGGGTGAAGCTGTTTTAATTAATGAGGTTCTTTTTGCCCAATTGGATAAAATGCAGGGCATGTGGGTATTAATAAAATAACATGAATGAAAGAACCATTTTTCCTATTGCAGTGTAAATTTAATGTTTGCTGCTCTGTGCTGGTCAAATATTTGCATCATTATGAGCTGCTGTTCTGACAAAGGAAAATAGAAAGTTAAGTTGTGTTGCACAGCTTGCTGTCACTTGCCACAGGAGATGTGTGCCACAAGGTGGGATTTGTTAATGGTGAGAGTGCTGCTGTCCCTGGGGATCGTGGGCCTGACCTTCAGAGTTGTACTTAAATGCACATTTATTCCAACAGATGACTGTTTTCCCCATCATTGCTTTGTTCTAAAATGTACCATATTTTTAAGGTTCACTGCAGATTTTAATTTTTCAGACAAAGAAGAAATGTTTTAGTGCTTGTGGTGGAATACCTGGACTGTTTAGTACCACAGGGCTAGACCAGATTAAATTCCATTGTCAAAACTGTCTGTTTGTACACTGATATTTTCTAGGCTGTAAGGAAATTGCCCATCAAAAATCCAGCAACCTAATGGTAAGGCCCTGCTGTTTTCCAGGAGCACAGTGCCATGCAGAAGTTGCACTGCACACAGATTGACAAAATAGTGGCCCAGTATGATAAAGAAAAGGTGTCATATGAGAAAATGTTGGAGAAGGCAATGAAGAAGAAGGGGTAAGATATTTTTTAAATTATTTTTCTTCAGACTTAAAATAGATTTGATATTTTATGCTTTTGTGGTCTGGAATAAAGTGTTCAATAAAAAAGGGCATTGTAGCTTGAAGCAGCATCATCCTTCAGCCTGAGAATGAGCTCTAGCAATGGGCCATAAATGCTGGACTCACTCTGCCTTTCTCCAGTCTTCTGCTGTCAGAACTTTAAAAGTAAAAGCAAAGGATTTGCCTCTGATTTTATTTCTGTGGTCTGGTGTGCTCTCACTGCACTCCCCAGGGATGTCACTGTTGAGTTCAGTGAGAGCAGACTAAGGTCCTCAACAGCTCTGTCACCAGAAAGTGATAGAGCAACTCCACAAACTCCAGCAATGTTTTCATTTTAGGGGAAAAGCTGGCTTTTAAATCCTGGATGTTTGAAAATAATAGACTCTTGCTGTGCTGTTAAATTGAATTTTTTTGACAAAAAACTTACAGATGCTCAGCTGGGATAGATGAGTGTTACTCCTTTGACTGGATGGAGCTGTTTTGACTTGCACAGGCTGGTCTGGGATGTTACCTGTGTGAGTCCCCTGTTTGTCCAGAGAGGTTCCTGGAAGACACTGATAATTTACTAGAGTGTCTAATTCTGATTTGGAGCTCAGTGGCAGGACCTGCTGCTGCCTTGCTGCTCATCTGGCAGGAGTTTCTCCTTTCCACCTTTCCCCGTGTCACTGGAATTTCATCAAGACAGCAGGAATTAGTTCAGTTCCAAAGCCAGCTATGCTGACAGTTGCTCCTAATTTCACATTGTTGTCATCTGGCAACAGCAGCTGGCAGCAGCTCACTCACTGAACCCTGAACATGGATGCCTGCTTGGCACTGGGTTCTTCCAAGAATGCTTTTTCTATAAATTACTTGGAATGGGGGAGGGTTTTGAGCACACGCTGTAAACTGCCAAAGGAACAGAATCAGGACTGTCAGAAGTAAACCAGGTAAGGAGAATTCTCCTCACTGAGTTATTGGAAGCTCACAGGTCATGCTGTACCTTTTTTGTTCAAGACAGGGGAGCTGTAAGCACACAAATACTTATAATCTATGGAGTTCCTTCCAGGAAATCACTACTTCTCCCAGCAGAGAGGGGACAGCTGCAGGACTGATTAATTTAATGTGGCTTTGATTCCATTTCATTGAGTGTAACACAGCAGAAGGTTACTGATACAGCTGGATTTGTAGTCACAGTCAGGTTATTTCCTACAGTGGCAGAGAAATGAGCTCTGGGCATTGCACCATAATTATTGTGGGGGCAGAAAGGTTCCCCTGTGCTCTGAGGTTTAAGAATCTCAGTGTTCCTGTTGGCCTGAGAAGGAGCCAGTGCCTCTGCCTGTGCAGACAAAACAGCCAAGGAAGGTGTGCCAGGCAGTTCAAGGTGGAAATGGCTGTCTCTGTGCAATAAATATGGGGATACAATGCTCTCCAGATCACCCCAAAAGGGGACAAGTATCAAAGCTGTCCATAGTTTGATTCACTGTTTGAGGCCACTTCGTTGGCTACCTGCAGCATCTTTTCTTAATTTTATAATGCATGGACACCAAAGCCTTTATGCTGGTTTCATATTATGAGTTTAAAATAAAATTGGAAATGACCGCTCCAGAAGAAGCCTCAGTGCAAAGCCAGACACTGTTCCTTACCCCAATTCCATGCTTTCCATGGACTCCAGAGCTCTCAGTCACCTGATGGCTCTTTCAGCTTTACAAGACTAACTGCATACATCTGATTAACAGCCAAATCAGAACCAGTATCTGACAGACTTGCTGTGAAAACACTTCTTAATGCCACAGCAAAATATTCTAAGGGCTCCTTCATGGTGAGCCCTGAAAGCCCGTTCTGCAAGGTACTTATGGCCACCCCAGCTGTGCAGAGCATTAAAGGACGTGCTTAAAAGTGAATGCATTGGTGGACACTTCGAAATGTTATTGAACTTAAATGATTGATGAATCCAGAGTCCTGGGTTCACTGAGTACAGGACATGCTCCATTTCCTTGGCTATCATTCTGGAGCATTTGCAAGGAATAAAAGTTGTAAGAGAGCCTGTAGAACACGTTTTCAAGGCATTCATATTGAAATTGTCAGATTATTTCCTGATAAAAAGGCCTTTGATAGGTGTAGAGACAGCTTTCTCTTCTGATCTTGTTGTGCAGTTTTTTTGCGGTCCATTTCTGCCACATGGTGTGACAAATGCCAAGTGCATATTGTTCAGCAAAGTAGGATTTTTTTAATCACATGCTAATTCACTGACAGATGGACAGGATTTTGCTCCCTGTGCTATTTCTGTCCTGCACTTGAAATGCTTACAAATCCCAGAGAGGCATATGGGCATAGGTATGGTTGTGTTCCCACTCTGAACCGGAGTCGGGGCACACAGGGATCCTTCTGCTTGATTGGGACTGCCCAGAAATCCGTGTGTGTGTGTGTGTGTGAGCTGGGCAGGTGACCCTGCCTGGGGCTGGCCCTGGCTGTTTGTCCCCAGCTGGGACGCCGTGGTTCAGCCATGGCTGTGCCACCACAGCTGGGGCAATCCCATTTTCTGTTGTCCCGGGCTCCAAACTGGCTGGGGTTGCCTTGGCACATGATGAAAGCTTTGTTTCCAGAGGCAGGATCAGCCGGTGGTTTGGATGTCTGGGATTCTGGAGAGTCCAGTGATTGAACTAAGGAGGCTGTTTTGGGATAAAGTGTGTCTGATTCACACCTAAGAGTCAATGTCTTCCATACTGATCAACAAACCCAATATTCCATGGCAGCCACACCCTGATCCAGTTATCAAAGACACTTCCCTTTCAGCTGCTGGCTTTTTCAGGCAGAGGTAACAGTGGCCAGAACCTCTCTGTGTGACTTTACATTGCTTCCAAAGTGTCAAATCAGTGTTAGAAATACCTACAAAATTTCCCTTGCTCTGGGTAGAAAATAAATGACTGGTGGCCCTTGGAAAAACAAGACACACTATTTTCAGGAAGGGCTTTCCTGGTGCTGTCTGATGATAAAATTTTCTGCTAATTTCCATAAGTTTAGCCATACTGTGATATGAAAATAGGATTTGAACTTGTTAAGAGTTTCATAAATCTCCTTTTCTGGAGCAAACGTGGATTAATGTTGCTGCAGTCAAGCAGTGACCATGGTTATCAGGGCCAGCTGATAAATGAACGTGTCCCTGCCCAGACCCAGAGCTGCATCACTTTGCATCAGTGGCTGATCCAGCTCAGAAGCGTGGCAGTGGTGTCCTAACAGACTTCTCCCAAGATCCTGTTTTATTGCAGGCCCCTCCTCTGCATTCACTCATTCTCCCAGAGGGACACCCACACTTTCTGTAGGTGTACATTTAGTGCACCCACATCACCCTGGGAGGTAATTATTCAGATTGCATGGTTTTCTCTGCCTCAAACCAAATGTAAGTAACCAAATCACTTTTAAAACAGAGTCTAAAATCATGGCAAGGATAGGCCTGTAAGTTTTCAGGCAGAAACTGGTTTCTCTTGGCAAGGCATTATGAGCCTGGAAAAGGAGCCAAGTGTCATAAATGGAGGTGCCTGACACATCCTCAGCAACAGAATTATTGCTGGGCCAATCTAGAATTAATCATGTGGTCATTGAATTGACTGATCATTAATCCAACAATATTTTGTAAGTTGTGAATGGATTGCCAGAAGAAATAATTTCATTCCAATACGGTGCAGCACTTCAACTTTGATTAACATTTTAATTAGTAAGCGCTGACTGAATGGGGAGATGTTTAACTTGTGGCACACATTTGCAATTTTTCTTTTTTTTTTAGAGGAAGTAATTGCGTTGAATTGAAGAAAGAAACAGAAATTAAAATTCAGACACTAACATCAGATCACAAATCTAAGGTAAGCAAACAGCCAATTTTAACACAGGCAACTTCTGAAAGAGAGATTTTGAGACCCAAGTGGTAGATAATTTTCTTGGAAGTATATGAATAATTTTCAGCAATAATAACATGTTGAAAAGAATAGGAGTAATTGAGTGTCTAAAAGTGTTTCTTAAAAAAATTTTTGAAGCAACATCAATTTCCTGCTGTTTTGAAATTTTTGAAGAAAGCACCATATTCATGCCTCGTGAAGTGAAACTGGTCATTTGTGTCAGCTCTAGTTAAACAAAGAATATGTGTTATATGAAATTTGGATGCTAAATACATTCCCAAAATACATCCACAAAGAAGTCTCTATTTCATTTTCCATCATTGTTGCCTTGCCTTGGCAGTCACTTTCTTAGGGAATGAGGAGCCCAAGTTGCTCTTGAACCAAATGCCTTCTTATTCCTAGTGTTGCTTTGTTTTGGTTTTTTCCCATGGCTTCGTTGCTTTGTTTTCTCCAAGGTCCTGGGGAATAAAAGTGCCCTGGGCCTCAACCTCAGCTGGTTTGGAAAAGCTGTTCTCAAGCTCCTGGCTCCCCTGGCGTTGCTCAGAGCTCTTTCCTCTGTCCTCCTGTCCCCCTGCTGTGTCCCCTGACTTCCTGTCCCTTAGGGAGGCTTATCCAGGACTTCTGACAGCTTTGGAAAGCTGTCCAGACTGAGGTGGCAGGGACACCAGGAGGCTCACCCTGTACCAAATCAGCTGGAGGGAGGACAGTGCTGCAGACTGACCCCAGAAAAAGCTGAAACCCATGAAAAGAATCAGACAAGAACAGAAAATACACACAAACACAGTCACACCTTTGAGGCTGGAAAAGTTAATGTTGATCTTGCCTTCTTTGAACTTTATTCTCTTTTCCACATGAAATAATAATTTATTATTTTATTATTTCATGTGGAGAAGATCCTCATTTTCTAAACAAGGTTTGCTTTCTTGCTGCTGCCCTCTCAGCTGTAGATGTAGCAAACCCCCCAGGTGCAAAACCTAAAGGACTCTCTTATCTCTCTGTCTTCTTCCCCTACGAAAAGTCCAGAACCCTTTCCCTTAACCAAAAGCAAATTTGCTAAGTCAGAAAACAAAAAAAATCATTCCTCTCTTAGTGAAACAAACTCCCTGAGGAGCACTGGCTCCCAATCATCCAGACATGAGCTCCAAAACTCATTTGAAATTGCATTACACAGAAATGTATTTGCTCTGATCTCTCTCTCACCTGTATCACTCATAGTCTGGAGTTAGGTGTCATTTGTACACAAGGAACATCCAAATGTTCATTAATCTTCCAAATCCAATAAATGTGACTCATGTTCTCCCTTTCCACGAGTATATTCAGTTTCTGAGCCCTGTTCCTTTCAAAATCCTGCTTTCAAACTGTTTCCCTTTAATTTAATCCATACCTGGGAAAAAAAGATTGATTTTTTTGTCCACTCCCATGTCAGGTTTTAGGATGACATTTTGAAAGGAGACTTAAATGTAGGATTTGAAATGTGAGACTTCAATATAAGACTTGAAATTTCAAGCTTCTGATTATTGGATAATTCCCAAAGAACTCCTCTGCAAGTCATCCCCCTCTGAGGATTCCTCTAATGATTTTCAGTGTCCTGCTCACTGTGGTTCCATCAAAATTGTCCAGATTATTTACCAACATCTTTTGTTTCAACTGCTGTGTGTGGCCCCTTGAATTATTCCTGGAGATCATTCAAAAGTGTGCAAGCAACGGGTTGGAAAACAGTGCTCAAGACCATAGGGAAATTAACTCTTATCTTAGATGAAGGTAGGTGCAATTAAATTAGATTAAATTTTGAGATGCTGAATGCATTACACTGATATAGTGGGAATTTGATTAATTAACAGTTGTTCAGCATTTCTCAGCATTTGGCCCACTAATTTTGATATATCAGATTCAAACCTAATTCATCTTTAATTACAGCTCATGTCCTCCAGTACAGCTCTGTGCCACAGCGTGCCTGCAGACATCTTTAGCACCAAGGAGACCTTTTCATCTCCAAAGCTTCTCCTGTCATGAGTAAACATCCAGCCCGAGTTTGACATAAAATATTGGAATGAAATCTGAGTGTCCCAGCGTGTACTTCCCACACAATTAACCTAGCAAATGCAAATTACTCGCCTGCATTAGGAAAGTAGGTCCCAATATCAAGCAGGCAGAGGATGAAAAGGAAAAAAAAGGAAAGATTACTTCAAAGATCATTCCTGCTTGAACTTAGTGACTAAACAAACTTCTTGCATATATGCTGTGCAAAAGAAGGTTCCTTAAGGATTTTAATTAGTCTCTTAGGCCCGGTGTAGGGACAGATGAAAGGACAGGCTCACAACCTCGGTCTGCAGAGCAGGAAGGGGAGAAGGAAGCTAATGGTTATTTTTCCTGTCCTTTAGGACAAGCAACACTGCCTTAATAGCAGAAAGTAGGACAAGAGCACAGCCCAGTACAAATTAAATAGTCATTTCAACCATGCTGCTATAAATTGGAGAAAAGCAGGGATGTTCTCTGAGCTTGCCACAGCTGAACTTTGAAGCGTGTCACAGACCTGCAGCAGAACTGGATTTCAGATGGTTTAATGGCCATGAGTTTTGTGTTCTTTGGAATCTGAGTCAAATTGGGTGTTTAAAGTCTTGTAACTGGTGTTTGGCACATCCCTTGCATCCTTCTCACAGGTTATATCTTGCTGTACCTGAAATGAGACTTCTGCCTTGGTGGAGATGGAATAAAAGAAAGTTTCACATGTCAAGCTTCACAGGAAAGTTTGTTTTACAAGGAGCTGTACCTGCTTCTTAGACTGCCTGCTGCTTCTGGAATTAGCAGCACATCACAGCACATCTGTCCATGAACACTGGCAGGGTGTTCTCGTTATTTCCTCCTCCTTAGATTAAATACTTTATCTAAGTATTGCCACGCTGTCACTTTGCAGGGTTTGTCTTTGGGAGTTGGACTCAATAATTCTAGGAGATATGATATGATCCTGTGGTATCAGTGTACCCGATTAAATACTTTATCTAAGTATTGCCACACTGTCACTTTGTCTTTGGGAGTTGGACTCAATAATTCTAGGAGATATGATATGATCCTGTGGTATCAGTGTACCTGAGATTCAGAACTCCTGCCTTCAGGCTCCTCTGTGGTTTATAACATTCACCATTTAAAAACAGTTATCACATTATTCATTTGCAAAAAGCCCTGGAGTCTTTGTTCCTCTGTGTTTGTTTTGTAAACTCTCTACAATTAAGTTACAAAATACTTACTTCCACCATGGCTTCCGCTATTTATTTCACAATTTTATCATTTTAATTATAATTTTTCTTTTTATTATTTTTTATTGTCTTGTATTATTTTTATGTCTTTTTATTATTTTTTATTGTCATTATTCTTTTTTTGTGCAAAGTTCATTTTGCATTTTCTCTACAGTGTAAGGAGGCCTTAAATAAAAGCAAACTCTTGTTTGTTTACTGGAATGCCTGTGGTGGTGGTGAACACGGCCTCCTGCTCCCTGGGCCACATAGCAGCACTTGTATTTTGGAAATATTAACAATTTCTAGCACTGGTACTGTGGGGGTGTTCTGAGGGCACAGTCCCTTTGTGCTGTGCTCCACATTCCACCCAGGATTTTGGACTGATCTACCTGCACCATTTTGAATTCAAACTGTGGATGGAGCTGATTCCATCTGGGAAGTCTGTATTGAAAATAAATAAGGCATGTGTTTTCCTAAATCCCTCAGCCATGATTTTCAGCTCTCCTAAGTCCGTCCTAGGTGCCCCTGGGGGTTGGTAAGCAGATGAGGTCACTGTTGAGAGGAGATTCACACAACCTAACTCAGGTATCCTGGTGCCTGAGGCCCTGGAGATGTCAGAGGGGCATTTCCAGAGAGTGTGAGGGTGATAAATCCTGCTTTGGACCTGCCCCATTTTCACATCAGCAGTACCAGGAGCGTGGGCTAAGCTTGGCCCAAACTGAAGCACCTTCGGTGGTGCCGTGGGTGAGCTGGGGTGTCTGCCCCTCAACCTCTCAAAAACCCCATCTGAAAAGTTCATTTTTCTTCCTTCACAACATCCAGGCATTTCTTTGTACTCATTTCAAGACTGAATCCTCATGTTTTTCAGGCTCTGGAGGCAGTACTGATGAACACCTTGTTAAAAACACTACTCCCACAAACTGCACCACATCCTTCACATCATTTCATGGTTGACAGGCTCTGGGCTTAGCTGTACACTTCCCCACATGCACAGAGAGGAGCATGGCTCATTTTGCTGGAGGCACACTGACTCTTAAGCACTCTGATCAATTGGGCTTGTGTTAGTCATACCAACTTCTGCCTCAAAAGCCTTTTGTTGTTTTCTGCGGAAAACTCCAGGTTGCTCTCTCTCAGCTGCTTGTACCTGTTGGGATATGAGGCCACCATTTAGCTATAGTTAAGGCAAATCTGGCTTTCAGGTAGTAGTAGTCATCCTGCTCTGTTCCAGGATTACTCACTTCTTTATTTCATGTTAGATCCCATTAGGTAAGGCCCTTCAGAGGAGCCTCTCCAGGGCAGAATGGAGAATGGGGCTGATAAAATCTCCCCTTTTTTCACCTTCACCACTATGTGCAAGACAATCTGTTCTTCATTATGCAAAACCCAGCCAAGATATTTAGCTGGAGTTTGCATAATTCTCTCACTTTCTAAGCAAAATGGTGGCAATTTTTGTTAAAAAGGATCAAGTTTGCTTTCATGGAAGATGATCCAGATGTTATTGGTTGTAGTTGAAATGATCACCTGAAGATGGATTTATTGGGAGGCACATTTTGTATACCATTTATGGAAAAGTAGGATAGCATGTCAAAATACCCAAAGATAATCATCAAAGGTTAATAAAACATATCTTTCAATTAGCTTCTTTTTGAAATCAATGAGCACGATATAATAACAACTCTGGTGAGTTAGGCTTCTTAATACTGTCTCTTGGGAACATTCCAAAACTTTAATCTCATTATTCTTGTGAGGCTTGGGAGATAAGCAAGAGAAGAATACTTGTCAGATTTCCTGCTGACTTAATGACTATAAAACAAAGACACGTAGCCCATCTTCAGATGCAGGTTGTACTAAATACAGCATTTCTCTGTAAATGCTCTGTGTTTGTGAAACTGTCTCCACAAAATCAAAGGCTATCTTTAAGCCCTCACAGAAATCCTGCTCACCAGGTTTTTCCATTGTTAAGTTCAGTACTTTCAATACATATATTTTTCTTGGCAACAAAAGTGTGAAACTCTTTTATTATTAGCTCGGTGTTAGAGAAGGTGTTAAAACAATGGTAATACAGTGAAGAGCCTATTTATTCATCCCCGCTATTCAGGGCACTTTAGGTAATAGTGTCTTAATGGTAGGCGTTGGTTTACATTGTTTTTATACCCCCCCAGCAGTGCCCTCAGTGGCTTTGCTGTCTCTGAAGCAGCTGCATTTGTGCAACTTCATTTTTCACAGTTTAGCTGTGTTCTTTAGAACCCGTTTTGTGTTGGTTTTGCATCCCCTTCAGCAGCAGGAGGAGTTGCTGTGTCTGGGAGCCTCTGACAAAGCTGGTGTTCCCTCCCTGCAGGTCAAAGAGATCGTGGCGCAGCACACCAAGGAGTGGTCCGAGATGATCAATACGCACAGCGCCGAGGAGCAGGAGATCCGCGACTTGCACCTGAACCAGCAGTGCGAGCTGCTGAAGAAGCTGCTCATCAATGCCCACGAGCAGCAAACCCAGCAGCTGAAATTCTCCCACGACAGGTGAGCAGGGCAGTGCTGCCTGATCAGGAGCGCTTGGTTTAGGTGTGCTCTGTGTAGTGCTCTAGCTCTTTGCATTGACTGCTCCAAAGGCATGGGTGAAAGCACGGTGGGAGTAGAAGTGCAAGGTTTAGGTGGTGTCCTGGTGAAAGATGGGTCTGCCAGGGAAGGTGGGAACCTCTGGGAATGGAAAAGTGTGACCCCCTTCCCTCTGAATTATTATAACTCTGGAATCGCGGGGCTGTCAGGCAGAGCTGTGGGGAAAGGAGCAGCAGTTCTTTACTGTGTGTAACAAACAGACAGTGTCAGACAGTGTCACACAGACACACAGACACACAGACACACAGACAGTGACAGACAGTCAGACACACAGACAGTGTCAGACACACAGACAGTGTCAGACAGTCAGACACACAGTGTCAGACACACAGACAGTGTCAGACAGTCAGACACACAGACACACAGACAGTGTCAGACAGACAGACACACAGACAGACAGACAGTGTCAGACAGACAGACACACAGACAGACAGACAGTCAGAGAGGGGAGGGACTCGGGGTCCCGGCTCTTCCCCTGAGATGTGAGGGTCCCTTCCAGTGAGGTCAGGTGTTGACAAGGTCCCAGAGCAAGAGCTGCTCCTGGGAGCCTCGCATCACTTTTCAGTAGGAGAATATGGCAGCAGACAGAACCCCGCAGTGGCGGCGAATTCTCCTCACAGCAACCGCAGCCTCTCCCCTCCGATCCTGCCAGCCAGAGGAGCTGAGCCCAGCCTCACCCCCCAGCCAAAATCTCCCGCAGTCTCTGCCCTCCAAAAGAAAGCCCCTCAGCTAGGAGAGTACAGCTGCATCCTTCCCCTGCCTTGGCCATTTATTTTGTTTCTCTTAGGGACCTAGTCATTATCGTCTCTTAGCAACAAATGGGACAAAATTCCCTGAGAGAAAGGAAAAAACAAAAGAAAATCCTAACCTCCAACAGGTAGATGTAGGAATGGGCTTCTTAGCTGATTTAGATCATCTGGACCTCCTTAATGGCAGCAGAGGTGATGAAGCATTGGTAGTTTGCATTGACTTTACCCAGGAACTTCAATTTGGAGGCTGGAAACTAAGAAGTATAAAATGCAGAAATATCCTTTGGAGTGGCTGTCAGCTGGGGACTTGTGTTTATAGCACTGCTGGCTGTAAGAAAGATCCATGAGAAGTGAGGTCAAAAGGGGTTGCAGGATAAGCTGCATTAGACTGATGTGCTATCTTCATACAATGTCCTGCTATAATCACACAAAAGACGTTACAGGACACTAATGCTTTTGTAATTAACCATCCTGCCTATCTGAAATCAAATAAAATTAAATGCGCCTTATAGCACAGTGCTAAAAATGGTGGTAAGTAGAGGAATAATTTCTTTATCCTATGTTCTCTTATCTGAAGCAGCCTAAAAGGATACGGAGATAAAATATGTGTGTACACAAAATATATATATCCATATGTAGATTCATACGTAATTGTCTTCAGCACCTTTCACATAAAAATCATGGAGGGAAAAGAAATTAAACAAATCTCATTTGAAGAAGGAATTGGAATGATTTTTTAAATTCCTGAGCATAAAAGCAGCGTGTCTCTGCGTCAGAGAGAACACATGCTGGGAGCTGCAAGCTTTTCATCCACCAGAGAATTGTCCCAGCAAAAGGCTTGTAGTGAGCTCATCTTTATGTTAATCTCTGTGTTAACCCATCTCCTCAGGCTGCCCTGCAAAACATACCCAGTCAAATAGAAGTCCACAAATTGTTAAATTATTATACAATTCATCATTCAAAAACCATTAGCCAGAGGAAGGTGCAATCCTTGGTTCTGTACCTCTAAGTCATACTTGGTGGCATCAGCCCAGGAAATCACATCAATTTCTTTTTTTTGAGTCTTTTTTTCCATCCTGTTTGAAATTAATCAGAATGCTTGGAAGATGATTTACTAATATATGGCCTGTAAATGTAATATTTTGTTTTCTTTTCTGTACATTGTTGCACGTTCTCTTCTCACTTTGCTAGAAACTGTCATTTCAGCCTACCAGTATATATACACTCAGGCAAAACCTAAAGTTTTAAAAAAGCTTTTTTCTCATGGTTTTAGTCTTTGGGTTTAGATTTAAGTGTTTGTATGCTGTTTAAGCATCCCTCTATCATTTCTTGTATATGATTCTTATATTCTTAGCAATGGATTTTGCTTTCTTATTAGAAATCATTTGTGTTCAGTCCCTGTATTGCTCTGTGTTTAAAGGTACTAAAAACCAGATCTGATAATTTACATCCTTAGAAATATCAAGAAGCCTCTTTGTTCAGCTGTCCCAGGAGTAACAACCTTCAATATTCTTTCTGCTTTATTCACTGCAATTTAGTGTGTTTTTGCTTGTTTGGGAATTATGTGCAGACAGGGGACTTTGCTGTTAAAAACAAATTTAAGACTGTGTCTGAATCTATGAATATTTCAGAAGAATTTGGACTGTGAAATATTGAAATGTGAATGATAATGCCCCAAAGAGGCATCGCACTTCATAACTTGTAAACTTTCTCATGTCATACATTGTGTGTAGGAGACGTGTGTTTACCCTGGAGGCCAGGAGGCAGCTCAGGTGTGCCCACAGGAAAAGGGGAGCTGTGTGAGGGCAGCGTGGCAGCTCTCAGCAGGCTGTGCTCAGCACTGCCCTCGGAGCTGGCTCACCAGGTGTGCGTCACAGCACAGGGCACAGGGCTGTGGCACACATCAATAATCCCAAAGGATGCAGCTGCCTGCTGCACGAAAGGTGCTCTCCCTCCATGGCAGCACAAAAACCATTCCTGTCTGTGCGTTGGGCTCATTTAAAAACAAAGCAGAAGGCAGCAGATACTGCTAAAAACCTGAAGCTGATTGAGCTCCAGGGGTGCTGAGCCCCCTGCCTCCCCAGACTGAGTTCCCTTGGCTGATGTGGAGCTGGTGATCCTGCAGCAGGTCAGGAATTGGAGACCTGAGGCTGTGATTCACAAGCATTATGTACTCCAGATAAAATAACCTGAGAGGGAGAGGGAGAGAGAGAGAGAAATTGTGTGGTGGATTTTGGTTTTTTTAATAGAAGAAGAGATTTCTATTTATTCAAACAATGCTGGTGTCAGAAAATGACATGTTAATGCACTTTGATGTCATCTAAATACATATATAAATTCCAAGGATAGACTTACATGCTGGAAGTTAAGTATCCCTTCAAAAGACATGTTTGTATAAATTTCAGAGGTGCAGTCACTATGACTCAGTAGGGAATCGGCAGCTAAATCTTGGCAGTTGCACATTTTTCAGAATCCCTTTTTCTTTTTCTTCTCTTTACCTTCCTGGCTTATCTACTTGTTCCAGTTCCAGGAATCACCACTGCTTGTGGGAGGGAGAGTGTTTTTGCTGGAGACAATGTGCTGTGTTGGCCCTGTCAGCCCCCTCCATGGCCAATGCCTCATTTCTCAGTCATCAGTGATGCACGTAGGCCTCTAATCCTCTTAACTTCTTCCACTCTAAAGTTGGATCTGATGCAAACAGGCCAAGGCAGTTTGAACACCTACACTGACTTTTTTCATACCCTTCAGCACAGTAATGAAAATAAATTATTTCAGCACGCCTCTTAAGACAGTGTGTTTGAAAATCACTTCAGTTTCAGTGAGGAAAATAAAAGCTTTCATTGGAAGAAAGGATTGTTGGAGTGAAATGTGTTTTCAACATATCTTTTTTTTAGCACCTAGACTAATTTTTGCTGTGATACTACTGCTTTTAAATCTATATTCAGGAAATGTTTGACCTTATGAACTCTTGGAGGGAAAAGAAAAAAAAAAGGCACCACAGTTCATTAGTAAAAATTTTTTTAAAGCTCTCTCTTGTCACAGGAAAGGCTGAAAGGTGCACTGAGCCAGTAGGAGAAACCAAACGCAAGGCTGACCATGCCTAAACCACTCTTTTCAGGCCCACAGGCCCAAAGTAAAAGCTTTAAAAGGAAATGTGTCAGCTCATACCACAACCAGCAAACATTATTACTCTTGATACTGCTGTTACCTTCCGAGTGCAGGATTTGTACATTTTTTAGGCGGTTGTAAAAGACAAATTGCATTTTTTGATAGTAGCTCATAGTAGGACTACTCATATAATAGGGAGAAAAGAGAGTATTTTATATCTTTTTACAATATTCTATGCTTTGAACTCATCTTTCCAATTACCTGCTCTGGAATAAATGGAGATTTCTGGATGTCTGCTCAAACTGTGTAAGTTCTACCCAAAGGAAGAGAATTTTAGCGTTGTTTGTTCCTCTTCCTTAATACTTCAAGGAAAAAGTAACCCCAGTGTAGAGGAAGCCAACCTCCACAACAGTTGCACCTCAGGCATTAATGACTGTGTTTGCTTTTGCTCAGGGAAAGCAAGGAGATGCGTGCCAACCAGGCTAAAATATCCATGGAGAACAGCAAAGCCATTAGCCAAGACAAATCCATCAAAAACAAAGCTGAAAGGGAGAGGTAAGTATCCCTTCCTGATAAGGGAAGAATGCTGCCAAAGGCTGACAGGGGAAGCTGTGGATTAATTCCATTAAAACCATGCTTTTATGGATGGATAGCAAGGTCTAAAGATTGTGCTGGATAAATTTTTAGATGACCCTTTTAGGAAAAAATTGTGATTTTCTCATATTTATCCTTTTAATAACTCTAATGCCCTGATCATCTTTGACTGACTGGAGTAGGTCCAATCACACTATTAAATTTTAATTATTGTACTTCCAGAGTACTGTATTTTTTTTCTTTTTCAGTGAGATGAGGGCCTGACTGAGAAGGGAGTAAAAGCAGAATCTACACAATGATGTCTTATAAGCCTTTGGGGTTTCCCCTTCACTTTGGCCTTGCCATCTGGCTCGTTGTTTCCTTTTTTACATGCCCTCCTTGGCACTGTGCTATTTTGGTGCCAAAGCCTGACCCACGTCCCTTGGGTGCTGCACACCCCCTGCTCCTGAGGAGGATGAGCTGTCAGAGCCCTCTGTAACTGTTTGCTTTGTTGTGTCAGACCTCACCAATGACTCCGAGGTAAATCTGTTCCCAGATCTGAAAGCAGCTCTGGTTTGTGGGCTGAGTCAAATGTTTGAACTATTTTTGTTCTCTGTCATGGCAGAAATCTTAGGAAGAGCCACTTGAGTTATTTTATGTAACTATTAATAGTATATTTATATTTTTGCATGAATAGCAGCTTTAAGAAGCTTGCAGTATTGATAAGCGTAACTTTGCTTATGGTCATTGGATTTTTTTCCATTACCACTCTTAAGACACACAGCACTTTTTATATAACAAAACTGACAGCAGAGTGCAGCAAGGGATGCACAAATTAATTAAACAATTTGTTTTGAAGTTTTGACCACCGCTCTTGAGCAGGGAAAAAGCAAACTTCATTCACATTGGCAGTCAAGCCTTCAATCATACTGCCAATATATATGGAAGTACCTGAGTGTAAAGTTCTGTAGCCAGAGGAGTATACAATTTGCCATTAGTCCCACCTGGTACAGATAACGAGAAAACAAAATACACCTGAAGAGTTTGTGATTCTCTCTGTTGCAGCTTTTGGGCTTCTTTTTTTCCAATGAGTCTTCATGGAGAACATTTTCATTTTTTCAGGCGAGTCAGAGAACTGAACAGCAGCAACACGAAAAAGTTCCTGGAAGAGAGAAAAAGGGTAACTATAACCTTGAAAGTCACTGGACACTGCTTCTGGATGTTCTTTTTCATTCCTCTGTGTTGAGAATCCAGCTCTTGTAGAGTTTTGTCTTTGCTTTGTTGCACATACTTGTAGGATAAAAGATCTGACATCTATACAAGACAAAGCTATTTTGAATTAACAGAACTACTGCTCATTCCTGTGTGTTTGCCAAGTCTATGTACTGTGTGCAATATTTATAATATTTATCTATTAATTATATCTATTAATTAATAATATAATATTATTAAGCTTTTATTAAGATTGGGTGATATATAGGCCTCCTGTGATGTTTTATGCCACCTAAATAGGGCAAGACAGCAATACATATGTGTATCTTTCAAGCAGGTTTTTATTTTACTTGTTAATAATGTGTTATATTCTTCCCCCCCCCCCCCTTTTTTTATTTTCTCTCAATCACAGCTGGCAATGAAGCAGTCAAAGGAAATGGATCAGTTGAAAAAAGTTCAACTTGAGCACTTAGAAGTCTTGGAGAAGCAGAATGAGCAGGTATCTTGTTTTAAAGGCTTAGGAGAAAAGCAAGCTAGAGAAAACAGTAACCAGAGTCAGGCTGAGTAGAATCCTTCTGAATGTAAGTGTTTACCAAAGTGGGGACTTTTTCCTGGTCACTACCTGCTTTGGGAGTCAAAATGAAGAGGTGACTTAAATGATGATGCAGCACCAGATTTGTTTCAGCTGAGCCTGTGGGAGCTGAACTGCTCAGCCAGAGTGCACTTTCAGCTTTTCAGCCACACTGATACTCCTTAGCCGGATATGACAGTCATTAAGGACCCAGCATATCCATTTTAATTACTCCCCAAAAGCAACTCAAGCAAGTCAGTTTACTTCATTTTGGAACTTACATTTCTAGTGCTGATTGAAAAATTAGAGGAGAAACGTGCCCAGAGCATCTCTGAACTCCAAGAGGCAGTGAGTTTGGACTGAATTCTAGAGATGTACAGTAGCATGGGGAGTTTTATCTGTACTAGTACACCCTTTCCTAATTAAAATACCTTATTATTTTCTGCTAGTTTATAAGCTCCTTTTTTTTTTTTAATTGAAAAACTACTTGGCAAGGAAAGGGAAATTCTCATCATATTTCTGGTGGAAGCAACAGTATGTTCTGAGCAGTTCCCTTGCTGAAAGGTTGAGCCAGAAGAGCTGGAATAGTTGCACAGACTTGCAGTACTGCACTTAAAAATGTAAACTGCAAGGGGAATATACCCAGCAGTTCCGTGAGGTGAGAGAGAAGGGGAGCATTTAATACCCACCACTGTTAAGGGCTGTGCTCTCACTTCTCTGGTAAATGTTCAGAACTTGAACTCTCTGGAAGACACCATAGTACAAGTTAAAGCCATCTTGCAGACAGATAGGGAAGGGAATAGTATAGGCAAATCAAGTCTTTCCAGTGTCAGGAGAGAGCCCCAAAGCTGCAGCCTGGGTAACTCAGGGGGTGACAGCACTCTGAGAGCTCAGGTGGCTGCCACCACCGAGCCCCAGGCAGCAGGGCTCGGCTGAGCACTCCACCTCCTCCTGGGTAACAGCCACGAGTCCCACGCCGATCCCTCTCAGGGCTGTTGTAGACCAGCATGATGGATCTGCAGCCAGTCTGCTCCTGCAGTACCTAAAGGCAGGGAGGCAGGAGCTGGGGGAGGCAGGAGCTGGGGCGGAGTTTGGGCCATGGCAGATCTGTAGCGTCACTGTGATAGCTGCCAAAAAATGATGGGCTTGATCCAGAGCTGTGGTGTTATCAGTTCTTTCTTTCCACTGGCTTCAGAAAGCTTTAGATGCATTTTTCAAAATACATAAGGAGAGGAGAGAATGATTCTGGTTGTGCTTTTGAGCATGATGTGATAACCACGTTCTGTGTAAGGGAGCTGGGATAAGTGTGAGTCACTGAAGGGTCACCTCTGAGCAATTAGATACATCCTCACCTGGGCTTACAGCTCTGCAGCTGAGGGATGGCAGCAGCCTACGTGAGCTTGCTCATTTGCCATTTAAGTCAGATAAATCATCACTTATTAAATGGAATAAGCTGCTCCGTGTGCTGGTTATCACTCCTGTGTGGGCTTGTGGTGGCCTCCACCACAGGGGGTGTCCTTAACAGCTTTTTAACTCAGATTTGATCCATCAGAGCATACCTTTCCATACATGCTGTTTGGACCATTTCCTTGTAGCCCCAAAAGTGCAGCAGTGCAGCCCCCAGCTGGCTCTGGTATCACTGTTATAGACACTGATGTGTGCAAGTTAGTTGGATCCAGGTGGTGTTTGTTTAATGTGAATTTTGAAACACTTCTTTTTCCTGAACAAGGCAAGAAAATTTTCATACAAATATACAATGGAGAAAAGTAGAATTATGGGTGGAAACAGGCTTCAGTACAAACTGTTATAAATCTAAATTTGTTTTGTTTTGTGTATGTTTTTCTTGCATTAGTTTTTCAATATCACTTCAGTTTTCATTCATTTAATTTGCTTCTTGTTGTATTACTCGATTTTGACATTTTTATTTTTGTACAAACAGCTTTTGAAATCCTGTCATGCAGTGTCTCAAACACAAGGTAGGATGGACGTATAATAAGCAAACTATTATTTCAGTGTGCTTTCCTTCTAAATTAAATCATTATCATTGGAGCCCTCCTTGTAAATGCAACCATTGGGAAGTGCCATTGACACAGTGAGCACAGTGCTAATCTTGTTTGCACACAGATATTTGAGCCTGACACAATATTAGCAGTATTTTGTGCTTTAGCATCTGAAATTCAGATGAATATGAACAGTGATGCGCAGAGGAAATATTTAGAGATTAACTTGTACATTAGCTGCTGTTACTGGAAGATCTGCTTAGAGTTCTAAATTGTGTCTGTGAGAGTGTCTGTTGATCTAAGAAAAGTATTTTAGTGTTAACACACATATGATTAACTGCTAATGCTGATAGTCAGACAAAGGCTATCCACATATCTCAGTATGCTAATAAAATAAGTAATTCCATGCTAAGAATAGCCAAATATAGAATAGGTGGCTGGAAGTAGCTTCCTAGTGTCTGTGGAAGAGCACTTTAAAATTCACTTCAAATTCCAACATGTTACAAGCTCTGGCAATTACACTTTATGATGTGGCTGTGCTGCTGTGGCTTCCTAAATAATCGTTACTCCAAGAAATCCCTGTTAACCCCTGTCTTTCCAAGGGAAAGAGCTGCACTGGGCTGGAACATCCAGCCCAGTGTGCAGCACTGCCTGATCTGAGTACTCCCTTGAACTGATAACATCTTGCACTACTGACAGCACCCTCTGTAACAACATTTATTTATGGACACATAGTAATGAAAAAAACTCTCATTAGGCTAGGGAAAAAAAATATTTTTTTTTACTGTATGTGTTTCCTAGCTTGTGTAGAGAGCACCCTGAAAGCAGAGTCCCTGGCTGCCCCTGGCTCCCTGGATCCACTGTAGGTTCCAGAGGCTTGTCCTGCTGTGCTGGTGTGTTCCCATCAGAATGCACTCTCTGACCCAGCCTCAGAACGGCACAAACGAGATCCTGCTCCTCTGCTAGATGCTAATGTGGTCTTTGAAGCCAGGTTCTCTAAAAGAATTCCATACACAGTACACTGGGACACAAAATATTTATAGGACACACTGTGCCTGTAGTCAAGTCACAAGCCTGAAACGTGAAATGTGTGAGTCACTGAGAAAAAAACACCAGGTTTTGTTCTGTTTGGATGTTTCATTTCACACACAGGCAAAATTCAGCCAACATTTCAGAAGAGGTTGTCCATATTAATTTATTTATTACGTTTCCATGTTTTCATGTTAAAATTATTTCTTCATTACTTTCAAGCTTTTTAAGTCATTTAAATGGAGAATGTCAATTAATTTTTAATCATATTTATGATGGTTGCTTTGCTGTTATCATAATTACTTTTTTCCCCAAGAAGATGATAAGGATGGTTAAGCAAGTGCAGGGCTAGATTTTTCAAGAAGGCAGGTATGTCACATCTGCATAAATCCACATTTACCTTGAAAAGGAATAGCAGTGCACCCTCATTACTTTATTCCTACATCTGCCCATTTTCACCTCTGCAAATGTGTGTTTGCACATCCAGAATAGATTACTCCCTAAGTATAGCAAAGTTCCCTGTCTAAGCAACTTTTACAACTTCTGGGGGAACATAGTTTAAATAAATCAAGTCCCCTAACCATTATTCCCTGCATGATGGATAATACAGCAATTGCACCAAAGAAAATAGCTTGGATTGTCTCTTCCTAAAACTTGTCCTAATGCTCCTGAGTTTGATTGTATAGATGGGTGAGATTGCCCTTGGGGTCAGTTTATTCAGGGTCCTTGGGGCATGGATTTAAATAACTTCCCAGATTGAGAACCCCCAGGGAAAATGGAGATGCTGACTCTCAGTTTCTTTAAACTGCAGAGTTTCAAACCAAAACATGATAACAGGAGGAGAGAGTGTGGCTCTGTGCATCTGAGAGAGAGAGGAAGGGAATTTAAAAGGTGCCCTCTGAGAGGGGATTCCCAGGCCAGTCACCCTTTACACACAGAGCTTTAACTCTGCCTGCAGAGCCTGAGGCAGGCAGAGTGTATTTGAGGTCTGGCATGTTTTCATTGCTGGATTTTGCATAATGCATTTGGGTGCAGTTTCAGGTGGCTTCAGGGTGTGTAGTCCCATGGAGCACATATCAGTGTTCTAATCCTGAGGTGAAAAACACTCCCTCTGTAATTATAAGGATCTCCAGGTCAGACAAAAATGTTCTTTTAAAAATACACTATTTTTTTAAAATACCACTTAAAAAATCTTGCCTCCTGCAAGGGAGATGTTACACTGATGGGTTTGTATCATTCCTTTTCTTTATGAAAGAAGCAAGTCCAGATCATGATGCATTTCAGGCGTTAACACATTGCAGTACTCTCACAACAGCAGTAAGAATGCATTCCTGGACATTTCCTATCTGGAGAAACAGTAAATTGGCATCTGCCTAACTTCTTCCCCAAAACTGGGCTTCTGCATTTTATCACACACTTCTTTAGAAAGTCAACCCATGACTCCCAGAATAGAATAAAAAATATTTCCTAAGAATTTGTAGATATAAGGATTACATCCAATTTGGAAAACAGAGTGGCGTGGGGTGGGGGGACGAGGGGTGTAAAAATAATGTTGTTACCTGTCTCCTGAGTGTGCTTAGCCTGTGTGTCACTCAGACACTCTCATGTGAAACATGCTTCATTGGGAGCAAAAGGTCTAATGCAGCGCTTCATGCGGTTATTTTGGATTGCAGGCAAAGGAGATGCAGCAGATGGTGAAGCTGGAAGCAGAGATGGATCGCAGGCCAGCAACAGTGGTTTAAAGCCTCAACAAGCAAATTGAAGCTGGAGAGCACAGCATCCTTAAAATGAGAGCAAAATTCAAAATAACATTGCTGAGGTTGAAGAGTGGGCCTTTGGTTTGGTTTGGTTTTGGCAGGGGTTTGTTTTGGGTTTTTTTGTTCTTAATATTTCAAGGGTAGCTATGGACCACCAAGTCTTAAGGTTTGCATTGTTTCTTTTTTAACACTGGGCACTGAATTTCCTTTGTTGGATTTCCATAAGAATTTCCTTTGTTCAGAAAAACCCCAACTGAAATGCAGAGAGCTTTTTAAACCCCATCCTGTTTCTGTATCTCACCAGGCACGGTGCCTGCGTCAGAATCCCGCGATCAGAGGCTCGAAGCACAGGAGATTCCTTTAACATCATGTCAGATGGCAGCAAAGCTGTAGCTCGCTGTAATTTCCCATTTGTGTTCTCATGTGTGATGTGCTGTGCAGAAGCCCCGCGCCGCCAGACCCCGCCAGGCCACGCCTTGTCAGATGCTCTGCACCTGATGTTCCCTGAGCCCACTGAACGGGACCGTATGCCAAGTAATAATTAGGATAGTGAGGAGTTGAGTTTGATTTTAAATTACATTTAAATGGGTTTTTTTGCAGGCAGCAGGCAGTTGAAAGGTAACTGCGTATATTCAAAAGTACAGCGAGTACAAAGTCATCGGCCACATTCATCAGCTGCAGCAGTAACCTGACAGGGTATTTCTGCAGCCTAACGATGCCATTCACAAGTGCCATATCAACTCTATCAATTCTGAGGGGAGCCAATATCCTGTAGAAGTCACTGCAGTGGATAACCTGAGGGAAATACAGTGTATTCGTGCCAAAACTGATCAGTGCTCTAAGGAATTACGTATTAGGCACTTTAAGAAAAGTTTACATCCTACATTGCTTGTATAGAAATTGCATTTTGATCCTGTTGTTGCAGATCCCGGATACTACAGTTCATTGTAACTTAAAAGATTGTTTAAATGGCTTTTGGCAAAAAGTTTGTAACTGTGAAAATGTAAAAAGTATTTATACACTTGGGAAACACAACATTGTAGAAATTCACATACATGTTGCTACGTGATAAAATTAGTAAACAAAAATGCTAAGAGTATGTTTGCATGTGATACAAATGCTACTAAGGCTGTCATGCCTACTATATGACCACAGTCATGCTACTAGCTGGTAAATACTGAGTAAATGTATGGCACAGAATATTGTTTGATTAATTACAAAGACTTTTAGCATTACAAGGTCTCTATATATATGTGTGTATATTAATTACGTGGGCATTCTTGATACTTGTAGTAAAAGAGAAGTACATAACTAATTTAATTTTACACAGAAGTATTTATGCAGATTTTCAGAATTTCATATCAGGAATAACCTTTTTATGTCCATTAGATATAAAACCAATTTGCTAATGTGTCAATTTGCATGTTTCCAGAGCTTGCTGTAGTTATATTGCAAAACAATGCATGTAAGCATTCGGCTTGGAATTTGTCCATGCTGCCAATTCAAAGATGACTGCATGGAAAACTGGTAGTTTAGAACAAATCAGATTTCTGATTTCAATGTACTAAGCACCAATTACTTTGTTGTATATGCTTGTACAAACAAATTCTACATATTCCTATAAACAAAATAAATGAAGAGAGATAATTATGTTATTGTCGGTCCTGAGATGAAACTTTCAACTTCTCTAATAAAAACCTTAAAAATTCAAATCCTTTAGTTTTGACTGCAGTGAATTGCAGGGTGGTGGTGTTATTAATTAGAGATTTTTAGCAAATTGTATTTCCTGTAAAAATGTGCATAGTGTAAATATATTTTTATCACAGCTTATTTAGTCAAAGGAGTCTCTTTTTTTTTATGTTATATAAGTGATAGAAGCATTGTGCAGCACTAGAGAACTGCCCCAGTGGAGTGCAGCAGCACAACCTGGAAATGCAGCAACCCGAGTGCAGTGTAGCAGCCACTGAGACAGAGGTCAGTGAATTTTCAGGTGTTTAAAGCAGGGTTTGAGCAGACTTGTGATGAGTATTCACAATTCCCATTGTGATGCCACAGCCTGTGAAGGTAGCTCCTGGTCCTTTATAATGTTTTAAAAGACAGGTTGTGTACTGAGAGCTGCTCTCTAAGCCTGGCTCAAGTGCTGGACGGAGCTGGAAGCAGAAGTGTTTTCAGAGCACGCTGGACAGGATTTTTATGGTGGCTTTTCTTTTAATTAAAGATGTCCTCTAAAACAGCTGGTGGAGACAGTGCCGTGAGCTGGTATTGTACACTGTTGCCTACTGCAGTGGTTTTTAGCCTGTGAGGAGGAGCGAATGACAGACCAGGTATGGAGAGAACTGGATGGTGAAGCATCTTAAGCTCATGTAGAGCCTGGCTGGAAAGCCCTGCTAAAGAAACCACTGGGAATGGAGGGCTTGTCCCTGAGAAGATAAACCTGCCTATTTAATTCCTTGGTGAGCATCCCATCCCCTGAGGGGAAAACGCAGGTTTTGGAGGGACGGAAAATACTGTCCAGAGCCTCTGTCTGAGACTGTGCTCCCTGCTCAGCCAGCAGCGAGACATCCATCAATTCAGACAGAAGAACAGGCTGCTCTGAAACTGCCGAGCAGGAAACCTCGGCTCCCCGGCTCAGCTCCCCACAACGATACCTATTTCATCCACTGACAATTTAGCATAAAATGCAGGCAGTAATTTGAAATTAAGTGATGCATTTTGTCAGCTAAGTGTTTTGAAATACTGTTTAAGCAGTATTTGATTCAAAAATTATTTGAAGTTTGGCCGCTAATGTAATGAGGTGAGAATTTCCATTGAGATGAAATAGGCTAATCAATTTGAACATTGATACCGAGTTAAAGCAGTTTAAAATGTCATTCCCTGCCAGGGTGATAGATTCCACTTCAGTGAAATTTCATGGAGGGAAGTGGCAGATTTTCCCCTCTCTGAGTCGCTTCAGATAAATTCAGCTCAGCTGTGATGGGGAGGGTCATGACACCTAGGCAGCCTGCTATTCTTGCACTTGCAGTAATTTGGGGGCTGGTCATTAACTTGACTGTTTCCAGGTGGGGGCCTATTTAAGTCCTGTACAACCTGCATGCAGTTAGGAAATCACCCAAAATACGCCTCAGGTGGTGAAACCACCAAACCCCATTGGATGTAAAGCCCTGTTCCTGCTGGCTGTGTCAGTAGTGGTCCCAGTGCTGCAGCCTGGCTGTCCCCATGCTTTGTGCTCCCTGCAGGCAGCTGTGTCTGGGAGCTATGGGTAGCGAGGGTGATTCAGCCTTCGGAGATACCCACAGAGCTGGGGCTGAGGGCAGGTGGCAGGGCAGGTGACCTAGTCTGGGACCATCAACTGTCCCAGGGTGCTGATGCTGCACTGGCTCGCTCGGATGAGACCTTTCTGCTCTGTGTTTTGGGGGTTTGGTTTCAGGTGACCTAGTCTGGGACCATCAACTTGCAGCATTTCAGGGTGCTGTTGCTGCACTGGCTCGCTCGGATGAGACCTTTCTGCTCTGTGTTTTGGGGGTTGCTCGGTGCTAGGAAGCCTGAGGCCTTTCCCTTTCATTTGCCACGGAGAGCAGGACGAAGGCAGCTCTGCAGGCTGGAAGTGGCAATTGTCCCTGGAGCTGAAGGCTTTGTTGTTGTGCTGTGCAGCTGGGGGAGCACAGTTCTGGGCTGGGGGGCAGCCTTGCCCCCGCTCCAGCACAGCTGCTCTCTCCCAGCTGCTCTCTGGACCATCCTACACAGGCTGAATGCAGGGGCAGCTGCTCAGAATCATGTATTTTGGGCATTAAAATCTACCTAGAAACCTCAAAAAGGCTGGAAATTAAATAGTGGAGTAGAGAAGGAAATAAAGGGTAGTCAGACACTGAGCTCATCAGTGTAGGACCTGAGGAAGCCAGGCACTAAAATCATCACAGAAGTACAGCCTGTTACAGTCAAAGGTTATGTTTTCTAGAAGATTAATTTTTTCCCTTTATATAGTCCCCTGAAATTATTATCCATAGGTTAATCCTGTACCACAACCGACACAGGTCTGACTGTATTTGGGGGTGTGCAGGAATGGCTTTTTATGATGAGACAGGAGAGAGAGGGAAATGGTCAGAATGTATTTAATATGTACAGAAAGCAGAAAAGAAATTTCAACATTATAGTTTAAAAAAGAAAATTCCTTTAGTATCAGTTTTTATTGCTTAAAAAAGCCATTTCCCAACAAGAAAGCCCCTCTCTGCACGTGTGTGCCCTGGCAGAGAAAGGGCAGTTGCCCACAATCAAAACTCACCTTGCAATGTCTTGCTTTGCAAAACCTTGGACCGTTTCCTCCAGATGCCTTTTCCTGAACTAGAAATGTGAATTGGTAGTGAATCCAGTAATGCAATCACTCCAGATCGCTGCTGTCCCTTTGGCTTTTTACCGAAAAACCATCCTTAGTGTAGGGCCCTTCATCCCCGCTGCTCCTGGGACTGGTGTCGCTGTAAATCCTAAATATTTGGATGTGCTCCTGGTCCCGGGGCGAGAGTGGCAGCGCGTTAAAGCTCCAAAAAGAAAAGGTCCCGGTGAGAGGGGGGAAGAAATATTTCAAGGTGGCAGCACGGGGGGAAGGAAGCAGCCCGGGAGCGGCGGCGCAGCCGGGCTGGGATCGCCCGCTCCTCCCGGGGCCAGCGCCGCCCCTGCCCGGCTGACAGCGAGCGAGGGAAGCACTGCCCCGGCTCGGAGCTGAGGGGCCCCGCAGCCCCTCTCCGCTGTCTCGCACCTTTGACCCGGCCAGGGGCAAAACCCCGGCTGGGCACCTGTCCCACCTCCGACACACCTCCTGCCTGTCCCCCCAAAAACACACCGCACTGGCATGGGCGGTGTTGTTTCTGTTTTAAAGCACCCTCTGGTTGCTGCTGGGTTTTATGTGACGGTGCGCGTTGTGGTTTGCCACGTCTTAGAGCTCAGGTGTGTCGATGGCCCTTCACAGAAGGATGCGCGTTTGCTTCCGACCTTGCCACACAAAAATAACTGCACGCTTTTCCTAAATTAACACGCGGAGCAGCTGTTCGCCTTCACCCAAATTAGTGACGCTCTGTGAGCAGCCGGCACAGGAGCAGCTATCCCCTCCTCCGTCCCGTCGGTGCCCGGCAGGGACCGCCGGCAAACGCCGGGGCGGGGGTCCCGGCCCCGCTCCCAGCTGGGGGAGCGCTGGGGCTGAGCCCGGCTCCGCTGCGGCCGCGCGGGGATCCCCGGCAGTGCGGCGCGGCCCCGGCGCCGGAGGGGGGGAATCCCTCCTTCCCTCCTCCCCGCCCGGCGGCGCGTACGCCCCGTCCCTCGGCGTGGGCGCTCCATCAGCTCCGCCGGCATCTCCCCTCCTCCTCCTCCTCCTCCCCGCACACCCACACACTTTCCCCGTCCCTCCTCCCCGCCACTCCGCAGCAGAGTGCTTTTGCAGCCTGTGCGGCTCCTGAGAAAGGAGGTGTGCGGCTTTCCCCCTCCCTCCTTTTTATTTTAATTTTCTTTTTTTTTCCTCGGAGCGGACCTTTCGGAGGAGCAGCTGCAGCAGCCGGGACAGAGCAGGGAGCATGGCCGGGGGGCGTCTCCCGGGGCTGCTTTTCATCTTGCGTGAGTACCTGGGTGCCGAGTCGCGATACGGAGCCTGTCGCGACCCGGCAGCCGCTGGCGCTGGCGGGCTCGGCGCTGTCACGGCACCGCTCTCGCATCAGCGCCACCGGCTGCCCCATCTCCTCCAGCCGCTCTGTCGCGACAGGAGCCCCCGTCACGACAGAGCAGCGGGCTGGGGATGGCGGGGGGTGTCGGGGCGAGCGGCAGGGGCTCGGGGGCTGCCGGCGCTCAGCCCCGCTCTGCCCGCAGACGCCGCGGCTCGCCTGGCCGCCGAGCAAGAAGTTGAAAACCTCTCCGGGCTCTCCCCTAACCCCGAGAAGGACATCTTCGTGGTGCGGGAAAACCGGACGACGTGTCTCATGGCCGAATTCGCCGCCAAGTTCATCGTGCCCTACGACGTGTGGGCCAGCAATTATGTGGATGTGAGTGGGGGCCGGGGGCGGCCCGGGGCTCCAGCAGGAGCGGGGATGGCAGGGGACACACACACGCACGCACCTGCCGGTACTTTCGGAAAGTCCTTTATTCCTCCGAGCATTTCCAGCCGGGGCACTGGGGGGACGCTCGGGGGTCGCCCCGCTGAGCCCCGCTCCCCTCTTGCAGCTGATCACGGAGCAAGCCGACATCCCGCTGTCGCGGGGCGCCGAGATGAAGGGCAAGTGCGGCACGAACGAGTCGGAGCTGGAGCTCTCCTGGCTGGACCAAGCGTACACCCTCCGGCTCTCCTTCCTGAAGGTACGGGCTGCCGGGAGCCGGGCCGGGCGCGGCGGCTCCGCGGGGTCCTGACCGGCCCTGTCTCGGCAGGAGGGGCACAACACGTCCCGGGGCCCCGAGGCGTCGTGGAAGCTCAGCCGGATCCAGTTCACCTACGACACCTCCGAGCGCACCTACTTCAAGGATGCCGTGAGCCGTAAGCGCCCGGGCTTTAGGGGAGATCCCGGGGCGGGCACGGGGCCGGGCTGCTCCTACATGTACCTTACGGGAAAAAGGAAACCCCAAATCCTCCCGACAAAGTCGGGACCAGCTGCCGGGTTTAAACCGCATATTATAGTATTTTTTTTTCTCCGCTGTTTTTTTTTTTCCCTTGTTTTTAATCACCGCGGTTGCCGGGGGAGGGAAAGCCCAGCTCTGCCCGTTTGCTGCGCTGTCCTGTGGGACCCGCGGCCCCAGGGGTGGGACAGGGAGACGCCTGGGCTGGAAAAAACCCAGGAAAAAACTTGTCTCCTTTCCTGCGGGGAGATTGTTTTTGAGGTTAATCCCGATGATGGTTGAATAGGTGGGAAAGCAGCAGTTCCCCAAGATAACTGAGATTGACATTAGTATCATACCCCTACACACCTCCGCACCCAGCAGCCTCCTCTTTTCTCTCTGGTTTCCATTCTTTTGGTTTTCATCTTGCTTTTATTTCATTTTGGCTCAGAAATGTGTTGTCTTGAATTGAAAAATGAAATATTGTCATTTGCAAATCGTTCTCCCTCAGGATCTTCCAACTCCAGTGAATAGCCCTTTTAGGGTTGTTGCCATAAGACATGCTGGTTTTAGGGCTGCTTTCCCACTGGTGTTCCCACTGTTTGAGGCCCCAAATCGCGAAGCTGGACCTGCTGCATCAGCCCCTGCCCATCAGTGAAGCATTGATTGCCTTTTTGTGCAAGGGGAACAAAGGGCTGCAGAAGAGCGGGAGGTGGAAGAGACCCCTCATTCCACCTGCCTTTGCTTGCAGAACAAGCTTGGTGTGATGGGAGACTGTTTTCTCTAATTGACACCTGGGTGAGACGGTCACGGTGTATTTTCAGAAGGGCTTTATGGCCCGTCTTGCTTTGCGGGGTGGTCCCCATGGCCCTGCTCCTTCCCCCTGGATTCAGAGCCATTCAGAATGGGTGTTTCCCAAAAGTGGGGAGCAGAGGCACAGTCCCGGGCTGCACCCCGAGCGCCAGTGAAGGGGAACATTTGGCATTATGGTCTCCGGGCGCAGTGACAGGAGCGGGGCTGGCTCTGCTCCGCCAGCCCAGCGCTGTGTGCAGCAGCTGGGTGTGCTGGAGCCGTGTCCCTCCGGCGGGAGCCCAGCCGGTGCGGGAGCTGCGGGGTGTCCCAGGGCAGCGGGCCCGCACCCCGAGGACGCTCCGGAGCAGCAGGGCGCTGCTGCCGCATTGCGCCGTGGCACGCACGCCTGCGGTCCCTTGCGTGTGCTCGGGGCCCCTCGGGGCCGGGCCTGACGCTGTGTGTCCCCTGGCCAGCCGGGAAGCACACGGCCAGCTCGCACCGGCTCTCGGCCCTGGTGACCCCTGCCGGGCGGTCCTACGAGTGCCAGGCGCAGCAGACCATCTCCCTCGTCTCCAGCGACCACCAGAAGTCCGTGCAGCTCCTGCTGTCGGAAGTGCGGCTCCAGCCCTTCGACATCCCCGCGGATTTCGTCTTCAGTGAAGGTAAGGAGCAGGCAGAGGCACCTCCTGCACTCCCGAGGTGCTGATGCTGCCACGGCCTTTGGGGACGTTGCAACGTACTGAAGGAATTTGGGTCCCACCTTTTCCAAAGCAACCTTCCCCTCACTGTTACCAGTGCTCCCTGCAGTCCCATTCCAACCCATTCCGTGGTTCCCCAAAAGGCTTTACAAATTCAGCCCAGCTGCCAAAACATGGCCTGTCGTTTTATGTACGTTGGCTTCTGTAAGTACTTACAGAGTCAGGTTGCCAGCAAGCCCCAGTGCAGCATCCCTGGGGAGCCCTGCAAGGCTGAGGTGTCTCCTCTGCAGCACAAAATGCCTCAGCACAGCCCCAGGGGCTCTTAGGGCTGGAGCACGCTGAGGAAGCTTGGGCTGCAGTGGCAGGGGATGCTGGGGGTGCAGTTCCTGGCTGCAGTTTGATTAATGCCCATTGTGAGGGGGAAGGAGGTGTAACAGGGACTTCAGTGAGGCTCCTCGAGCACCAAACACACGGGGTGCCATTCTGCTTCTGGGATTCCCGAACATCCATGGTGGGGGAAAGAAAACCTGAGTTAAAACATGCTCTTTGCATCAAGGGTTGCACCGGAGTCTGCAGCAATGCTGCCGTGGGACAGGATTCCTGCAGTCCCAGGTTCCTTTATCCCAAGGAACCCATGGTGCTCCTCCTCCCTGGCTCCCCCTTGGTTTTCCCATCAGGTTGAATGAGGCAGTGTGGTCATACCTGGATTAGCTCAGACCAGTCCCATTTCATTGTGCTGCCTTAGCACTATAATTAGTCAAGCCCGTTATTGTAACCAGGTGCAAATAAAATGTGTAATGGCCAGCTCTTTTAATAATGAGTTAGAAAATTGTGGTATTCAAGCCTAGCATTAAAAACGTGGAGCTTTATTATTTTGCATGTGGGAAATATTTTGGAGCACAATGAGAGCCCAGCACTGACTGCAGAGCTGAGTGGTTGTGCTCACGACTCACATCCTCTCGCCGATGTTGTAAATTTGTGCTGCTGCATGTGCTGGCTCTGGCAGAGCTCTGCCTGGCTGAATTACTCACAGCAAGGCCAGTGTAATACCGAGTAGGTTTTATCCGTGGGCAGGGTGTTTTTGTATTGAAGATTTTTCTTAGATTTACAGGGAGAAAACAGTAAAACTTAATAGTTTGCTGTAAGGTTTGTAGTTGGCGTAGCTTTACCCTCTTTTTTCCTCCTGTGGATCCAGGATTCCTGCACTCAGGGTTGGGCTGGGCAGACCTTGGGGGCTGAGAACAGCGTGTTTAAGATATGCAAGTCTGTGTCTCCATGATACCAAACTCGTGAAGTCCTAGAGCTCCCAGCTGCAGCAGCCAAACTCGGGGCTCACTGCCAGAGGAATCTACCCGCTGTTTTCATTACATGCTCATTCCTGTCAGGCAGCAACTTTGTTTCTATTTTGTTTTCTCTGTTGTTGCTGTGGTTTGGTGGGCTTTTCTTCTTCCAGCGCACAAAGAGATGATGTTGGTTTAGCAATCTTTAAACACACGGAGGGAATTCCTCCTCCAGAGGACAGCATGGCTTCTCTCTTTGTCAAGCTCAGTGGGGTTTTCTGTAGTTGTTGCTCTCATTATTCAATTACGCTCGTTTTTGTTGAATTGCACTGGAAGTGAAGCAGCAGAGAGCACTGGAGGGCTGGTCAGGGGTGCTGGGAGGTGATTTATCAATGGGGCTCCATCCAGGGCACTGCTGCTCTCCCAGCAGCGCTTCCTTCCAGCTGAGCTCGTCCTCAGCACACACACGGCAGAGCAGGATCCTTTGTGGGGTCTGAGAGCCACTGCCAATCTCAAATTACAGTAATTAGCCTTCTCCTTTTTGCTTCATTAATTTCCCATTAGGTAAAATTCCTATTAATTATGGACAAGCTACAAAACATTCTAAAATATTTTGGAGCAGAGAGAAAGACCTGCTAGAGCAGAAGAATCACCAAGACACAGGAATATTGGGGCCCTTTTTCCACAGAGAAATTGGGGAAGGTTTCTTCATTAGCCCTGACACTGTCCTGGCAGGATAGGTTAAAAAGCTTGTAGAGAATGATTGGATTGTCTTTGGTTTTTTTGAATGCTTAAATTCACATGCTAGAATTTTTTTTTGAGACATGCTTCCAACCATCACAAATCCACATCTATTTATTTATTTAAATTTTTATTTTTTAGTAGAGAAGCAGCAGAAATTTTTTGCATTCAGAGTTCGCTGTTTTGGTTTTTTTTTTAACAGGGAAAGTGTGTGTACATTTTTCAGCTTAGGAGATGAGAAAAATGAGAGCTTGATCAAGAGGGTAGGAAAATATTTAAACTGAGGAAAGAACCCCAGAGAAACTGTCAGCTCTTTTGATTTTATATCTAAAAATTCCAATCTAAAGCAATATGATGAAAAACAGTAATACAGAGGGATGGAACAGCTGATAACCAGGGACTGGGATGCTGGGTGGCTCAGAGGGAGCTGTGACCTGCCCCTTGAGGGCCGCATTGTCTCAAGGGTCCTTTGCTCCCAGGTATGCGGCCACTTTTTAAAAAGCACCTGGTTTCTCTTCATGTAACTTTTTAAGTGTTTGCTCACAAACAGCCGTCTCGAGCCCCGCAGCCTCGCCGTGCCGGACACAGCGGGCTGTTTCCCCGCTGGACAGCCCCCGGGCGGGTGCTGGGCTCGGGCTGTGCCGGCGGGACGGCGCTGTGCCTGTGCCGGCTTTTGCTCCGTGCGTGCTCCGCAGAAGGATCCTGGAAGGAGAACGGGCTCTGAGGTGCTTTCCCAGCCCGCCACCGGAACTGGCGAGCGCTCACCATAGAAACCGTGGCAGTACGTGAGCCTGGGAGGAGGCACTGCACAAAGGAGCAGAGGGATGCACCTGAACGCCTCCCGTGACTCCATCTGCAGTGGGTGTTGCACGGGCAGGGACTGGGGTGACCCCCCTGCCAGAGGGGTGACCCCGCCGTGCCCGGGATGCAGCAGAGCTCCCAGCACCCTTCCTCTTTTCTGCCAGGGCCCTTCTTGCTTCCCTGCACTGAGGGTAAACCCCAGTAATCTGGGAAATACTGAGATCCTGTGGCCTGGAGTGTAATACTGGGCAAGATTTGACAGAAAGGGCTGTTTTCCTGCAGGGTCATTAATTTTGCAATCATAGCTGTTCCCAGTGCAGTGGTTCTCTGTTTGTCAAGCGTTAACCTACCCATATTTGAGGGGGTTGAGCATCCAAATTTGCCTGCCATGGACTTGATGCAAACCCTTCTCTCCTCCTGTTCCCCCTCTGCCTTTTCCTGTGCTGATGGAGCAGGAATGGGACCTGCTGCCTGCCTGCTTCCCTGCTGTGTTGTGGACCTCAATGCCTTTGCTTGGAATTCTTGGGGTGAAAAATGCTTCATTTGAATTCCTGGGGTGAAAAAATGCTGTATAAATGTTAAAGTACCTTGTTATAATGTGAAAGTATTTGCCATAAAATTATGTGGGTTAACATGATATTAATGGAGAACTAAAATGATAAAATGGAGAATTCACCCTCCCTGCAGTCAGCAGCCAGAGCCTCACTCCTGCTGCAGATGTGTTTGTGCTTTGCACTTCCCAGTGCCCCCATATGGGTCCCCCCATTCCCATTCCCCCTGCAGTCTCCAAAGAGCCCAGGCTTTGGTGATCTGCTCCAAAAGGAGAAGATGAATGATTCTGGTGAGGAGAAGGTGTGGGTAGGACAGAGGCAGCTGCTCTGCCCAGGGAGGTGCAGCGGGTCCACCAGGGTTTGGGATGTGCTGCTGGAGACTGACACCTTTGCTTAATGCCTTTTTTCCCTTCTTCCTGTTGGCTTTCTTTATTATTTTATTTTAATCCTCTTAAAAATAGTGTCAGGATAAAGAACTCTCTTGCTTGGTTGCTTGCAGGAGCTGACACCTTTTTGAGCTGACACAGACCCTTACACACAGCCGTGGCTTTCAGTGGACCACAGATCTCTGGCCACGTCCTCTGGCATGTTTTGTGCCCTGCAGCTGGTTTGCTTTGGCAAAATTTGGTGGAATTCAAATGTTACAAGTGGGTGCTTCAGAGCTGGGTCTGTTTGCTGCACTGGTGCTTTTAGCTTTGCTTCTCCACTGGCTGCAGCCCCCCACATCCAGCCTGTTCTCCTGGAGTTCTTTAAAATAGTGTCAGGATAAAGAACTCTCTTGCTTGGTTGCTGGCAGGAGCTGACACCTTTTTGAGTTGTGACACAGACCCTTACACACAGCCATGGCTTTCAGTGGACCACAGATCTCTGGCCATGTCCTCTGGCATGTTTTGTGCCCTGCAGCTGGTTTGCTTTGGCAAAATTTGGTGGAATTCAAATGTTACAAGTGGGTGCTTCAGAGCTGGGTCTGTTTGCTGCACTGGTGCTTTTAGCTTTGCTTCTCCACTGGCTGCAGCCCCCCACATCCAGCCTGTTCTCCTGGAGTTTCCTGTTAGGGAAAGGTGCATGGCAAACCCAGTGTGTTTGAGCACGGGGAATGCTCTCAGCTGGGTTCCTGCAGCTTTGTTTCCATCTTCTCTTGGGTTTCAGCTAAGCCACTTCCCCAGCAAAAATCAGTGTCCAGCCAGAGTGCTCTCCTGCTCATTGGCAGCTCAGCACACCCTGTCTGCAGCCTTGTGGGGGCTGCCCTGGAGCTCCTGGAGCTTGGGTCCTTCCCATGGGACCGGTGCTGCCTTGTAGCTGTGGGGAGGGGGTCAGAGCAGCCCTGGCCCCACAGCCCTGCCCTGTGAGTGCCTTTTCCTGGGCTTGTGTCCCTGCGAGCTGCTCAGGCCTTAGCATCCTCAACTGGGAGCGATTCCATGGAGCACCAGAAACCCAGTTTTGGGAGCTAAGTAACCATCAGGACTTCTCCCCCATTCTCCTTACTACAAACAAACAAAACCCCTGCATTGCAGCAGTTGCTGAATCGCCTGTGCCACAGTCCTGGTGATTAATCACTCCTCTGGTGAAACGGTGAGCAACTGGAACTGAGAAGGACATTCTTTTGTGTTAGACACATTCCACTTTTGCTTTTTTTTTGTTTCACCTGATTTACAGCTTGAAGTGTTTCCTGATGCCGTGGCTGGGAGGAGGCTGCACTCCAGGCCTGGTGGAGCTCCTGGAGGTGCCAGCACTGCTGGAGATGGGTCCCTGCTGTCACCTCCTGCCTGGGCCTGGGGCTCTCTGGGTTTCTCCTGCTCTTTGCCACATGCTGTGAGATTTGTGGAGCGTTTGCTCTTCGTGGTTATTGCAGATCTCTGCAATCAGCTGCCCGGGGGACCCATCTGGACAGTCTTTGGCAAGGGGGGGAATTGGTGCTGCCCTTTGTATTTGTTCATCTAACACACAGCCTTTCTATTTTCCTTTCTTTTTTTTTTTTTTTCCTTAAAGTTGTCATTGTTTTCAGCACATTTCTACTACAATGAAGGCAGAATTGTCCTTCCTGTATCACGTACCCCTTTTTTTTCCCCCAGAACTGGCACTTTTCTTTTTAGCCTGGCAGCCCCATCTCAGCAGCATGGGCCCTGCCTGTCCATCAGCACGGAGAAGCAACAATCCTGTGGGGGAAAAGTGCATCATGATCCTGTCACTCTGGCCTGCAGTGGACTGTGGAGGCGTAAGGGAGCAGAGCCAGGATTGCCAGTGTACCATGCTTCCTGACCTTAGTGGCCTTTCCAAGCTCAACAGAAAAGTCTTTTCCCATTGTATCACTATTTTCTGGTGGTTTATTAGGCCGTGGCAAAGACTCATCAGAGAGACAAGAGCACTGGCGGGGCTCACGTTGCTTGTGCTGCTCCTCTGCTGTATTTGGTGGACAGTGTGGGGTGCTGGGTGCTGTCTGACACACACACACACACTGTGTGTGCTCTGCCAGGGCTGCTGCCCAGTCCCTGGGGAGCTCACGGAGAGCGGCAGAGGTGCTGCTGGGCCTCTGCCAACGTGCAGCTAGAGGGGGATCTCTGGGTGATGTGCAGGCTGACTCTGGTGCAGAATTAAAGCCTCACTGGCGCTGAGGCCTCTCCAGACCCTGCCTGAATGAACAAAGCAGCTCTTTGGTCACTCAGGAGCCCCGGGCTTTGGCTGCCCTGTTCCCAACCAGGCCATCCCTGTGTGCCAGAGGGCTGAGCTTATGGCATGGGAGTGTTTTTCCAGTGCGGGGGCTGGTTTGACAGATGTAGTCTCTCCCTGTGTTGTGAGTGGTTCCACTCTGCTCCAAAGCAATTGATTTTCTCCCGGGGCTCCGCCGGCAGCTGCGGCTGCTCCGTCCTGCGCGGAGCCGCGACCGGGGAGCGCCGGCAGCGCCGCTCACAGGCTCGGCCATCCCCTTCTCCTCTCCCTGCCCCTGCAGTCTCAGCCATCCCCTTCTCCTCCCCCTGCCCCTGCAGTCTCAGCCATCCCCTTCTCCTCTCCCTGCCCCTGCAGTCTCAGCCATCGCCTTCTCCTCTCCCTGCCCCTGCAGGCTCGGCCATCCCCTTCTCCTCTCCCTGCCCCTGCAGTCTCAGCCATCCCCTCTCCCCTCTCTTCCCCTGCAGAACACAAGTGCCCGGTGGACCAGAGGGAGCAGCTGGAGGAAACGCTGCCCCTGATCCTGGGGCTGATCCTGGGGCTGGTGATCGTCATCACCCTCGGCATCTACCACATCCACCACAAGCTGACAGCCAGCCAGGTGCAGATCCCTCGGGACAGATCTCAGTACAAACACATGGGGTAGGAGCAGCACCGAGCAACCAGAGCACTGATCAGGTAGAAACAGCAAAAGCACTTTTTTCTGTGGGTGAGGAAACGTTCTGGGGGGCAAGGGATGGTATTCACAGCACCTAATCCTGAGCATTTCATGGAGACACTCAGGCTAAGGCTTGGCTTTAGCACAGCCCCTGGAAGGAGAATCAGTGTCTGTGGGTGGTTTGAATACCTTCTTTAAGCAGCTGGGCTGATCATCTGGAAACAGAAACGCTTCACATGTCACAGTTTCACCCGGGGAGCACAAGTAGCTTTCTTGTTGTATTTATTTTCTCCCTTTTTCCCATCTCAAGAGGTTCTTACCTCCCCCTGCATCACCTTTGGAGCATCCAGCCCTCCACATTCCTGTCTGTGCAGGAAGCAGGGCTGCGAGACAGAGCCATTGCACAGGGCTCATTCAGGCCTTCCAATGAAGGGACTCAAACCACATCCCCGAATTTGCACTCATGTTACGAAAAGCATGGAGGCAAATGCAGGTGTGCTTTGGGGAAAAAAAATAAAATTCAAGGTCAGTAACTCCAGTGGAGCAGATCACAGCTGTGGAGCTGACCCCACACTTGAGACTGGGTGAAGAAAGTTTGTTTTTGCTTCTTGAGCCACATCTGAACTAAACTTAGAAAAAAAAAAGTTAAAAAAAAAGTATTGATACACAAATTATAAAGTGCCGTGCTACTGCAAGTCAACTGAGAAATGCTTCTGGCTGGGCATCCTGCACGTATTGTGATTGTGGTTGAGATGTTACATTGCTACCTGCAACTGATAATTTTCACAACAAAACAAAAAAACAGAGAAAAAGAAAACAGTAATGTTAAAGTTACTATGCAGATTATTCAGGTATAATCTAATGTAACAGCAAAATATAAGGGAACCCTTGAAATCTATCCTTAAATGTAGACAATTTTTAAAAGTAATTAAAACATGTACATACATAATGCTTGATTTGCCTTCTTAATGTGAAATGTTGAAATGCTTTGTCCTCACTCCACGGTACCAATGGAATCAGAACACAAATGCATCCTCTGAGTGTTTGGCATGTGTAGGATTTATTTCCAGCAGTGGTTGTGCTGCAGATGCCTTGGTGAAGCCATGGTGTGGTTCAGTATTCTGTCATTTGCTGGTTGTTCCTAATTTTCTTCTGTCTCTTGGTTGTTTTTCTTGTGTGTTGTGTGGGCAGTGATGTGTTTCATTCCAGTTCAGTCCAATTCCCACTGAGCCCTTTGACTCCACTTGGCTCCAGTGTTACCTCAGCAGGAGTTAGTCCAGGCCTTGTGTCAGTTTAGAGTGTGGAAAACACTTCCTTCTTTTTAAACTGATTTAATTCAAACACAGGCTTGATTGTTTTCTTTCAGCTTAAGACAATAAAAAATAGTAATTTCAGTGCTGGAAAAAGGCAAGAGAAGAAACTTAACTGTTCTTTAATGTGTAGTCTCCTCCAAAATTTATGGGTTTTTTGATGAAGGTGGATGCAGCATGAGCCTTTAGTCCTGCCTTATTCCTGGTCTCATTTCTGTGCTGTGCTCAGCTGTTTTCTCATTTGGATGCAAAAAGCCGATTATGTCACTAACGATGATTGTGGCTTTGCCCTTTTCCTTTAGAGCTGCAGTGAAAGGGTCCTGGGTGAGCTCTTGACTGGCCCAGTGCCACTGTCTACAATAAGCTGCTAATTAAAAAAGACAAGGTTCTTTTAGAGGCAGTTAGAAAAAGCCAGAGGTAGCAGGAGGGTGAGTAAAAGGATTAAAGGTTCATCCCTAATAGAGAGGAGCTTTGTCCTGCCTCACCCTTGTCTGCCCCGGGGCCAGGAAGGCTCTCCCAGCCAGCTCCCCTCAGCCTGGCACATCTGCCACTGCGACCTCCCAAAGAATCAAACACAGAAGGGAAGGCAGCAGCTGAGCTGCAGGGGCCAGAGCAGCCCCTGCACTGCCTTTGTCTGCTGGAGAGGCATCCTGGCACGGGGCTGTGGGAAGGGTGGGAGGATGCACCCACTGCAGCCAGCCCGGGCACCCGGGGGACCTTCCCACCTTGGGAGTTCAGGGCTCACAGGGAGCTGCTGGGGCAGCAGGGGCTGAGCTGGGCTGGGCCGAGCTGGGCTGGGCCGGGCCGGGCTGAGCTGGGCTGGGCTGGGCCGGGCTGAGCTGGGCCGGGCTGAGCGTTCCCACCTTGGGAGTTCAGGGCTCACGGGGAGCTGCTGGGCCGGGCCGGGCCGGGCTGGGCTGGGCTGGGCTGAGCTGGGCTGAGCTGGGCCGGGCCGGGCTGGGCTGGGCAGGGCCGGGCCGAGCTGCTCAGTGCCGCTCAGTGCGGTGCAGAGGCAGAGCCTGGGGACACCGTGCCCAGGCTGCTCCGGGGAGGCTGTGCCTGCCCAAATGGAGCCACCCTGGGGCCGCTGCCCGGCGTGGCTGCTCCTGCTGCCTCTGCTGGCCCCTGAGACCGTCCTTGGGCATCCTGCCTGAGCTGCAGGGCGCTCCCGGGGACTGTCCTGCCTCGCCCAGGGCACGGCGGGGGTGGCAATGGCCACTGGATGGGGACAGCCCAGAGCTGCTGCTGCTCCTGTGCCTGCCTGAAGGGCTGCTGCTCTTCATGGCAGACGAGGGTTTCCCTTAGGAAGCACCTGGCATCGTCTCCAGGGGCTGAGTGTGTCTGGAAGCTATAGGAACAGATTCCAGGAATGCAACAATTAATTTACTGGTTTTCTGAACTGACAAAACTTTTTTTTTTTAAATTGGACTGAAATGTTTTTGCTTTTTGGGGAAGAAAGAAAAAAGGAACAGTAATTTAATGTCAGTGACAGTTTGTGTCCCAGATTGATGTATCTTGATTGAAAAAAAAAGTTATTTAATGTTTTGGGTGAAAACCTTTTAAAATCTTTCCATTCTCTCCATCCTTTTGCTCACATTTACTAAAATTGATCTGAATTCTCCATTGCTTTAAGCTTTTCAAGCCTATTTATGAAGAATTATTTATGAGAGCGATTATGTCCCGCTTCCCTCCTGCTTGTCAAACTGCAGCAGCATCTTCAGGATGGCAGCACTTTGTTGTGATTTAATTTTGTATTTAGCTTTCATTTATTGATGGCTTTTTATGGGTGAGCTGCAAATTGAAAGCTTTGCTTTCTAGATGTTTATGAACACAGCGGTGGAAGGTGGATAAATACACTTTATCACCCTACTGAGCTCTGCCAGGACCTGCAGTAATTAGGCACTTACCAAAGCAGCTGCTAATGACTTACGGAGTACTTGTGATTAGAGCTTTAATTATCAATTATTGATGTATTGCTGAGGAGGGGGCTGACACAGCCAGTCAATGTCCTGGCCTCTGGGGGTGGGTTTAGAACTGTGAGCTCAGAAACAGCCATCACTCCTCAGTGACAGGGGGAATCATTTCACTGCAATACGGGCTCAGCTTCTGAGTGAATGGACGCTCTTCACATGCCTTGGTTGCTTGTTTTTAGGTGATGGCATTACATTTTTCCAATGTATTTTGAAGTATTTACTGATGTCAGAAACCAAAAGTAATAGAAATCCTCACCTGTGAGACTTGAGGGTAGCAAACAACATTGTAGATTCATCAGCTGACTGCTGCTGCTGGGGAAACTGGGAAGAGCTGCTGCCTGTGGGTGTGAGAGATCAACAGCTGGGAGCTGAACACTGGGATGTGTAAGGAAAAAAGAAAGGGATTATTAGGGCATGGAGAAAGGAAGGTGGAGATGCACTGACACTTAGAAATCACTTGGGGCAGCTATAAACCACTATTTATATATGTATGTGCATCATACACATGTGTATCTTGTGTGTGTGTATGTGTGTATATATATATATATATATAAAAACCACTTTTTTCCTTTGTTATCTGCTTGGTCCAATACTGTGGGACTGGGTCAAATGTATAAAGTAGAAAAAAGGCATGGGGGGAACAAAACCACACACTGAAGCTTAAAGTGTTTATTAATTAATTTATTTAACTTGCATGTGCATTTGTCTCACCAGTAGCTGGTGTTCACAAAAAAACCCCTTTGAAATCGACAAAACTCTCGGTAAACTCGATGAACACTGCTTAAAGTATCTAATGATAAGAAAGTTGCAGAAAATTCTTCACTTGTACAGCCTAAAATGTGCTGAATATTGAAGAAAAAACTCCCCCCAACCCCCTTTTTTATTCAAAGATGGTTAAAAAAGGTAATTTTGTAGCTAGTATGAAGTTGTGCCGTTGCCTGGACTGGTGCAGCCTGGTTTCCTGAGTTGTCAAGACTACAAAAGAGAGCCCTGGGAGGCTGGGGGTGCTCCCTGCTGGGTGGGCTCTGGGAGCCAAACATTTTCTTCAGTGTCTTCTTCAAATGTGCAAACAGGGGTAGGGAGAGAGAGCACTGGGGATAAGACACTGGTGTAAGATCAGCTATTCCATGCTCCAGATCGTCCTTATCTCCTTTTTTCTTTTGTTTTTTAATTGCTTCTCTCCCTCCAAATATTCTTTAAGGGCAGAACTAGAGGAGCTTTTTTACCATTGGCAACTCTTTTCTCCCAGAGGAAGATCTTTAAGCAACAGCTCCTGCCAGGTGTAGATGTTTGGTTATAATTTACTACAATAAATAACAATTAATTTATTAACTATGAAATATAATAAGAAAGAAACTGTGTTCACAAAGTTGGCTTTGTGGTTCTTAAAGATACCATAAAATGAGGTCAGTAAGAAAAAAAACCAAACTTGAAAAACATGGCTTTTGTATCATACAGAATTAAAAACAACTAATTGTTAATAAATAAAATTAGTTTCTCATCGAAGTAATTATGAAGCACTTCTAAAAATTTTAAAGGCAAACCTATTTAGGCCTACAGTTAACATGCAAAGTCATCCAACAAATAACACAAAATTGTACCGCAGTAGTCAACTGTTGCATCAACATTCAGAAAGGTCTAGACAGCAGCACGACTGCTCCTGGATGGCACACGCCTGGCAGCCCATCCCCTCCCTGCTCCGGGGCTCCTGGGCAGGCAGGAGCAGCTCCTGCTCTCCCTGGGCACTGCAGCAGGCACGGAGGCCGCTGTGGGGCACAGAACGAGAGGGGTGAGCCCCGTCTGGAGCGGGGCTGGGCAGGGCTGGCTCCCAGCCCGGGAAAGGGGACAGCCAGCAGGGCAGGGCCAGCCCCTCCTCACCCCACGGGAGCTCTGAAAACCTCACAACTTCCTAAAGGTGGCTGTGGTTTCTTTTTGTTTTTTTTTTTTTGTCTTTTTTTCTTCTGTTTTCAAAAGGGTTAAAAAAAATAGGAAACTTCATCTTCTGAAATTCTCGCTAAGTTACACTTATTACTTAACTAACACAACAGTTACATGACAAAGTACTGCAAGTTATCAAAACGTACTGTACAGAAAATTACAAACTTCTTGCAAAATACATTGCGCTGCTCTGACCGGGATAAAAAGTGCTTTGTTTTGTCAGAAAAGTGTTCTTCAGGAGCAGCAGTGCGGCGGCCCGCGGTGCAGCTCAGCGTGGCCGTGCCCCAGGGGGCACTGCCTGCCCCGGGGTTCTGGACACGGCTTCCCACAGGGCTGCCTTCCTCCTCAAGGCTCTCCTCCTCCTCCTCCGTGCGGGTCCCGCAGCCAGGAGCTGTCCCAGGAAGGCTCAGCGGTGCCTGTGCTGCCTCATGAGGGGCACGATGCACGACGGGGGCCCGGCCAGCTTCAGGAAGGGGTGCCTCAGCAGCTCCTGGGCCGTGGCTCTCTGCGAGGGCTCCCGCACCAGCATCGAGTCCAGGAAGCCCCGCAGCACCGAGGAGACCTGAAACAGCACACGGGCATTAGGGCTGGGCCGAAGAGCCCCTTCAGCCGTGCTGGCTCTGCATGCTGTCTCCTTGGGGACACCCTGATCCTCCCTACTGCAGCAGCCGTGCTGAGCAGAAGGCTCTGGGTCTTTGCTGATGTTTGGGGTGTCTGGGTGTCACTGGGTGCAGAACAGCATCAAGGCAGGCTGAGGGCTCGGGTCTGATGGAAACCCCCCCTAACTGGGAGGTGCCCCAAGGCCTTGGCACCTCGCATGGGTGTACCAGCCCACCCTCAGCAGGGCGGTGAGCGGAGCTGCTCTGGCCCTCGGGCAGGGTGGGAAGCACGGAGTGTGAGGCTGTGCCCAGCTCCCCTGCCATCGCTGGCTGCAGACAGCGCCAGGGCCAGGCACAGCCACGGCCGTGGCCGACGGCTTCGGCCTCTCCTCCTCCCCACAGGTGTGGCAGCTCTGCTCGAGGGGCCCCTCAGAGCTGTGAGCTACGCTTTGGGCGGGCAGGCGCGCCTGCGTGTCCCTGCCCAGGGCCTGTGCCAGCCCGGTGCCAGGCAGGCTGACCTTGTGCGTGTCCTTCACGCGGGGCGGCAGGTTGTCCCGGATGCGGCGCATGGCCTGCAGCGGCGGCTCGTTGAAGTACGGCGGCTCCCCGTCGATCATCTCCATCACCATGATGCCCAGGGACCAGATGTCCACCTGCAACACACGCGGGGCTCACGGCACCGCTGGGGGCCAGCAGCCTCAGCCCCGGTCCTGCTGCTGCCTGCCCAGCCAGCACCATCCCCTCTGGCTTCACCCAGCCCCCAGGACCTCCTTCTAGCAGAGCCCTTGGCAGAACACAGCAGAGGGGCTCTGTAGCCGGCCTGGGTGCTGCCCACTGGAAGCTGCCTGCTGGCAGGGGCTGTGTCCTGCTGCCCTGCATTCCAGGGCACTGACCTGCAGCACTGAACGCCACCCCCAGGCTGGCTCTGCGGCTGCTGCAGAGCAGGGTACCCTTCTAGCAGAGTGCTTGGCAGAACACAGCAGGCTCTGTAGCCAGCCTGGGTGCTGCCCACTGGAAGCTGCCTGCTGGCAGGGGCTGTGTCCTGCTGCCCTGCATTCCAGGGCACTGACCTGCAGCACTGAACGCCACCCCCAGGCTGGCTCTGCGGCTGCTGCAGAGCAGGGTACCCCTCACTGCTGTGGAATCACTTACTCTGTCCCCCAAAGCTTAAAGACTTTGGGAACTCCATTCAAGACCCCAAGGCAAATGCAGGCACTCCCTACAGCCAGGCTTGTTTACAGCCACCACAGGTAGCACCTTATGTAACACCTTTGGAAAGTGATTCAGCTCCAGCTCAAAAAAAAATTTTTTTTTTTTCTTAGTCCTGGCCTGCTGCAGAGCTGCTCCAGAATCCCAGCCCTCTGATGACTGTAATTCCTGTCATTTGCCAACCCAAATACAGCCAGGGCCAGTTATTCTGCTTTTGCTCTTTTGCCAACACTATCCTTTAGCTTAAATCCTTTTTTTCCCTTTCCCTTCTGGTGGGGAAACTTAATGCAGCCCTAAGTTCAGCCACTTCATAATCCCCCTAAGCTATTAATGGGCTAATAATAGTTGATGCTATTATCTCTGGAATGTCTTCCACAACAGCACAGATCCTGGGTGGGGAGCAGTGCCTGCAGGCTGCTCCTACTGTGCCATGCCAGAGCAGTGTGAGGGTGGAGCAGCTCCTGGTGGCACGGGCTGGGCAGGGAGGTGGCTGCTGCTTGGGACAGGCAGCTGTGCACCCCTGTGACTGCAGCTCCAGCCTGCAGTGTTAAACAGCAGCTGCTGTGTTAAACAGCAGCACAGTGAGCAAACGAGGCACTTCCCTTTACTACAGCACCCCAAGCCCAAATATGTAAGAGCATTGCACTGCTGAGAGTGCTAAATGGAGCTGTTAGTTAATAACTTCATCCTGGGAAAACACTTCCAAAGCAGGCACGATGCTGCACTCTGGGGCAAACGTCATCACTGCTGTTTGGCAGAGCTGTGCAAATGCTCCAACCTGCACAGCTCTGACAGCTCCACGGGGCTGGGATATCCCTCCAGCAGTGCCTGCTGTGCCCACCTGGCTGCTGGAGGGACTTGGGATTCCCTCTGGAGTGCCCTGTGCTCACCTCGGTGCCACAGGAGCTGGGACATTCCCCCTGCAGTGCCCTGTGCTCACCTCGGTGCCACAGGAGCTGGGACATTCCCCCTGCAGTGCCCTGTGCTCACCTCGGTGCCACAGGAGCTGGGACATTCCCCTGCAGTGCCCTGTGCTCACCTCGGTGCCGTAGGGCAGGCGGGATATCACCTCGGGTGCCATCCAATAGGGTGTCCCAACCAGGGACTTCCTCCTGGGGACCTCCTTTGACACTTGGGCACAGAAGCCGAAGTCAGACAATTTTATCTGTGAGAAGAAGAAGTAAAAGGCCTGTTGAGGAACAGGAGAAGCCCCTCCAAGGCACAGCTCCAGCTGCAGGGACAGGGATGGAGCTGCAGCTTTCCTGGGACAGGACAGCAGCTCTGGGGGAGGGTCTGGGGGGACAGCCCAGGGAGCACACAGCTCATTAGAATGAAGGGGAGATGCAGGAGAGTGGCAGTGCTGCTCATTCCTGATATCATCTGTCACAGCCCATTGCCTCTCCACCAGCAAAGCATGGGGAGGTGATAGATGGCTTATAGCACTTGAAAATAAAAGGAAAACAAACCATTCCAAAGAGAACCCCCATGCTTGCAGTTATACATGTGATACCCAGGAATACACATATTCCAAGTGACACCCACCCCTCCTGTGGTTCACACCAGTTTGTGCCATCTCTGAGTTTGCCACAAAATGTGGGAAACAAGTGACATTGACCCCACTCCTTTTACCACCCACAGAAAACAAAACCCTTCCAGTGGTTTGCCAGGCCCAGGAGCACACTGGGGACAGCAGTGTGCCACCTGTGGGCAGCAGGGGAGCAGAGCTGAAGGCAGGGAAGGGTACGAGACTCCTTCCAAAAGTGAACCTGGTCCCTTTGCTCGGGAATCAGTGCTGTCCTTGAGCAGCTGTGGCAGTGCCCTGAAATAGAAATAATGGGATACACAAGCACTCCGGAGAGCAGCTCTGCCTGCATCATGTGCCTGGCTCACACTTTTATGACTGTTTTTTTTTAACAACAAAAATTATGGAAAATTATCACCTCCCCCTCTCTGTCGCTGTCCAATGCCAAGGTGAAAATTCCACCACAAGCTGGTCTGAGGGTTGGTGCCATCACCCCTTCCAGAAACAGCCTGATCCTTAAGGCTAAAATCTTTCTTTACCCTCATGTACTTACTTGGAGGCCTGGAAGCTCTCCAAGGGATTTTCCTGGATGTTTTCCTACCCTCCACCACAGCACAGTCCAATGGTGACCCATGCCCAAGGTCCCCAGGCTGTGTGTCCCACCTAGTACTCCATGTCTGGGGATACAGAGTGAGCCCAAACAGCCCCAGGACACCTGGAGTGGGAAGCTGCACAAATCCCTGCGTTGTGTAGACTCATTGTCAGCACTCACTTGTTTTCTTTTGGATTCAGTACAGACATTATTTTTTTTTTTAAAGTTACAGGTATTATTTTTAACAGAATTATGAAATGATTGTTGGTATTTCTAAAACAAAGCCAATAATAGCCAAGTTCTCCAGGCTAAATGTATTTTTCAGTTTACAGGATGAAGAATGGAAGAAATAATGCATATTTTGGAAGCAGAGCCCAATCTTCTTTTATAGGAACACAAGAGGTTTTGCATATCTATTGCTCATTGGAGTACATAAAAGACAACGATTTTCTAAAAAAAGGTAATTGCACAACACAGCCATGAAGAAATCTGCAATGCAGATAATAAGGACTGGAGTAATGAGTATAATGAGGCACTGTATGCAGATCCGAGCACAGATCAGATGTTATTCAGCAACATGAACTGAAATCACAACTGAAGAACTCCTACACACGTGGGATTGTCTTTCCTTGGCAGGACTGAGAGGAGCAGCCTGTGGCTGCTGCAGGAAGCAAATCCCTCTCCCGTGGTGAGGAGTGGGCATCAAACCAGACAGGCCAGCCTCTGGCTCCGGAGTCAGACCAGGCTGGGGAGCAAGGGCTTTACCTGTGCAGGGGCAGGTCTGGATCTGGCTCCAAACCAAAGCTCTTGGGCTCAGCCCAACCCTCCAGGTCTAGCCTTAGACAGGGGTGTAAGGCCAGTGGAGCAGCCCTTAATTTCTCTGTGTGCAAAGCAAACACTTGCTCACAAGTTGTGCAGCATTCTGTCCCCTTCTCCCCCTGCTCATTAACAACACAGAGCCACAGCAAGTGGAGTACATGGGAGTGTGGGACAGGTTCTAGCAAGCACCTGGGCAGTGGGAGAGCTACTCTGCCCAGCTGGGGAGGCTTTCAGCAGTAATGCAGATTATTTCCTATTTGCACAGATTGATGCTGGCCTCCCAGCTGGCTTGGGGAAGCAGAGCACATGTACAGAAACTGCCAAGTAAATGATAACTAAGTGTGGTAGAAAGGAAGAGATTTTAAACGCATCTGTAGACCCCAACAGAGGCCTCCCATCACCTGATCATCATCTTTACTGCAGTTTCCTGTGCTTTAGTTTCCTTCCAGGCTTCCATCCCTCCCAAGGACTGCCTGCAGCACAGGTGCCAATCACCAGTGAGGCCAGTGTGTTTCTTGGATTCAGCTCTCCCACAAGTTATTCACACCCTCTAACAAGTCACCTGTGCGTCACACCCACACCAGGGTCACCTGTGTGTCACCCCCACTCCTGGGTCACCTGTGTGTCACACCCACACCAGAGTTACCCCCGTGTCCCCTGCCCGTGCCCCCCGTGTCCCCCTGCCCATGCCCCGTGTCCCCTGCCCGTGGGTCACCTGTGTGTCACCCCATGCCCAGGGCTGTGTATCCCCCCTGCCCATGTTCAGGGCTGTGTGTCCCCTGCCCGTGCCTCCCGTGTCCCCTGCCCGTGCCCCGTGTCCCCTGGCCGTGCCCCCCGTGTCCCCGGCCGCTCACCCTGCCGTCGCTGGTGAGCAGGATGGAGTCGCTCTTGATGTCGCGGTGGATGACGCCCTGGTGGTGCAGGTAGGACAGGGCGCGCAGCACGGACACGCACACCGTGGCGATCTGCTCCTCGTTCATCCTGCGGGGACGGCACGGCTCAGCCCGGCACGGCTCAGCCCGCACGGCTCAGCCCGCACGGCTCAGCCCGGCACGGCTCAGCCCGGCACGGCTCAGCACGGCACGGCTCAGCCCGGCACGGCTCAGCCCGGCACGGCTCAGCACGGCACGGCTCAGCCCGCACGGCTCGGCCCGGCACGGCTCGGCACGGCACGGCTCAGCCCTGCAGCCAGCTGGGATCACCGCGGGAGCCGGGAAAGCAGAGCCATCCCTCGGGAAAGCACAGACCGCTCATTTACAGCCAGCGCTGCCTGCCCAGCAGGCTTCACTGCTGGGGTGGGACAGGTGTGGAGTAACTATGAGGAACAACACCCTTAAGTGAGCAGGCAAAACGTCGGGCCCTGGGCTGTAGCTCTGGGAGCACTTCTGTGCCCTCTATAAAAACAGTCTGGGTACCTCAGCAGAAAAATGAACAAGAGCCCTCATTTCTGGGCACAGCTGAGAGCCCCACGCTGGGCTCGTTCCCTCAGCTGCAGTGCAATGCCTGGCATGGGCTGGGCACCCTGGAGCCACTGTCCCATCCCTGATGGCCCCAGCATCTCTTTTACACGAGCAGAAGAACACCCGTGGACACTTCTGCTTTGATTTGTGTGCCACTTGCAGCATTTTAGCAGAAGCTTTGAGGGAAGGTCATGCAATGTAAAAAAAATAAAAAACCAAAAAAACACCCAGAAGATTAAGAAAATACTATTTTGAGTTAAAAAATAGATGACAGCTCTTAAGAAGTGGTGTCCTGGGAACATCTGTTTGCTGTCAAACTTCTGTCAGAAAGATCTAAGATAGAGCTTTTAATGGTTTGGCAAATACTTGCAATACTGTGATTTATTTCAGCACATAAGCTAAGGTAACACTCAAAAATAAAACACCTGTGTCATAACTCTTGGTAGGATCTAAGAGCACCATTCAACTAGGAGAGAACACAAATGTTCTAATTTATAATTCCTTGCTTTTGTTCTTGCTCCCCCTAAATATTCTCCCACTGGTTTGGTGTGGAAACTTTTAATTTTTTTTTCATTCAAAAAGAATAAATTAAATAAAGAATCATCTTCCCTATCTCATTTTACCCAGCTTATCAAAGCAGATGACAAAGAGCAGATGTAAAGAGGGCAGTAAAATCTCATGTTTCCCCTCAGAAGAGGCAGAGCAGCTCTTGTGCTGGTTCATTTCCTACTTTAAAGGTGTGCTATTAACTGAAATATGGGAATGTGCTCCACCATAAGCACAAATATTCTGACATAAAAATACTTTTCCCCTTATGTTTTGGGCTTGGTTTGCAGAGAACCTTTGTGAGGAGGAATCACCCTTAGAGCAGACAGGGTTATGACAGCAAACCCAACAGTACAGATCACCAAGCAGGGAAAAGAACTTTTTTTTTCTTTTTCCATTTGAGGAAGCAATGGACGAGTTGTGTTGGTGCTGGTGTGTCCCAGACGTTAGCAGACCCCCATCCAGCAGCAGGCCCTCTCAGGTGCTCCTTTCCCTTTGGCTCAGCAAAGGCTGCTGCCCACAGGGCTCACCTGCAGCTCTGCCTGACTGAGGAAGCACAGCGATGGGTTTAACTGGCAGGGATGGGTTTAACTGCAGCTACCATGGAGTGCATTGAATGGATCTGTGTGTGCCCACATGTGCTTCCTGTGCAGGGTGTGCAGGGTGTTCAGGGTGTGCAGGGTGCTCTGTGTGTGCTCTGTGTGTGCTCTGTGTGTGCAGGGTGTGCAGTGTACTCTGTGTGTGCTCTGTGTGCTCTGTGTGTGCAGTGTGCTCAGTGTGTGTTCAGTGTGTGCTCAGTGTGTGCTCTGTGTGTGCTCAGTGTGCTCAGTGTGCTTTGTGTGTGCAGTGTGCTCTATGTGTGTGCAGTGTGGTCTATGTGCTCTGTGTGTGCAGGGTGTGCAGTGTGTGCTCAGTGTGTGCTCAGTGTGTGCTCTGTGTGTGCTCTGTGTGTGCTCTGTGTGTGCTCTGTGTGTGCAGTGTGTGCTCAGTGTGTGCTCAGTGTGTGCTCTGTGTGCTCTGTGTGTGCCCTGTGTGCTCTGTGTGTGCTCTGTGTGTGTGCAGTGTGTGCTCAGTGTGCTCAGTGTGTGCCCTGTGTGTGCTCAGTGTGCCCTGTGTGCTCTCTGTATGTGCTCAGCGTGTGTGCTCTGTGTGTGCTCAGTGTGCCCTGTGTGCAGTATGTGCTCAGCGTGTGTGCCCTGTGTGTGCTCAGTGTGCCCTGTGTGTGCTCAGTGCGTGTGTGGCACAGCCCACCCACCTGGTGTGCGTGACGATGTCGGTCAGAGCGCCGCCCTCCAGGAACTCCATCACCACCCAGAGCTCGTCCCCGACCAGGTAGCTGTTGTACATGTCCACCACGTTCTCGTGGTGGTAATCCCTCATGATCACGACCTGCAGAGGCACAGAGGGACCAGCTGGCAATGCTGCAAGCTCCATCTGACACTTGTTTTGACCTTCTTTGTCATGGAGCTGAGGGAAGGATCTGTGATGAATCACATCCTCCCTAATCCTTGTGCCAGCACATAAACAAAATCAGTGTATTTACATAAAAATATCAGTTGTTGTAAATGCATCAGGAAGAAAAAAGAATCTCTAGTTGATAGAGTATAAACAGTAGATAATTGTTTTATTTCAGCCTGCAGGAACAGACCTGTTTATTTAATTGGTTTTTTATTGCCAATTGCTTTCAGTACAACAGATTTTTTTTTCGACCTGATCAATCGCTCAACACATCAAAGTCATTTTTATCATGTAGTAAATGGTACTTTGCACAGATTTTCAACAAAATGCTGGAGTAAGGACCAAAAAAACTCACTCAAAGAGACTTTTAAAAGGCTTACTGCTTTTTGTGTACTTTCAGTTAGACACAGGGGAGAAATACCAACAAGAAATTCTCCATAGATCAAACAACAAAAAACTTCACTGGCAACTTAAGAAAAATCAGAGAACTCTGGTAGAAGGTTTTGTGCAACACTGAACCCATGTAAAACACTTCTCAAAGCCATTAACTTGGCCCATTCAACTTGGCAAACTGTAAACTTTTCATTTGATTTTAAGTTCAATTTTAGGTTGCTTGAAAATTCCGAGAAGAGGGAATTGGAAGAAGGAGAAAGAGAGAAAAACAGAAAACACATAGAAAGGGACACACAGCCACCAAGCTGGGTTCCAGCACAGCTCAGAAAGTCCCAGAAAAAGCAGGGTCAAGACACGTTTGCCCCATGTTTGGCTCAAATGTCCCTTGGCCTTGCTGGGCCCTTCCCTGGTGGCAGCTGCAGGATTTGGCCCCTCTGGGGCAGGTGGAGCACTGTCCCAGCGTGCAGGGACTGCTGCCATGCCAGGTACTGCCAGGCTGGGATTCTGGCTCCAGGGGCCTGTGCAGCAGGGCACAGCCTGGCCAGGGCAGGGCCACGCCTGCCCCTGTCCCCAGAATGTCTGGAGACATCAGCCTCTCACTGCTGGTGCTGCAGGGGTGGCTCAAACCCCAGAGCTCCAGGCACTGCCCAGAACTGGCACCACGGTGGGGCAGCCCAGCCAAGCAGTGCCCGTGGCCACGGGGCACTGAGGGGTGGCGAGCACGAGAGAGGAGGCAGGCAGGGCTGCCTCAGACAGGGGTTCCATCACTGCTGCAGAGAGTCTCAGACGGCTGGAGCATGTCAGGGAAGCAGCCTGGTCCTGCACAGCACGCAGGGCCTGCTTCAAGCTGTCACTGCTCAAGAGATGCTCACTTAGAGCCACCAGAGCCTCCAGCAGGGCAAAGCCAAGCCCAAGTAAGCAGCACAGCCATGAACTGTGTAAAGAGGAACCTGGTGAAGTTTGCTGTTTAATATTGGAATTAAAAAATGGGATGTTTTCAAAGGTTTTAAAGAAACCCATCTGTCATGTGCTGAGGGGAGACACACTTGTAGTGTACAGGAAACAAAAGATAGAATTAAAAGGGTCATTCTCACAGGAGGCTTCCTTGGGAGTGTTTTTGGTATTGATCAGGATATTTACAAGTGATCTCAAAAAGGGAGCAGTGAACACACCCCACCAGATGCTTTAAGGGAGTAAGAAGTTAAACAAAGGAGAAACTCTTCAAGTTGCAGAAGCTACTCTCAAGCCCCCAAAAAAGTGGGTGAAAAAATGGCAAATGAAAAGCAGTGCTCTGAAATGTAAAATAACATGCACAGGGCAAACAGTCTCCCTTAAGCAGCTGTGGGCTCTGAGCTGGCTGCAAGCACTCAGGAGAGGAGATGTGGGATTAACACAGATAATTCCATGGAAAAGGGACTCACAGCTTAGCTTAGTAAGCATCAAGAAAGCACAGGGAGTGTTGATGGTTAGGAGAGGAAGGAGGAAGGAAACACACAGCACGTGGATGCCAGAAATACAGCACACACGCTCTGGAACAGCCGAGTTAGTTTGGATCCTCCTCTTGGAAGGATGAACTGTGCCACGAGACAGAAAAGGCAGCAGGGCCATGTGTGAGCACCCGACACTGCAGGGCCCAGCTGATGCACTCTCAGCTGTTTCCTGGGACAGCCCCCTAGGTTTGAAGCCCGGAGGAGAAGCAGCTCACTTGAAGGGCTGTGCAATATCTGTACGAGCACAGCTGTGTGTGGGACTCCTCACCCTGTTTAGAAAGGTGCATTTGGCTGCTGCTGAACCTCAGAACCCCGAGGCACCACCCCAGCCCCGTACCTCGTTGAAGAGCAGCTCCCTTCTCTGCTGTTTCCTGAGGTCCATCTTCTTGACAGCCACCTGCTTCCCCGAGTGCTTCTCGGTGGCGATGCACACGATGCCCGTGGAGCCCTCGCCGATCTTGAGGAAGCTGTCCAGGTACTCGCGGGGGTCCCCGGGGCTCACCACGAGCTGCAGGGCAGCACGGAACTGTTCGTGGGACACCCTGGAGGGCTGCTGCTCCGGGGAGGAGCCCCAGCTGGGCGGGGGATAAGCACTTGACGTGATGCTGGGGGAGCTGGGGTACGAGGCCGTGGAGATATAGGGAGAGCCGGGCTGGAGGGGAGGCTGCTGGTAGTGGGGTGCCTTGTGGTACACCAGAGGGTACTGGTAGCTGCTGCTGGAGTAGCTGACCTTGCTCTGGCTCTGAGGTAGCTTGGCCGGGCCCCGCGGGTAGGTGTCGGAGCCAGAGAGCGGCGGGCTGACGACCAGCTGTGCTCGGTCATAATCCACCTGCAACACAGACACGGCAGGGCTGAGCGGGGACAGCCCTCCTCCTGCCCCTCCGCGCACCCCCAGCCCCGAGGTCCCACACAGCTGGCACTCTGCCCAGACTGGGCAGCGGTTTTCACACCACGAGGGCTGCAGGGCCCCCAGCACACTCAGGACACACACAGGCTGCTGAGCCACAGAATGGCCTGTGCTGGAACGGACTGTGCTCAAAAGGTGTATTTGCTCTGCATCTGCAGTGCCCTGCAGGCCCTCTGGGCCAGCTCCTCCAGGAATCCATCCCTGCCACAGCCATAAAATTCATCCTCGAGCGAATTCCAGTCTGTGTCTCACCAGTACCTGCATTTTGATTCTCAGCTCTTAGCCTTTTCTTACGTTTTTCTCCAGCAATGCAGGGATAACCCAACCTCTTCCTGGGGAGGTGGTGGCACCCTAAAATGCCTGTCATCTCCTGTCTTGCCGTGCCACCAGCTGTTGTCTGAGTGACTGCTTACGTGAGTTTGATGAGGAGCCTAATTCAATTCACCATTTCTTAAATCATTTTCCACAGCGACACACTACTTAACTGCAGTGTCACAAAACTGCTAATTTTCATCTGAAATCAGAGAAAATCGCAAAGGAAATTATCCCAATGGGAAGCCTGGTTCATTTGTAGGTTCTTTTCTATTTTTTGTACTTCTCTAAGCTTCTTATGTTGAAGGCTAACGAATACTTCATCTTTACAAACATAATGATTTGCTTGCTTCCATACAAACTAAACCCCCCCAAAAGATGTAGAACAAAAAAACCCACCCCAAAATTATATTTTTTCATCTGAAAAAGAACATCTTCACATTTACAATATGTGACTCCTGACGATGTGTGGAGCATCTCAGGGCAGGGGGGCGGTTTGACACAGGCTCATCATGTAGCACAATTACAAATAATTATGGCAATGAGTTCATTTAATCAATCAATTTCAGTGGCAGTGCACAGGGATGGACAGAGCAGCAAACTCTACACAGCTCACGGCTGCTACTATTACTGCTGGCTGCCGGCCAGGAGTCCCTGATCCATGTTAGTTAAATGCACATTAATCTGAATTTGGCAGTGTAATCAAGGACCCAACTGAACTGTGAAATTGAATTCTGCAGTGGAACATCATTTGACCATTTTATGCTAAGACTGCAAAAAAAAAAAAAGAAAAAAAAGAAAAAAGAAAAAAAAAGAAAAAAAAATCTGCCGCAGCATCAATTTATCAGCACGGGCTCTGCACCGCGAGGAGGAGCCTGGAGCTGGAGGTGCCTCCAGCGATTTGCTGCTGGCATTTCCCACCTCCCGTGAGCCTTCATCCCAGCAGGGCTTCAGCAGGGACAGGGAATCCTCCCCAGGGCTGCCAGAGCTTCCCTGGGAGGAGCTGCAGTGCGCTTTGTGCAGCTGCCTCGCAGCGTGCTGGGGGTGCTGGGGCAATAACCCACAGCAGCAGGGAGTGGATCCACAGCCAGCCATCATTTCCCTCACTCCATCAGGCAGGGACGGCCATCAAACAGAAGGGAGGCAGACACGTGCATTTCATGAAGGACATCACATCTGCCAAACTAATTAACGCACAGAAGTGCTCAGATGGTTTGGTGGAGGGAGGGGAACTCAATCTAACCCTGTCCTATATATCTGTGTATGTAGGGACAAGTAATTTATTGCTTTGGCTGTAAATACACCATTTTCTTTATAACCATTGAGATGGTGAAAAACTGGTCTAGAAATTCAAGGTGGATAAATCCACACCAATGAATTATTTGAGGATTCACCCATGTCTGGTATTTCTGAGTATGCCCTAGGCTTAACACACTGGCAAAAGAATATTCTGCAGTAAAAGTTTACAATGAAAATTCAGTGTTCAGTGTGCTTGCTAGGAGTTTTCGGAAGCTTTCTGAGGTTAGCATTGCTGCACAATGCTTTTAAAGCCACTTCCTGAATCCCAAGAAATGCCACAAGAAGTCAGGAGCTGTAATGAGTAAATCAGCTGAAGCTCTCCCAGGCTGTGTCCTGACACAGCGCTCCACATCACGGCAAAATCGAACGCACTTTATTCCTCCAATAATTCTATTTCTGCTACTGAGTGCAGCCTCCTACTGAACAGAAAGTCTTTAAACACCACAAAGGGAAGAAGCAAGCGGTCCTGCACTCACTGCAGGTCAGGTCAAAGGAGCAGCCAAAGCTGTGGCACGACGTTCACCTTGGCACACTGGCACACTCCCCCGTCTGCAGTCTGCCAGGGGAAGTGCAGAAGGGATGGTCTGTGAATCACCGAGAGCACAGAGGCAGAGGCCACTCTGCTGCCTGGCAGGGGAAAGCCCCAGCACGCCCTGCTGCACACACAGGGGCAGCAGCACTCAGGGCAGCTGCTGGCACCTGAGTGGGGACACGGGAAAAGGAGGGGGTTCTGACAGTAAAGGCTTGGCCTGGAAATGTCCCCGTGGTACAGAGACACAGGGGACCATGGTGAGACACCTCTGCTGTGCTACAGCAGCACGAGGCAGCAAAGGGGAGCAGGCATCATGGGCTCTGAAAGAGGGACAGGAGAGGGTCCCAGAGAGCTCCTCCTGGGAAATGACAGGGAAAGGAGCTTTGAAGTAACAGGGCTGGGTGACAGAAGTTAAGAGGGCTGCCTGTGATGAAGAGGAGGGTGAAATCACCACGCAGTACAGAGTTACCAGAAAAAAGCCAATGATGAACTCAATACTGTGGGACAATATCGAGGTGGGACACCAGCTCTGGGTGGTGAGGGTAACACAGCAGACTCTGCAACTCCTGCAGTGTCCTGGAGCCAGTCTGCAGGACAGGAGAGCAGCTGGGTGACACAGGGGTGGCTCAGAGGGAGGCACATCGAGCCTCTGGCTTCCTACACCTCCATGCTTCCACTGCACAGCAGTGGCCAAGCCCAGGGCAGGGCAAGTCCTCTGATCTAACAACTCTGAAACCCCTGGTGATGAAACAGGGCACACATTTGATTGGTCTGACATCTCTTACCTGCAAATAGTACTGAAGCAAATCTGCTCTTCACATTTACAAGCCAAAATGAACATCCTTGTTAAGACACTTTGATGCCACACATTTGTGCCTGCAGACTTTTTCACTTACTTTTCCACCCCTTTTAATTATACTTGAAACCTAATCTCATTTGTACAATATCTGATTTGAGATCTGACTCTCATTTAGTAATCCCATTTGATGAACCATTATTTTACTAATGCCCCCTTGAAAAGAAGAGTCTTCAGCAATCATCCAAGACAAGAAACTCCTATTCACCTCCAGGAGCTGTGGACAGGTTTGGGAATTGAACTGCTGCATTTAACAGTGAATCATCAAGTTTCAGTACACCAAGGTAGGAGTGTTTTTGATGCTCTGAGAGGAACAGCTCACAATGAATCTTGCATAGAGGCATATATTTTTTAATAAAAGCTGTTACTGCATTTTAATGGGATATTTTTCAAAGTGCTGGAATCCTATAATAAACACCTGTGTCTTCTGCCCTATTGATTGGTGCAGAACTGGCAAAGCAGGTGCTACAGGCTCTGAATTACTGGATTTGCCCTCCTCTTTTCTAAACTCTGACAAAATGACTGCTTTCAGTAAAGCAAATGGCAGCTAACTCATGCCAGATTTTCCTCCCAGCTTCCAGAATCCACACTGAATGCCTCACTGGTGCATAAGTACCACACACCCTCCTGCCACCACACCCTGAGCTTTGGAAAGGCACTAAAGAGACCTGGTGACTTTTCTACTCCCCCCAGGGCTTATCCTCAAGCTCCAAAGCCTGGCTCTGTGCTCCAGTGCAAAGAGGGACAAAAAATGCACTGCTCACCCTTTCCCATGGGGCACTGCACCATGGCAAAGCAGCCAAACCTAAGGGGGCACAAGGCTGGCACAGCTCCAGGCCAGGGATATCATGGATCTGCAGAGTCCTGGGGCTGCAGCAGACACAGCCAGCAGGCAGATGCACTGCTCAGCTATCATCAGAGAGGAGAACACTGACACTCTCCTACCTCAGCATGTGGAAAGTCACAGCAACCCCAGACTTGGAAAAATGATCACCACAGTGCCCGTTGCTAGGGGAACTCAGTGATGTTCAGAGCAAACTACACTGAAAAAGCATCTCTTGCAAACATCAGAAGCTTAAGAAGGTCATCATGGCTATGCTACTGGAGCTGTGAGAAAAGCACTCTGAACTGAACAGGTGCTCACAGCACACTGCTGCAAGCGGGGCTGGACAGCTTGGGTAGGTAACACACCTCTGTGGCAGAGCAGGGACAGATTTGTGCAGAGGAGCAGCCTTTAGGTAACATGGCAGAAATGCTTTCTTGCACATCAACCCTTTTTTTAAACTACATCTAAAATGTCTTGGGTGAGACCAGCTGCTCTGACTTAATTTCAGTGCTTAAAAGCAATGCAGAAGGGAGTAAGCCCCTACCCTAATGGGCAGTCAAGAGCTTGTAATATAAAGATGGCATAAATACAGTATAAATACTGAAGCACAGAGGTTTCAGCCTTGCACAGTAACAATTCAAACACAGAAGTATCTGATACACACACCAGACCAGCATCTCACCTCCTGCTCAGATCTGCTCAGGCGTAGGAACTCCTGAAGCTACAAAACCTGCCACAGAACTTGCACTTACTGGGAATTTCCAATAAATTCCCCAGAAGATGGGCACTCCAAGCCTGCCTTTTAGTAAGTATCTTAAACCCACGGGTCCCTGGCATCCATTTTCACACACCCAAGTAAAGTGGGCGTGTTTCCACACCTGCCGAGGAGCAGGCACACGACGCTCGGGGACGTTCCCAGCCCGTGTGTCACGGCTCCTGGCCCCTGACAGTGGCACTGCCCTGTGCAGGGGCTGATCCCCGCCTGGCAGCAGTGTCCCGGCAGGGCTTACCTTGGGCACGCCTGCTGCGCTCTCGGACAGCCGGGGGTAGGTGTAGGAGCTGTAGCAATGTCCTTGCTGGTGAGCCTTGAAGGCGCTGGCTCCGTAGGGCATGGCCGGCTCCTGCAGGCCCGAGCCGGAGCGGGACCTCTGCCTCATGGCCGGCTGAGGGCTCGCAGGGTCCACGTAGGACGACTTTGGCCTCTTGTCGTAGTCCTCCTTGCCGAGGCCGTGTCCCCAGTCACCGTCCCCGTACTCCAGCCTCTCCTTGGGGCACTCGCTCTGCAGCGATGCCCGGGATGGGGCGTAGGGGAAGGAATCTCTGTAGTCCAGGGAGGAGCCGCTGGGGACCCGCTGGTACTCCAGCTTCAGGCCGTACTCCAGCGCCTTGGCCTTGGGCTCCAGCTGTGCCTGGTAATCCGGCAGGAACCTGGCCAGCTCCGACTGCAGGGGCGTCACCTCCGAGTAGTAGATGTCCCGGGAGGTCACCTTCAGCACGTGGCCGTTGTGCTTGTAGAACCTGTCCAGCTCGTCCCCGCAGAGCGCCCTGTCGCGGCACCTCTCCCCCAGGTGCTCGGGCGCGCCGTCCGACTCGCTGGAGTAGCGCGAGTACGCCACGTAGCCGTTCTCCTCCCGCGGCCGCGCCGCGTGGCTCGCCGCGCCCGGGTGCTGCCTGGGGGGGCTCTCCTTCCGCAGAGAGTTCGATCGTGTCACTGAGATGTTGTCAAACTCCTCCAGCAGCCCGTTGATCGAGGTGTCCTTTCGAGGCTTGTTTCCTCGAACGATGGTCTGGCAATGAAAAAATTGCTTTGGTTAAATACTGGTTTTTGCTTAGTACTTCACCAAAAAAACCACCAAAAAGGAAAAAAGTCTGTGATTCACCCAGAACCACCCATAGCAATGTCTTATGTTCTTCAGTCACATATCTCATTGATTAAAAAAAAACCCTCAATAAATAATTACACACGAAGAAATGTTTAAATACAGTGCGGATCACAAGCTGGGATTTGGCATGCAACCCCAAGACACGCTCAAAAAGCCCAGTTTCAGAGGTGGGTGCTCAGCAGCCAACAATAATACATTTAAACTCACTACACATGTTTCATTTGTTCTTATTCAGTTGTCTGCATCAAGCCACACTGTGGGCTGAGTCGGATTTACAGGGCACGGATAAGCTAAGCAAGAATCATTCAGTGGTCACTTCCATGAGCTATTTTAACAAACTGCTGGAATGAAAAGTAGCATACAGTTAAGCAGGCATTGAATTTTCTTGGTTTTTTCTTTTTTTACAAAACAGTATGTTCCCGAGTAGCAGAATCCCACTGGGGACTGCCTCTTAGTTAACTTAGTGTAAAACACACTTGGGAAAGAGGGAGCAACTCTAACTCAACTAACTCCATCTCCTTGTGACACACAGCATCCAGCAAGCCACAGTGCACAACCACGGCTCTGGGACACCCACACCAGGGATGCCAAGTGCTGGCCTCGTCTGTGCCCCACTATTGCCAAGCCTTCCACAGATCCCATCCCCACTGCTTTATGTCCAGAACACTGCTGCTCCTGCTAGCATGGGAGGTGAGCAGTGTGTGGGTACAGATCTCCTTCAGGAAAGGTTTTATTTTTTAGCCAGTACCACCTGAGGGCTGTAACACGTGGCTGCATCCATTCCTCACCTGGGGACTGCCATTGAGCTCCACTTCACGTCTGCAAACACCCGACAAGAATAAGATGTACAGATTGGTGGCCAGGGCCATAAATCAGCCAGGCTCTACTGAAAACACATTTGCTTTGCTGATTTACTTTGGCTAAATATCTCTGGCTGCATCTTGCTTAACTCACTGAGCTTTTCAACAGAGTCACCGTGGTCAGCCCAAGGAGATTTCCCTCTCTGGAAGTGCTGCACACTGACTGTGGTGTGTCAGGAGCCAAGCAGGCATGGCATGTGCTGAATGTGGAATACTGGACACCAACCACAGCATATCAGACCCAGCCTGGTCACTTGCCCTGCACTCATTCCTTTATTCCAACCATAGTGAGACTGCTCAACTCCTGCTTGAAAGCACTCAGGGGTCCAAACTTTGTCAAAAAAAGCATTCAATCACTAGTAAGAGCACAGAATTAAGAGGAATGTACCTCTTTGTCTCCCTGAGAAAAGGCAGGCACAAAGCAAAGCAGTGCTGACCTCACGCTGCCTCCTGTTCTGATTTATGTCTGTAATTACTTGCCTAGTTTGCTATTTTGAAGCCAGTGGTACTGAAACAATAGGACAGCGAAAATAAGAGACAGCAAATAGATCACTGCTTTCACCTCCAAAGCCATTCAGCAGGATGAGAGGGATGGGTTTAATTCTGCTACAGCCTCTTAGGCAGGATGGCTGCGCGACCATTCATATTTAATTATCACATAATAAACCAGCAACATCCGACAATGAAATGCTTCTAATTGAAAACGAGACTGAAACACCCGGCTGGCAGCCCTGTGCAAACGCCTGCCCGGGAGGGAAATGCCCATTTCACACTCTCCACGGGACTGGCCTGCACAAAGGAGAGGTTTCCTGGGGTGCCCAGGGGAGCAGGGAGCCCTGGAGCAGAGGGGCCTCTCCCATGGGGGGAAGAGGAGCTGCCCCCTGCTCCTCCAGGCACGCTCTGTCTGCATTTCCAGACACCCCCAGGAGGAAGATTTAGAAGAATGCAGCTGAGTGTTTATGTTGGGGAATTGACTGGTGACAGATCCCTGCAGTCTGGGGATTTTCTGCAGACAGGTGCATGCGTGGGAGGAACCTCTTCGATTATGAGGATTTAAAAATAGCACTAATAGTAAAATGATCTTATAGGGAATTCTGGTTTGAAAAGAAAAAAAAGCATTTGCCACTGACGCCTCAGCCTGGCGAAGCTGTCTTGGACAGCTCTGGGACCTCAGTGCTGTCTCATCCTGACTGGTGAAGTTAAGGGGATTAAGAACTAAACCCCATTTCTTTTATCCCAGCATTTTAAGGATGATCACTGGCAAACAGTGACTTGCAAGTGTGAAGGCTGCAATTCCTATTGGCATTAGAATATTTTCCATGAGAAAATGAAAATGGCCAGCACAAAGGGAGGATAAAACTTACCTATTCCAGAGGCACACTTCCTGAATAGTCAGTGCTTTGTTACTATGAGTAACAATTATTATCAATTATGATACGTAATTATTTCTAACAACAACAACAATATTTCTATCTGCTTTGGCCTGTTTTTAAATTTTGCTTTTCCCTTCTATGGAAGGCCAGACTTGGTGAGATGCCCCCAGGCTCAATCAGACAGCCTACACCAGCTTGATCTTTTCCAAGGAAATATCCAGCACCATTCTTATCAAAAGAACTGCAGTGTCCATGGAGAAGAAAGTTTGGGAAGTGTTTCACCAAGATCCTGTGAAATGCTCTATATTGTCAAGTGTTTTGCTAACTGAATAGAACTTAAATTGTTTATACACAATTCTGAAGTACATTGTTTAACTCTCTGGTGGGTAGAACCATTTACTAGGCTGAAAAAACAAATTAATATCCTGAAGAAGGTATTGGTGTAAAGGAGTAATTAAAGTAATTGTTCTGTAAGAATGAGCAGAGCATCAAAATTAAAAAAATAAATCAAGTAAGATGCTACAAAGAATAAAACATATGTTGCACCATGTTAACTTGTCCTGAAGTGATTTACTAGAGAGAAAGTGTGTGCTGGGGCTTGCCAGCACCCACAGCTTTCCTGGGAAGCACAGGATCTGCAGGAAGAAGCCTGAGACTGGGAGCTGCCATAAGCATGGCCCAATTCCCAAACCTGAAATCCTAATGGCAGTGCCAGGCCCACGAGGAATGACTGCAGGGGAAAAGCTGCACTGATGATGTGGGGTCTTGGCTTGGGACTGTGGACTCTGGGCACGCTATCAGGAGCAGAGGGAAAACCTCATGGCATAAACATACAATGACAGGAATCACAAATGATGGGAAACCTGAGCTCCAACTTAAAAAGCAAAACAAAAACCTTGAAAGAAAATGTAACAGGAAAGAGCTATCATGGAAAGAGATATAATGGTAATTAGTGTCACAGGAACTACACTAGCTTTTCTAATTTTAATGGCTTTATAAACTGAAAAAAAATGTGAGGAGGAGGAGGGGATCCTGTCTCTATATTCTAGATATATTTGCAGAGATTGTTTTCTGAATTTTTTTACCCACTTAATGGTCTGCATTTTTAAAGTTATGGAATTTTCAGGGCTGCTGCAGCCAACATGGATAAAAGCAAATTATCCTTTGCCAAGCTTGATGGGCCAAGATTTCCGAGGCCTTTGTGCTGCCTGCTGAAATCCTGCAATGGAAGTGTGCACAGCACCTTGTCCAGGCTGGAAAAGTGGGATTGGAGCCCCTCAGCCCCCAGGGCTCCATGCCCATGGTGTTCAGTAAAGCCCTGTGCAGCCCAGGAGGGATGAAGGTCCCATGGATGGAGGAGTGCTGGGAATTTCCCGCTGCCATTCCTCTTGTGACAGATGAGTAATGCCATGGCTGACTCTCACAGTGAATGCAAATATCAGGTATAATTCTTAAGAAAAGTTCTATAGATTTGTAGTTATGTTTTACCCCCTCGTGTTGTTATCAGGGTGGCCTGGGTTTGGGACATTTGGGAGGTTGGCTCATTACATGGCAACAGCTGACCCCCAGTCAAGGTGTCGGGAACTCTGGGCAGGGAAAGAGGAGTCGATGGACAGGACTTTGGGAGGCCCAAAGGGTTAAAAGGTGAAACCTCCACTGTGTGGGTGAGCCCACGCTGGGTGAACGCTCTGCTCCCAGTGCTGTACCATTTTCTCTGTTCAGCCTGCTGTTGTATTTTCCAAGGTTTACTAAACCTCTGCACCCGTCCCAGCGCGGCACAGGGCTCGGGGCCGTGCCCAGCCCGGGCTGGCTCAGCCCTGGCAGGCAGTGACAGCAGCCATCCCCCACGGCCCCGCAGCGCCTGCCCGGCCCCGATAAGCTGTGATGGATCTGCCTGGCACAGGAGCTGTCCTCCCTCGTTTCCAGCCGGAGATGAGGAACAGCTCCTGCGCTCAAACGCTGTATTAACCTTGACAGTAATGAAGTGGGTAATTAACTGCTGTGCCCTAATGCGACCTTGCATTTATTGTCTTTAGAACTACTATACTTTACACACTCGCTAAGAATATATCATCCTTTGTCCTCCTGGAGCTGTGTTTTCTGGAGTCAATGAGGATTTTAAATCTCTGTGATGTGAGGGAGAAAAAAAAAGGAATTTTAAGGGAAGGTCGCCCTTACAAACAGCCAGTCTAAACTCTGATTTTGCCTCTAGCTAGCTTCTCCCCTGATCTGCATTACACATAAACTAAAAGCACAGCCTAGGCTGAAAATAATTTTTTTTGTTCTTAAGAAAAGGTGCATAAAGCACAGATGGTCAGAATAATCTAATTCTAAGTGATGGATGTATTGGTAATTTATTTTCTTGTGTTGCAAGACATTTCAAAGTATTTGAAGCTGTGTTCATGACACCACATTTTACTCCCAGTGTAAACAAATATGACTTGGAGAGAAAAACTGATCCTTGTCATCAGTACAGAAGGAAAACTCCAGCTTTCCCTGTGAGTAACACAGTTTTATAGTTGCAGCCAAAGGCATCGGGGGTCTGCATCTGATCTACTCCTACCAGAAGAAAAAGTACTTGGAGGAGGAAGAATTTACTGTGAGCACACAATGGGGTCACAGTAAATGCCCAGAGGGGTTGTGGGCTCTCCCTCCTGCCTGGACACAATCC